AGGTGCTGTGCGGTATGTGGATTAGGTCAAGATACTCCACTTCTCTGGTCTGGTTGATAACATCGTTCCAACACTAAAGGTTGTTATTCGCATAATAGGCAGTTCTAAACATATTTACGCAGCGGATTGTCACCTAGTGGCCAGGCTATAGTCTCATTGGAGAAATGTCACCGATTTCACTCGAAAGGAACACGATGGGCTTGCAAGTAGAAAAGATAATGTACAACTAGCAATGATCTTGCGTTTATGAAAATAGTCAAGGTATAAGGTCATATTAGCACCTTCTGTTAGTATTCCAAATAAAGCCTTGAAAACAGGTAGTTCCCAGATATTGGCCGGTTGGATGGTCTTAGTCTAGCCTTTCTCTGTTCTAAGGCTTCGATGTGGGCGCTCTTGCCATCGACAGTCTTCATGAGCAAATCAAGGCGGCCATACTATTCCTTGAAATCCTGGGCGTGTAGCCCTTTACTTCTCAACTAGTTGCCAGTCCATGTCCATAGAATACGTCTACATGTTGTCAGGGTCCTGGCCGTAGGACCGCTGACCGGAGAGCTTACTTTATAGTACGTTGACTGAATGACCTGTTGGTCATTCATTGTGCCTTTTTGGCATGTAGTGCAGTGGTAAAGTCAACAGACCGGTGCCTTACACATGGCTTGGATCATTTTTCCACATCTTTTGAAAGAACCAGGCGTAACACCTTTCAAGCATAACCAACCGTATCAATAAGGATGACCGGCCTAGTCCAATAGCAACGTAGCTATAGAGCCTTTGATAAACTGTAGATAGTCGACCGCGATATTGCGGATGGACCTGCTTGTTATGGTTCTGTAGATCAAAAATCTATATATGAAGTCCGCGATTGCCATCCCGTATCTCGTATTTGCGTAACATAGTTGGAAATTCGACAAGCGCTAGGGCATCCTTCGCTCATCCGGGAAGAATATTATTTGCGCAACATTCAGAGTCTGCTACGGTCTCGGAATGTTCAATTTTGCCATGAAAAGCATCAGCTGATGCCATCGCAGGCGATGAATGTGACGCTGATAGTCTAGGTTGGTATATGGGTATGTTGCTAACAGTGATGGTTGCGTGCTTTCGGGCAGATAGCGGCCCATAAGGACCGCTAAACTATTCCTGACTCGGCAAAGTTCACGGGCATCTCGGAAAATGATGCGATAGACTTATCTCTGTAGAGACCTGTTGAATTCGTGGATATATCGTCCGCATATGGGTATTTTGGCATTCCCTTGCGTTTCCGCATTTGTCTCTGCGTACATTTGGCAACATTGATCGTCACTATTAAAGTCGAGCTCATTGTAGAATAGTGGGACTTGGTTGCTGTTGTAGAGCTGCATTGAAGAGTTCGTTGACGTGCCCTTCTCCTTGGCCTGAGGAAATCTATAGGGAGGCATAACTGCGTCTCGTCATCCAAATTGTTGAGGGCTTCAGTGATTGAAGGAAGGAGAGGGATTGTCTAGTCTGACTCGTGGTCATAGGGGTGGTTACGATAGTATCTTCAATCTCGTTTCGAATCTTGGTCAGAGCGTCTGACCAGTTCAATTTGAAATTGAGAATAAAATTATCTTCGTCTCTCTTGATTCTGGTTCCTTGAAACTCGTCCGGTAATGCAGCGACTTCAGATCGAAAGTTCTACACGATCTGAGAAATCATGACGCTATGTTTAAGCTGGGAACCTTGCGTTGGTGCAAATAGACTTCCGTATCCTCATGGAACATTTCAAGAAGGTATCGGCAGCTCTGGCCCGCGACAGACAGATCGTTCGGTGTTGCTGCTGCGAGAAAGACTCCGGCTCAAGATTTTCGATGGTTTGGTTCGTTCATGAATCTTTTTTCGTGCATCATCAATAGCGGGATCTCTGAAACATTCCATTCCACATGTCGTCATTTGGTTATCCTATGCGTTTAATGGATACTCTCGGTGATCATAGAGGTTGAAAAGTTGGTACTCTTGGTTCATAGCCTTTGTGGGAGGCCTTGGTATTGATATTGAATGGTTCATCTAGCGATGTGCTCCAAGTGGCCTTTGTCGAATGATTGCAGATTTCAGCACCGCCAGCCAACACAGCCAATATCCTTGTCATATTCAATTCTTGTTCAACTTGCTATTCGCAGTAGTTAGCGGCTGTGAGTCCACAGCAATTTTTCGAAATCCTTGTATCGCCAGAGTTGGATATCAGATCTGAAAAATATATATTGAGACATGAGGCAGAACTAAAGAATACGGAAAAGGTGAGGGAACAGAGAGCGAGGAAGGATGAGAAGGAACAAGGTGGACAATATGATAAATGACCATAGCCATCAGATCTCTAACGTGCAGGACGCTGATAGATAGATTTGTAGAGGGAGAAGTAGATGAGCCCAGGCATCTACAAGACTACTAGACTCACGTGATCCTTCAAGAGATGTTGAGGTGATGTGTTGTTCTATTGGTCATCTAATCCAAGCGGAGTATAAGACCCCCTGAATGATCACGTGACTTCAAGGACTATAGTTGATCCACGCCGGAGGAAGATCCTCGGATGCTGCACGCTGGCAAGCAGAATGAAATCACGGGATTGCAGAAGGATGGAGGTGGAAGGCGGTGGGAAGGGAGGGTCAGGGCCTTTTTTATACACGTGACTCCCCAGCCCTGGTGAATATCACGTGCCGCATATAAGCGAGGCAGTGATCATCAGACTCTGACTTGTGAATATCATCTTTCAGTCACTCTAGAAGTCTGTTCCCAATTTCAAGAACTTCCATTCATCTAGCAGGATGTTCAATCACATTTACCTACAACGGGAGGAGGATAAGTACTGCAGACCTCCCTATCCCAACGGGGTGGCTCGCACAGACGAGGAATGCTGTCCCGTGCATACAAACTCCAACGATGCTCCATTTTTGTCTCCACTTCCTCTCCGAATGCGTCCCTGCTTCCGGTGACCCGGTCTGGTTTCGATACGATTGCCAGCTCTAGCAGTTAGCTTCGACATCGCCGGTTGCTAAACCAGTAAGAGAGTTCGCTAGTTTTCGGATGGGAGATTAAGGAATCTGTGACTGAGTCAGGCACATGTAGGAAGAAAATTTATAGCTTCATGCAATGATGGAAGAAGCATCTCCAACGCTCAGGTGAATGAATCCGGGGTATTTCACTGTTTCTCCAATCCCCTCATTGCCGTCGCCACCGTGGCAAGCAAGCTGCATGCTGTCAATGCAAGCATCATCGATATCCTGCAGTAGGAGACGTGAATAGACTTCATGGTGGATCCTCCTCATCCAGTGATAGTTCCATTCGGCACGTTTCACAAAATTAAGTGCGCCGTAAAGCTTCTCCTCCTTTAACTTCGTCGGGACTTCTTCCTTCTCCCCATGTTGTCTTCCTCCGGGGAGAGCTCTGCAATTGGAGTAGTACTGCCCGTCCGCGCCCAATGACACGGCCCCGAAAGTGATCCAGCTGCTGCACTATTGATCGATCGACTAGTCCATCGCCAGTTCTACCTCCCCTCTCCTCCCTATTCTCTGCAGTAGATCCACCATGGACGAACGGAATGTGTCGATCCCCGCGTGGGAGGGAACAGAGCTCCAGATTCCTGGGATTTGGGACAGCACATAAATTCGGCGGAATCCACCATCTCCTTTTTTTTTCAGTTTGAGCATTCTCGTTGTCATTTACTCCTGCCAATATGTCCGCTCCCGCGACCGAAACTCACGATAGCGGTACTGGGATCGCCCAGACCCAGCCACCGACCCATGGACACGCCCACCATGACAGCATCGCTCAGGACTACGCGCGATCTAGCATAGTACAAGAAAGCAACAATCCCAACCGGCATAGTGTGGTTTTCGACCATGCGCCCGACGCCGTCACGCACGACAACAAGCGCACCAGCTACGCCGGCAACCGGTACAGCATGGCGGCCGATACGATTCGGATGAGTTACGCCAACGACGAGGACCATCGTCGCTCGTACCATGTCGACTTTGGTCCGTTGGCGCATGTGAATACCGCTGAGACCCAGCTTCCGGCCTTCGGTGGTGAGCTGCAGCCGGGTCTGTATCGGTCCGTGAAGAATCGTAAAATCGGTAACCCGGCGCCTTTGGGCCTCGCGGGCTTTGCGTTGACTACGTTCATTCTGGGATGTATCAATATGCAAGCGCGTGATATCACCGAGCCGAATATGGTGGTTGGATCGGCGTTTGCGTATGGTGGGTTGGTGCAGTTGTTGGCCGGAATGTGGTATGTCTTCACCTGGAGAGTTATGTGAATGTGGCGGCTAATTTTATCTCTCAGGGAAATGGCCGCTGGAAATACATTTGGTGCTACGGCACTGTCCTCGTACGGCGGATTCTGGATCTCCCTGGCCATCGTCTTCACCCCTGGCGGATTCAATATCCAAGCTGCTCTAAAGGCAGCAGACAACGGATCAATGGGAATGTTCTATGACTCGCTGGGTCTATTCCTCATGGTACGTGTCCACCCTTTCCCTCCATTCCGTGTTAACATATTAACAACCGCAGGGCTGGTTCATATTCACCTTCATCCTCCTCACCTGCACCGTGAAGTCAACAGTGACATTCTTCTCGCTCTTCCTGTCCGTTGATCTCGCTTTCCTACTTCTCGGAATCGGGTACATGCGGCGCGGCGGAACGGAGATGCCGAATACGGCCATCATCAAAACTGGCGGGTTCTTTGCGCTGCTGGCGGCGTTCTTGGCTTGGTATATTGCGCTGGCGGGTATTGCGGACGATAGTAATAGTTTCTTTATTATTCCGGTGTTTCACTTTCCATGGTCCGAGAAGGGGAGGAAGTCGAAGAAGGAGGCTTAATTGGAGGAAGCTTTCTTGCAAAGTTTGTCGGACTTCTGCTTTGGAAGTTGGATTTGGGTAATGGCAAGGGTCAGGTTGGAGGGTCTATCACGTGGGATTCTTATTTATGATTATGGGATAATGGAAGAAATATAACTACAGGGCAGGATGATTAATGAACATATTAACTTGTGTATGTCCACAATACAGCTTCAACATAGTAAAAAGCGACCAAAGTACATCAGGGGATAGTTCCTTGCGGCCTACCCCATCGGGAAACTCGTCAACATGCAGACTTTGCAAGATCCTGCAGATCGGCATGAAAAGGGGCAGTTCCTGGTCCTCTGGTAAGCTGCCTCCACCTCGTATTTACCGGTCCTCATCGACGCTAACTCGCACCGGTCTTCCCCATGTAGCTAGGCGATCGACTAGCGCGAGAACAAGCCCTCAGGGCTGACTGTTCGTATCAACCGGGACTGTGATTAATGGTGCAATGTTGCAGAGAAGGATCACGTTCCTGACTACTGCAGGAACATGCTTCCGTGATTATATCAGTTACCGGATTAGGAAAATCGTCAAGTTGGACGTTGAGGACCTGGAGATGTTGCGCTTGAAGATATAAAGCCTCATGGTCTCCGGCAAAGGCTGCTCTTCAATCAACCGTTTGCCAGAATACCATCATCATGGCTTTCAAGACTCTCTCTATCGCTGCTCTCCTCGCTGCCCATGTGCACGCTCAGTCCGTTGACCCTGGCGTCGGTGCGAACCCCAAAGCCGAGGGTTCAACCAAGGAAGTGACCGCTGACAGCGGACCCAACGGGTATGTTCTCATACACTCTTCTTCCCCCATCAACACAACCTATCCTTTATCACACCTCACTACGTCATGCCATCCCACTGATTCAATATCCGCAGCTCCCAAGAATGGCTCAACACCGGCATCGCCACCTCCGGCTGGACTCCTCCCTTCCTCTCCCTCTCCGACATTTACACCATCAGCCTCTCGGACTTCTACACCGGCATCGGCTCCCCCTGCGCCCAATACGATGAATATTTCCAATCCAGTGCCAACAAATACAACATCGACCCGGTCATCCTCGCTGTCCTCGCCATGCAGGAATCATCCTGTAATGCCGACGCCGGCGGTCCCACCCCCGGCTTGATGCAGGTCGACTGCGCGAACTATCCCAACGGGGAATGTACAGACGACGTGCAGGATAATGTCGATGCTGGAGCTAACTACCTGACGAGTCAGATTGAGGAGTCTGGTGGGAATGCCATCCAGGCGTTTGGGAAATATAATGGGTGGTTTGTCAAGGGGAGTGGGTTGAATGGGGATCAAGGGTTGACAGAGGGGTATCCGTGCTCTGATGAGGGGAAGAGTAATGGGGTTCCTCAGAATCTGGATTATTTGCATCAGGTTCTTAATGGGTGGTTGCTTGGTTTGGATGTTTATGGGGATGATAGTTGGGTGGGGACGTATCATTGTGATCAGTCTTGTGGGAATAATGTTTGTTAGATTGGGGGAGTTACGGTGTGAGGACAAAGGAGTCGATTATATGACCGGCAAGGAATCTAGGTAGTGGTTGATACTAGCTGTGGAATAGACTGTCTTCTGGAATTTCCATCGTCGCTCTAAGGTTCAGTCACCCATCGGCTGCTACGGTGGTTTCTAACCCTGTCCCGGCTCCATCTCCATCACCTCCACCACCATCTTCTTTTCTTCGCCACCGTCTAACAGAATCCATGACGAGGATCCCCACCGCTAGCAACGGAACACAAAACCATCGCGAAACGTTTTTCTCGAAGCCAGCCAGCACACGCCGGTCCTGTGGCTTTCGAACCACAACTTAAAACAACTTCCGCCATGAACACTGACCTCAGCAAGAAATTTCCACGAGATTTCCTTCCTCTTTTGCATACCACGTTCTCTTTCATGTGAACGGGATTCTGCCGAGGGCCGGTCGTGGGTGAGCGATCCACCCGAACTCGTGGGAAGGTGACGAAGTGGCTTCCGACATGCGACCAAGTACTTGCGAATACATTTCTGCGATCAGCATCCAATCATTCATACAATTTAGACAGTGGGACATGTTCTTCTTTTCTTCTATCCCCTTCTACTTCCAATCTTTGTCGTCTTTGTTCTACGTGTTCCTGATCCCAAGAACACCCCACTAGGGCTCACGACCCTCGAAACGGTAGGTGATCAACACTGGTAACAATGAACGAGGTACTTTTGTGTCTCTGCTTCAGCCCACATATTGCGAATCCATGGAACGAGGGCTTGTCGTTGTCCTCTTACGAATGCGCCCAGAGAAGATTGTAAAGTGGATTGTTTTGCCATTGGTCGAGTGGCGCTTAGTCAGTGCTCGGCAAGGGTTTTGTTGGTTTTCGTCCCTGAGCGAGAGGCTGCGTTCCTTGGGTCGCCGAGGAGATTTTCAGGAGCGCTTTCTTCTGGTTTATTTTTGGGCAGGGGATTGTCAGGGGTCGTGTAGGTTGTTCTGGGGACTGTGTTGTCCTGGTGTGGTGGTGGTGCTATTGGTGATGGGGATACAAGTTGTGCAGTGTAAAGGGAGAACATCATGGACAAGGTGTCTGTTGACGAACAAGCAGGATGAAGTGTAAACACAGCGGAGTCTACATCCAAGCCAAGTGGGTAAATAGAATGACTAGCTGTCTTAGCCTCTCCACACACAAGACCTAAGCGTGAAAAGCAATCCTTTACACAACAATTCTCAATGCTAGCAGATTTTGATCAGACCCGCCGGTCTAGAGTCGAGTCCAGACATTGCAGGATCAGTCTGCATTTTCTGTCCTCTTGGTTGATCTCAAACATCGATTTCTCTGTGCTGTGCCTCCTGCTCACTCTTGGGATCGTTTCAGATTTGATTCAGGCCGGCCTGATTGGTCTGGTTCCGGCTCTGTCAAAGTCAATCTCAACCAAGATCGTACATCACAAAGTACCACAACAAAGACTGAAAACCGGTAGTCTTAACAGTTAGACTTAAGGCAGTGTAGACTTCAGACCAGCCGCTGACGCCCGCACTTCCCATCCTCCACTCTGCCCAATGGCATCTCAACTTAAAATCCAGGAACAGCCCACTCGTTGGTTCCAGAATGTCGCATGTGGGCTGGCTGGTCGAATCGGCTTGCTTTGGATGTCCAAATCCAATCGCCTATTGTTTTTGTGTCTCCATTCCACACACCAGCCCAGTCTGGACTGCCGAGCTGGTCCACCGTTCATTCCATTCGCAACAGCGGTCAATGACACTCATTGTAGTCTATTTCTAAACTCCAGTCTTTTCCACGGCACTTGGGGGTTATCCACACCATGTCGTGGCCGTTGCTGACGCAGGTCTTTCTGGTCTGTGTCGTCGTCGTCTCCAGTCTGGACCAGGGTCCTAACACCCGTATACTCTGCGATGGCGTTCGAGACCGTGGGCTGGCGTGAGGTAATTGACTGAGCGTTTTTTTTTTGGTTCTTGGCTGGTTGGTTCTGGTGGGAGGAATGGGTATATAGAGGTCTCAATTCCCCGTCTTTGTGGTTTCCTTTCCATCATTGATTCAGCTGTGTTGTGTGTTCGATACTGCAACTATCCACATTCATTAACTTTCTTTCTATTCTTCTCTACTTATCTTGATTGATCAAGTATCGCTTGACGCGACGTACATCCAACTCTCCTTCTACTTTACAACACACCTCACGTCTTTTATACCAAAACTCCAAACAAACAAACCAAAATGCATCTCACCAACTCCTTCCTCCTCCTGGCCTCCCTCTCCGCTACCTCCCTGGCCCACCCCACCAACGTTATCAATAAACGCCAGGACTACTCCGCCGCCTCCACCACGGCAGCCGTCTCTTCCACTCCCTCGTCCAGCTCCACCACTTCCTCTGACGGCTACTCCACCTCCGGCTTCGGTGCCTCCACCGCCGCCTCCGGCTCCGACATCACCTACAAAGGCAACGTCGGCAACCCCTGGGGCAGCAACATCATCGAGGTCTCCTCCTCCGCAGCCCAGAGCTACAAGCACGTTCTCGAGATCACCGGCCCCGACTCCGAGGACTGGTCTGTCGTCTTCTGGAACAAGTACGGCCCTGATGGCGAAATGAATGGCTGGTACGGCTACTCCGCCCTGAACTTGGACGTTTCCGCTGGTGAGACCAAATACGTCGCGCTCGCCGATGACACGAACGGTGGGTTCGCTGCCGCTCCCTCCTCCAGCGGTATTCCTAAGGACAACGGCGGCGGATACGCCTCTACGTGGGGCGAGTTTGATTTCAGCTCCGCTGGTAATGGAGGTTGGTCTGGCTTCGATGTTAGTGCGATTGCGGCGCAGAATGCGGGCTTTGATGTCCAGGGCATGCAGATCTGTGAGACCAATGGGGGTACTTGCTCCAGTATTACGGCTGATGCCGCGAGCGTGAACAATGCGTATACTACTTCCGAGACGGATATTGGCGGCATTGGTGGTAACATCTCGGGAGATGGACAGATTGTGTTGCAGGTTACCCTTGACTACAGCGGGTAGATTGGCTTTTGTTTAGAATGTCGTGTTAGGGCTTGACTTGATGTCGCCATTGATAGGGGTGGATTAAAAGTGCTAGATTGATTTTAGCTAAACGATGTTGTTATCTTCGACTGTGTATAGTTATGAGTGTTAGACAAAACTGGACTTTTCACTTTTCTACTTTCTTTTTATCGCTTTGAGGGTATTTCCACAAGAGCCCGGGATAAATACTTGGCATGATCGGAACAACCCGGGCCTTGATGAAGAAGAGATCACGGGCTTCAACATCTAACGTGAAAAAGTCCAGGCTGAGTTGCGGAACAGCGTCTTCGTCGAGACTGTCGTCCGCGATTACAGGGACCTCGAACATAAGATTTCTATTTTCGCGGATCACGACTCGTCAGTAAATTAAAGATCCAGTGATGGCCGTGGCACTCACAGGCACGTGGGTGAGGGAGAAAATGAAGCGACAGGAGGTACTGGCTAAAGAGCCGGTGCGGGGGTTGAAGGCTGTAGTGAAATTCGGAGGAACTGTCGAGATAAACTGAGATTGTTGGACTAGGGGGTGTTCAAAAGGAGTGATGTTTCTGTGAGTAGTTAACAGTATGGAGGGTTGTATCTTATCCTGGTGGCGTATCTTAGTTGCGAGCTATCTTCAACACCGAAGGTATATACTTATTCGGACAATTCCACTGGTTAAATCGGCTGTCGGAAAATCGAGTGAAAGAGTTGTCAAATGACGATCTCATGACTTGCATAAAACAATATTGTAGAGGTTATACATACCTTTCAGGCACGAGTCATTCGGTTGAGCCGATATCCGACTATCTGCAGAATTAATATGTTCAATCACACCAACAGTGTTACATTGGAACGCCACAAGACTGTCACGCAGATTGCACTCCCCGCACTCATGTATTCTGAAATGCTTGTCATTCGCCTGAAGGCTTGTCTAGGCCTTAGTGCCTGGCGATAGGATGGTGCCGGTTCGGATACCAACATGGTAGTAGTGTTCCGCCATTAGTACTCCGTACTATCTCCTCGATAAGCTGAAGATTAATATATTCAGGTTCAGCACCGTCGGACTCCGCCCGGGAAAATGGGGGATATCGCCGACCACGCTAGTCTCGGGCCATGCGCGGTTAGCTTGGCAATTGCTTGACTACGCTTGAGTAAGAGATATCACGAAGTGAGTTGAGTGGCTTGCTTAGTGCGCTTTTCTGCAAGAGTCGGGGTTTGTGCTTTGCGCACCAATGAATCCTTCCGGTGCTGCAGAATCCTGCATGTCTGAGCACAGGTCTATACCATAGCTCGACTGAATCAGTCGGTCAACTCTCCCAACTCATGCTAGTTGCTATCACTGGTTCGCATTCGTCGAAACTCGCAGAATGGTATCATCGCTCGATATTGATGTCAGGGGTAGACGGAATAGACGGAGTTTGACAAGGATACTGTCGAGCGAGGTATAAAATGGGTTGCTGTCTCCTGATTCAATTCGATCATCAGAGCAGACTCACTCCTCCATCTTCCATCTCAGGCCCAGCTCGCAAACTTTCAATCCTTCACCATGAAGTTCTCTACCATTCTCTGTTCCACCCTCCTCGCCGGCACCGCCGTGGCCGCCCCTCTGACCGAGAAGCGTCGCGCTCGCAATGAGGCCCGCATCCAGGCACGCAACGCCAACCGAAAGAGCAACCCTCCTCTGGTGCCTGACACCCAAGAGATCCTGCAGCTCAACAAGACCACCCAGGAGCAATACAGCTCCAACTGGGCCGGTGCCGTGCTCATCGGATCCGGCTACACCTCCGTGACGGGTGAATTCACCGTCCCCAGCCCGTCCGTGCCGTCTGGCAGCTCCTCCAGGGGCGAATACTGCGCCTCCGCCTGGGTTGGTATCGACGGAGATACCTGTACCAGCGCCATTCTGCAGACCGGTATAGACTTCTGTGCGCAGGGAGACTCCGTGTCGTTCGATGCGTGGTATGAATGGTACCCCGACTACGCGTATAACTTTGACAACTTCGATATCTCGGTCGGGGATAAGATCAAGGTCACCGTGGATGCAAGCAGCAAGACGACTGGCACCGCGACAGTCGAGAATGTGACCACTGGTAAGAAGGTCACTCATACGTTCAGTGGCGGCGTGGATGGCGACCTGTGTGAGACCAATGCCGAGTGGATTGTCGAGGACTTCGAGTCGAGTGGCTCCCTGGTCAACTTTGCTGACTTTGGCACGGTCACTTTCACCGGTGCTGAGGCGTCGACTGGCAAGTCGACTGTTGGACCCTCCGGTGCTACTCTGATCGATATCAGACAGAACAGCGAGGTGTTGACTTCTTCTTCTGTTTCCGGTAGTTCGGTCACCGTCAAGTACCTTTAAGTATTCAGAAAGACCTGATGGGGGTGATTGGGCTCGGAGGAAATGATTGAGTTGGAGATACAGATGCTTTGGAACAGGAGGATGCGCTGAAAGCATATCTGAGCGGTGATGAGAGGATTCTGTACTTGAGCAGTCATCGTGAATAGTGAATAAGAGAATCTTCCTTTCTCGAACCCTCCGGCCACGCTTTCTCTTTTGGAAAGTCACGATGTATGACGGAAAACACCTCTGCATCTTGTAATTGTTTCTGTTCATCTTCTTTTCCATTCCATCTTCTCCCGCGCTTACACCTCTGTCCTTCAATCTCCATCGCATCAGAGTCTTGCTCCCACACTATCCTCAACCACATCAACGGTCAACATGTCTAGCTCTGGCAAAGTCTTCACCTATAAAAGCTCCAGCATCAATCGTGAGGTAGGTAACGTAAAACCACTGAGACCCTGTCCACTGGACTTGGCTAATATGAAAAACCGTAGTGTAATCATTATTGCGCTCGCGACTACCCCGACGCCTCAAACTCCAACAGTTATCATTACTCCAACAGGTCAGACTCCTCCCCCTTGTCAAGTTTGGAACCACTAGTTAACAAAATCTAGCGATAGGCCCTATTACTATTCGAACCCCAATAGCAGCACTTATTACAACAATGGCAAGGGCAGTGCGTGGTATACTCCGCCTGGAGCCAATAAAAAGTGAGGTCAGACCTGGCGGGCGTTGGTGTATGAAGCAACAACCTTACTCGCTGCCTGGGTCTCAGAATTTGATCAGACGCATACATGTTGGAGGATTGGTGAAGTAGTTTATCTCAAGTCAATAAGGGAGAGACAAGATGAGAAGCGAATTTGATTTTCTAGTCTTCTGCCGTTTCTGGGCACGCATACCAAACAAACAACTCTTCCTCTCTTTTGTTCGTCTTCTCCCTCATCTCCTAACGCCTCCTCTCTATCCCATCTCTCATCCCTTTTTCATCTAGCCTCATAGTCCATCTAGAACTGCAAGACTACCGCTGTGTATTTTGAGTACTTGACAGTGGGGCAGAGTGATTGCATTGGGGCGGTTCGAGACTGGTTGTGTGAGCAGAGTCAGTGCTATAGAGATCTCTTACTTCTACCTAGACCAAAACTCTCAGCTGGACAATGGTCAGTCCTTGCAGTACCTGATATGTCAACAGATTCGTCGGAGTGATATATACGTACCTATGCTTAGGTAGCTTCCAAAGAAACTACATTCTGGATTAGATGCCACACTCTGCTTCCCCGTGTAAACTAAGCGAATGTAATTTATCGAATAGTGCTGTCAACACACGGGCTTACCTTTCGAGTAGTTACGTGATATGGCGAATCATCATCTCTTATCATGTTTCATTCCTCAATATATATCTCCCTATACGCGCGTCAATGTTTGTCGACAGACATTTGTAGACCCTCAATTCCGCCTCAATCTTCACTTGAAAACCAATGTCCACCACGAGCAATTGGGTAAGCTATAGTACTTCAAAAGACTGACTCCCAGCGGGTATTGACAACTGTCAGGGTAATCACCCGTTTTCTCGTAGCCACTGCTCTAAGGCCTCCACCAACAGCAATAATTCGCAGACGGAAGCCAAGATCTCCGAAGTATTATGATTTGAACTCACTGAAAATCATAGGAGTAATCCCAACTACAGCTCCAACCACCATCTCAGGATCTACAACGAGGATTCCGATTACGTACCCCCGGGAAAGACAAAGAAGTAAGTACCCAGATCTTGCGGCAGTCCGTCAAGCCTCAGGAGCAGTCTGGCTCCTTGCATCCGTGGAATGAATTCATCAAAAGTCAGTGAATACGAAAGTGACAGGTCACATTCCACCGCCTCCTGCCGTGTCTGGGTATGCAAACCAAACAAACCCGCTTGCCCCTCACTTTGTTTATATCTCGCTATCCACCTCCTCCACTTCATCCCATCTCTCGTCCCATCTCTCAGTCCTTCCTCTTCTAACCTCAGTCTTTCTATCGCGAATCAACCAAACACTCCACTACCATCATCATGTCTAGCTCCGGCAAGGGATACTCCTACACCAGCTCCGGCACCAACAGCCAGGTAAGCCGTGGAACTCCCGCTCAGTCATCGGGATTCTCACCAGCCAGGGTAACCACTACTGCTCCCGCGACTACGGTTCCAGCGCGTCCAACTCCAACAGCTACCATTACTCGAACAGGTAGGGTCTCCGCTCTGGTTGACAGACGTCTGCTAAGCAGGACAGCAATGGCTCCTACTACTACTCCAACCCCAACGGCAGCACCTACTACAACAATGGCAGCGGGGGGTCGACCTACACTCCGGCCGGAAAGAAATGAGCATGCGATGAGGGCGAGCACGGATGTCGGATGGGAACAGTTATGCAGACGGATGGTCGGGTTGCCGGATTTATGTAGGGCATCATGATTCCTGTTTAGCCATTGTCATCTCGTCCGTATTCAGTCACCGAGTGGATTTGAAACCGTGCCGGCTATGAACGTATCCGAGATGTTTTTATGATTACCTTTGATTATTTATGAGTTATCCAAGTTGTTCTTGTTGACCCCTGCTTCTCGCACATTGCAGCGCTAGGCCCCATCCGGCGAAGCTTGCGACGGTCCGCCGGCGGCCACTGTCATCACCAGCCAATCAGCGTGGCGCCTCATCCGCCCGACGATGCCACCGAGGATGACTCAGCCATCCGCGGGTCCCGCCGACTTCTCATTGGACCGTACGCGAGGCCGAGGCAGGCCGATTGCTGAGTCATCCCCCCCCGGAACCAGCAATCGCAGAGAGAGAGGTGACGTTGTGGACAGTCACAAGGGATGCGGACTGCCCGCGTCGGACTCTCCGCGGGCCAACCTTCTGGCCGAGAATGTGCGCCTCGAAGTCTGATATTCGCCGACTCGATTCTCCTATGGAGTGAATGAATACTAGTGCACTGACCCCCCCGCTGCCGAAGATCTCCGTTCAGAAGCCGCCCGGTCGTCTATTATGTCGCCTATTTCTACCCATGTCTCCCCCCTGGATTCGCGGTATGCTGCAGTTAGTTGAATGTTAACGTCCCTGTCTGCATCATGGACCCCCCGCATATGTCCATGCTGATTCTGGCCGGCGCCGTTTGCCTGGCCCTGTACATCGTCACTCTCCTGCAGCGCAAATGGACTCACTACCGCATCGCCCGGAAGAACCACTGCGAACCTCCCCCGTCCCTGTACATGAAGGACCCCATCTTCGGCATCGACAATGTCTACACCAGCATCAAGTGCGCCAGGGAGCATACCTTCCTCGAACGTGGGTTGGCCAACTTCCGGGATTACGGCAACACCTTCAGGGCCAAACGCATCGGCACCCGCATCATCGCCACGCGCGACCCGCTGAACGTCAAGACCCTCCTCTCCCTGAAGTTCAAGGACTTCAGTCTGGGCAATCGCATTCATTCCTTCGGTCCCTTGCTCGGTCATGGCATCTTCACCACCGACGGCGAACATTGGGCTCAGTCGCGCGCCATGATCCGCCCGAACTTCAGCAAGGACCAGGTCGCGCATCTGGAAGTCTTCGAGGAGCTGATGAGCGATCTGTTGGCGTTGATCCCGACCGACGGCCGCACCTTTGACCTCCAGGAACTGTTCTTCTGCTACACCATCGATTCCGCGACCGAGTTTCTCTTCGGACACAGCGTGCACAGTCTCAAGAAGCGTCGCTCGCCCGTGCCGGAAGAAGACAACGAATGCGACTTCGCCACCGCCTTCAACTACGCGCAAGACGCTATCGCCCACAACTCGCGTATCGGGCATCTCAGCAAGCTGTTCCCTGACCGTCGCGCCGAGCGTTGCAATCGTGTCTGTCATGAGCTGGTCGAGCAGTTTGTCGACAAGGCGCTGCGGTATCGCGAGCACCATGACGAGGAAAAGGACGGCGCGGACGACGCCGATAAGAAAAAGAAATATCTCTTCCTGCAGGGTCTGGCGCAGCAAACGGGCGATCGTAAACGCATCCGCGACGAGCTGATGAATGTCCTGCTGGCGGGACGCGATACCACCGCTTCATTACTGAGTAATATGTTTTTCATGCTGGCGAAGCATCCCCACGTGTGGGCGAAACTGCAGGAGGAGGTCGCCTCGTTGAATGGACGAGTGCCGACATACGAGCAGCTGCGCAATTTGACTTATCTGAAATACTGCATGAACGAATGTATGTTGCCCTGATCCCTGTCTCCGCTTATCACTGACGTCATCTTAGCGCTTCGCCTGCACCCCGTCGTCCCTGCAAATAGTCGCGTGGCCGTGACCGACACCATCCTGCCCGTCGGCGGCGGCCCCAACGGCGAGTCTCCGGTGTTTGTAGCGAAAGGCACGGTCGTCGGCTACAGCACCTACTCGATGCATCGACGGGAGGACTTTTATGGTCCTGACGCGGAGGACTTTCGACCGGAGCGATGGGCCACGCTGCGTCCGGGGTGGGAATATCTGCCGTTTAACGGGGGCCCTCGGATCTGTGTGGGCCAGCAGTATGCGTTGACCGAGGCCGGATACGTGACGGTTCGCTTGGCGCAGCAGTTTTCCGTGCTGGAGAGTCGTGACCCACGGCCGTGGGAGGAAAGCTTGACATTAACCCTGTGTTCGAGGAATGGGACCCAGGTTGCTGTGCATTAGTTTGACATGTGATGTGATTTCTCCGCACTATTCAGCGAACAAATTGTTTTATCTCCCTGTTGTACCGTACCCAACACTCGTCACTTTGACTGCTACTACCTCGTACCTCTACTAATGAAATCTACCCAAACAAATCTATTCAACCCCGACATGCCATGCCTGCACAGCCACGCTCCTTATCCGCCGGATAAGACTGACTGATGGATTCCACCATTCAGTGTCAGCCAAGCTGGAAGAATGATTCGTGGTCGATTTTCTCCGTGAGGGGGAGCTCTCTTATTTTCCCGTGTCTTGGGCTTGGCACCTCCTGAGGATATTCTACCCGAGCTATCTATATAACCCTGTGGTGGGTCGTACCTTTTTGTCTAGGACACCAGAAAATAAACAATTGCATTTTTATCTCTTTCTCGCCAGCAGAGAAGCAATTGGTATTCATTCATCATGATCCTCCCGCCCCTCCTCGGGGTCAGCCTCACCCTGGGCCTCGCTGCCGCAGCCTCTACCAATAACTACACGGAATGGATGGCCACCTCGTACCTCTCCAAATCGGTCACTCAGTCCCGTAACTACGCCAATGGGGTCCTCTACCGAGGCATCGAGCTCGCCTACAACAAGACCCAAGATGAGTCCTTGCTTAACTTCATCACCTCGCAGGTCGACGCGGTCATTTCTCCCGAAGGCGAGCTGAATGACTACAATCTCACCAAGAAAACGTCTCTCGATGACCTCCGTATCGGAACCAATCTACTCAATCTCTGGGCTCGAACGGGTAACAAGCGGTATAAAATCGCGGCCGATACCCTACGTCACCAGATCGACGTTACTCCCCGCAATGCCGGTGGGGGGTTATGGCATCGCATGCCTACGTATCCGAATCAGATGTGGTTGGATGGGATTTATATGTCGACGAATTTCTATGCGCAGTGGACTGCTTGGTTTGACTCGAAGAATAAAACCGCTTGGGATGATATTATGTTGCAGTTTGATTTGATCGAGGAACATACTCTAGTTAAGGAGTCGGGGTTGTTGGCGCATGGGTATGATCATTCGAAGGTGGCTGTTTGGGCTGGTATGTTCTCCCTTTCCTATGGTTGGAATTCGGTGTTTTTCTGGGCTATTCGTCCTGCCTCTCCCCCCGTTTTGATTATTTTCCACGGGGAAGCAAAATGCGATGTCCGTGATGCAGTACTAATTCCTTGATGAAATAAATCAGATCCCGTAACCGGCTCCGCCCCTCACGTCTGGAACCGCGCGCTAGGATGGTACTTCATGTCCCTCCTCGACATCCTGGACATCTTCCCCCGATCTCACCGCGGCTGGAAACAAAACCTCCGACGCTTCCAAGCGCTCGCCAAGGCGCTGAAAGCAGCCCAAGATAAATCCGGCGGATGGTGGTTGATCATGGACGAGCCGTACCCCTCGGATCCGAGGAATTATATCGAGAGTAGTGGGAGTGCGATGTTCACTTATGGGTTCCTTAAGGGGATCAGGAAGGGGTATTTGAAGAGTAAGGATTACAAGGGGGCCGCGGATAAGGGGTACAAGACTTTGCTGGAGGAGTTTGTGGGGAAGAATGACAATGGCACGTTGAATTGGGAGGGCACGGTTGAGGTCGGGAGTTTGAGTAGTAATGGGTCGTTTGAGGTGAGTTTCCTTTCCCTATCCTCGTCTTTTTGGGTGTTTTCTTTTCTTTTCTTTTCGACTTTTGGTGCAGTCGACTAACTCGATCTAGTATTATGTCTCTGTTCCGATCCAGAAGAATGACATCAAAGGTGCCGGGCCGTTTATGTATGCCAGTTATGAGCTGGAAGGATACTAAACGCCAGTCATACTCAACATCATTCTTACTTTCCCACATGCCCGATCTTTGCTTTTCAAGAATGCACATACACAATACAAGGGACATGAACATAGCTAGCTACCTTAGAAGCCATCTCCATATAGATGAGTGATCCACAACCAATCTACAGACAGTTTCAATTCGTTTTCTATAAAGTTTCTTCCCGAGTCCGTACCAGATAAAGTAGCCTGCTGTCTCGGACAAAGAAGACCATGAAGTTCCATGGTTCTCATTTCTCGTGATGCTCGTGGTCGATGATGAGGTATGATGCTTTCTTGCCACTCACCACTCAAATACGTCATTGGGTTTATATAACCCATCCCCAGACCTCACACCCCGGATTCTACACACCATTTTTTATCGTTTTACTTTCTGGCATACATATAAGTCAAATAAAACCGTCTAATCACAAATTGACCTCAAATCAAAATACCGAATTCCTACAAACCCCTCCAAGACCACCACCAAAACTCAACTCTTTCCAAAAAAGAAGAACCAAGAAAAGAAAATGCCCACTCAAACCCGCCAAACCGACCTCCTCAATAACCCCCCTACCTCTAAAACCGCTGCCGATAACCCATCCTCCTCCGCTCGCGACCCTCTCACCTCCAACCAAGAAGAAACTCTTTCTCCCACCACCCGCGATGCGAGCTCTGACTCCGGACCTGAACATCCCAGCAAAGTCACCGGCCAGTATCACTCGGTGAAAGGAACTGTTGTGGAGATGATTGGGAATACGACGGGTTCTGAGGCGTGGAGGGAGTCGGGGAGACGGGAACATGAGCAGGGTGAGAGGGAGTTGGAGGATGCGGAGCAGTTGTTTCCTATTGAATAGTCTTATCTCTCCCCATTTTTTGGGTCTGGGTTGAGGGTAAACTGACAGATTCGGACTTTGTAACTGGTTTATGGGTTAACTATTGGGAAGAAATATGGTGCTTTAGCTGATACGATATGGGATGGTTCTGTTACATTATACTTTAACGTGGTGAAAATAATGATATCGCAAATTTCATTTATTGCTAATTCTGAATCGTTATGTCATGGTGTGTAAACTTGGATTATTCTAGTTGGTAATGATGGGCACGGTGTCTTTTGATTCAGCGGAGGTGTACTGTACGCCAGATGCCTACACCGTATATCATGATGTCAGGCTTTTGAATAAGTGAAGTATTCTTATAGTTATTCACACGCGTTGGCCATCCAGAGTCCATGTTGAGAGCTCTATTCTTTCTCAACATCTCGTAGATATGGTCAAGTGATTTAACCTTTATTGATTTCTGGTCCGTTCAAATGGCAAGTAGATGAGGCTTGGGTGTTTATGTCCTGTTCCTTGATTATGGGATCGAATTTATCAGGAGAATGCTAGACAGCGCCTGAGTACGATTTCTAAGCTCCCATTCTCTGGGAAATGTTGTAATTCAACTATCTTCTGTTGACCGTATTTTCAACAACCATGACAATTCCCGACAAGATTCAATCGGGTCTAAATGAGATGGTAAATGACGACTCCAATCACTCTCCTTGAATGGCGGGGTATCAAGAAGCGGTGTCAATCCAACCATGTTGACTATTTTCGTTGATGATTCTTGTTCGCCTTTTTCGATATTTATTCGACAGTAGTATAGTTCAGGCTCTGATTACGAGCCATTGCGGGGAAGCAGCTAATATCAAACCTGTCTATTCTCAAATTGCTCGAAAGGTCATGTTACACCTTCTGGTAAATAACCTAAATCCAAGACCTCCTAGTCAGCTCACCGCCACATCCCCAATCCCCATGTCCCTTCCATGCAGGCCTGCCTGTGACATCTGCATCCCGGTATATTCCCACCGCTCGGCAATGCTACCTGACCCTCCGGCCCTGCGGCTTGTCACCGTGCCTGTCATCGCGTCAATATCGACAGGGGGGTTAGGCACATGCTGGCCGAGTGGCAATCATATCGACCTGTCCAATCGGAGGGCAGGGAAATAACATGCCGGTTGGCAGGCGCATTGCGCGGTGCGTGGGATATTCGCTTGCTCGCGTCTTGGTCGGGATGCAGGTCATCTGGTGGAAGTGTTTGGAGTGCAGGGAATACGCTGGTCTGCACTTGGGCAGCGTTATGACACCATTGTACATACATACGTACGGACATACTCCGTACAGAGGGGATTGTTTGTCATGTAGTTTTGCTGTGAGGATTGCCCCTCCTTGCCCCTCCTGCCCCTCCATCCTCCGTGGTGTAGACTAGCAGTCGCTAGATACACTAGATACGGGGAAGTATTCCCGCGAAGGCATCCAGGAGCGCGCACGCCATCAATCGGATATTCTTCGGGCTGAGTTGCGATCATCGAATCAGATGCGACTATCGCTATTGTCATCATCATCGTCGTCGTCGTCGATACCAGGTATCCTAGCTGATGCCAGACTATCGAGGGTTCTCCTTAAAAGCCATCCGCCGGTAGCGCCAGAACCCTCCGGATGACGTAGCCGTTCCTCCCTCCTCCAGTCAGCGCGAGTCAGACGGTCATATGTGCCTACAAAACGGAGGATTGCACCCGAACACCAAACCAGGCTGAACGAAACAGCAATTTCCCTGATCCTGCCGGACCCTGGGGACAGGGAAGCGGCACGTTGCACGGGCAGCGACCAGCTGTGTGGACGGCAGGGATGACCATTCCGTGGGGACGGTGTCCAACGACAAAAGTCGGGATTTTTGGCCAAACCGCCGGCGGAGGAAACGCCGCGGATCCGCGCGCTGACCATTTGCTTGATCGGATGGCGGTGAGGCTACGAGTACGGAGTGCGGTGTAGTGGCGGTGTATTAGTTTATTTATTGTTTTTCGGGTGGAGGGAGGATTTGCTTTTAAACAGCATGTCGCGGTGTGGTTACCTGACTGACGGGCTGAGTTTTCTCACCCCAGGCAGCCAGGTCCAGGTATCCAGGTCCAGGTACCGCAGAGAATAACGAGACAAATGTTTCAGACATCCCTATATATAGAGCCTCTATATCCATCGGATGTTATCAATACGAAAGCACTCCCCACCCACTGCAATCCACAGATCAGATCAACCATACAGGACCATCGCATCCACCCATATCCACCCACTCCACCACGGCCAGTCTACCACTGACGGTCGATGGTCAACCGAAATTGAGAAGACCGATCGGTGCCCAATACCCGGATCCCACTATCGACCGGAACTGCATCCGCGTTAACGATCGGAGCATTACGCGACCAATGACTGCCAGACCTGGCATCCCGACAGACCGTCACACAACCTAAACCTGCGAACTACGTGTTATTTACTTATTTTCGGCCCTGCGTTTGTCCTTCGCCCTCGGAATTGCCCTTCCCCGGCCAATCGGGGCGTTGCATTTGTTGCTGCCGTTCCACTCTTCGCTCGTCCTGGCTTCCCGAATGCAAGGGAAGTTTCGATGATCCCGGCAGAGGCACGGGAATCATTCTGGCCTCTGTATTTTCAATAATTCGAAATTAAGACGGACGGTTTAGACGAGGTTCCAATCCGGTAGAGAAAATTCTGACAGGACCACATGGCTGCGTGCTTGGGGGGTGGATGAGGAGGGTGTTGGCGACGTGAGGATAAATAGTCGTTGCTTTCCTGGCCTCATTGTTTTCGCTCCGTTGTTTACCTTCCTCAGCATTCAGCCTGAATTGAGCATCAGCCACAGCCAAGGCCTAGCCTCCTTGCCCGTCTCTTTGCTTGTCAGCCTCATCATGGACAAGTCCTCCGCTCAGAGCAAAGATTCTACCCAGCCCGACCTGGCGCAGTACCAGGCACAATGGACCAAAATTCACAATGACACCATCCGGCAGATCAAGCAAGTCAGAGGTATTCACCTTCCATTCCATCGAGAGTCATCGACTATGCTGACTTGCGCAGAAAAAGAACAGGCCAAAGGCTCGGATGCTAAAGGCTCTCGATAGCCTGATACCCATGACCGACGACGAACATCAAGAACATTTTTCACGGAACATCTTCATATTGCATGGTCGGATCGGGAGCTTGGCGTTTTTTATTTATGGTTTCTCTGCTCTGCGAGTTTTGTTCTTCGGCGACGGAGCTTAAGCATCGGGATGAGTTTGGTTTGGCGTACGGTGTAAATTGGCTGGGTTGGATGATTTTCTTGCGCTGCCATTTAGTAGCATCAATTACCCAAGTGGGTCTCTTCTTCTCTTCGTGGAGTTTTCTTTTTCTCTTCCTCTCTGGTTTGTGGACTAGAAAATGATTCTAGATTGAATGTGGCTAAGACATTCTGCCGACGGGTCGTTGTGATATCATAACCTTCTTCTTTATTTTTTGGCTTGTTTCATCTGCCCTTATTTATTCATACGGAGTACTATCTTTCCATTTTTTTTTTTTTTTTTTTTTTTCTGTCCTGTCTGCCTTTCGGCATCTACCTTCTGTACGTATGCGTATCCACCAAATGCGCCTAAATTATGCATACATACATCCGCGGCTCAGCCACAGCTCTCCCTGTCACTTTTCTACGATTTATATATATCCATCACGCCACAGCTCCATTTGAGCCTGAAGAATCCTACTGCGTCACATTGAGAACCCTAATGTAACGTAATGTGGCAGTCATCCTACTTACCTACATACTAAGGTAGGTTCCTTCTATCCGATACTTCGTATTCCAGCTATTTGGTCCTCTCCAATGCGGCATCGCCTTGGGCATCAATACGCACCACGGGATCTAATCACTCGCCACTGCATCCTGGTCGGTTCGCTGGCTGGTTACTTTTTTAGGATTATGGATGATCAACAGGGTTGATTGTTTCTTTGATTGATAAGGTGTGTTTGTAACTTGGTTAAAATGCAGTGGATTGTGTACATATGTACTTCTCTCGGGTTTTTTTCGGTGATTATCCGCAGGAAATGACGTCAATGATTTGCAATATATATTCTGCTAAGAGGGAGCTACCTTTACTTGGTCCTGCTATACATTCTTGCATAGTTTAGGTATTTAGGTAGGTGTCCCGCTTTGCGTGGGGTGCCTCCTAGTTTGTCTGGATCGCGGAAGAATTAGGTCGGTTGTTGTTATATATTGTCGGTCGCATTTTGGTAAAGGCATCAATAGGTCGAAAATGATTGTTCTATTAGGTAAGTGTTATATTTGAATATTAATGAACGGACGAAATAGAATCTAATGACTGGAATGTGCGACATGTGGACGATCTTGCTGGCGGCATACTATGCTCTCATCTAGATCTTCTACAACCCACCCTACAAAGTACAAAAGGTACAATCCAAACTTCATACGAACAACTGCCACACCAGGACTAGCACACCCGACCCCGACCCTACAATGCTTGCAGGTTGCAAAGCGCAGACCTCTGAACAGCCACTGCAACTGGGGCCAAATGCCCACGCACTAACCCGCTTAGTCCATCGTCGCAACAATCCGCCGGGGCGATATGAAGACTTACATCTTCTTCGAGTATAGACCCGACAGGGCCACGAACCCTTCCCCGTCTGGTAAGTGCTAAGAGTTGCAGGATCTGGGGTTGTTTCAGGGTCGAACAGCGTTGGCTGTGTCAGGCTATAATTATCGTGATCGAGTATCTTTCTGCATGCCAAGGAACGAGATCTGTTGGAGGGGGCCAAATTGAGAGGGCGAACCTTGTCAATTGGAAATATTCTGTGGGAGATTTGGAAAGGTATAAGGTGGAATAGTATGAAATTTAATCTATGTGACCGGGTCCTTCTCTGCTCTAACCGTTCTCGAGTCTCAGTTCACTTTCCGCGATACATCTGCCTCGTTCCTACAGCTCGTGAAGATCTTCTGAGCATCATCATGAAAATGCCCCAGCCAACGAACGGGCCAAAAGCCAGATACCAATCATGATCAGCCCTACCCCGTTGGGTGTTTCAACCTGCAGCTAATCTTCCTCAGCCCCATTCGACTTCTTCACTGTAATCCATCCCCTGTATCGGCCTCTCATAAAACCCACCATCTCGCTAAAATGGACAAATTCTCACGATCCGTTTGCGTTCGCTCTCGGACTCGTCCGCCCATCCGACCATGCATAAAGGCCTCGTTCACCAGGAAACAGAACTCCTTCGGATATCCGACCGTCATGGAAGCGCCGATAACCTGACCTTCGAGAACAAGCCCGGCTGGCGAAAGAGTCAGCTGCGAGTCTGGGCGGGGAGCTGGCGGTTCATCCTGTTTCTATCGTTCGTGGCCAGTCTGGTGGTTCTCGTGCTGAATCTGGTGGCTTTGATCTGGGCGGCTGCGAGCAATCAGGTTCAGAAGGGTCGCGGGGTCTTGTATGAAGGGGACTGTGAGAAAGTGCAGCGGTTGAACGTCGGCATTCATTTTCTCATCAACGTGCTGGCCACTGTTTTGCTGGGCGCTAGCAATTATGGCATGGTATGTAGGCCAATGCTGATCTATTAGACGAATGCTGACCTCGCAGCAATGCCTGTCTGCTCCGACGAGATGCGACATAGATCGAGCACACCGCAATGGCCGCTGGCTGGACATCGGCGTGCAGAGTGTCCGCAACCTTGCTCATGTCTCCGTTCCGCGCTGTCTGTTGTGGATCGCGCTGGCCTTCACCGCGCTTCCGCTTCATCTCTTGTAAGCACCCCGATTGCGTCATCCGACCTTTGCTCAGTGACTACAGCTATAATGCCACCATCTTCGCCACGCAATCCGCGCACGCCTACAATGTTTTTGCTGGTAAAGGATCGATCCTTGGGCAGGATGACCTGAAATCCTCGCAGATCAGCGATATTGGCACGGAATATCGACCGTCGTTCAAGGGCCTGTATGAGCAGGCTCGGAATGATTCCCTCGAGCGCTTGGATGCTTCTCAGTGTGTGGATGCCTACGCGAGGACCTTCCAAGCGACATACGGCAATCTCTTGGTCGCTACGGATGACGTGAAAGAACCCAATTTCGAGTTCTTCTATTCCCAGAGCGTGTTCAGTCCGATGCAGTACCTCTTGTTATCTCAGCCCGGCGCTGATCCCTATCGCTGGCTGTGTCCTGGAGACGCGGATAAGGATTGCGATGTGTATTTGCCGGATATTCACGATCGAATTAACCAGGACAGCTGGACTGCCCAAACTGCTACCCGCGAGTATAAGGTGAACTACTGTCTGGCGGAGAAGCTGCCTCAGCAGTGCAAACTGGAGTATTCTCTCACGATGACGATCATCCTCATCGTGCTTAACGTTCTTAATGCCGGAATTATGGGCTATGTCGCGCTCGGCACGAAAGACTCTCCCTTACTGACCGTTGGGGACTCCATCGCCTCGTTCCTGAGCCGGCCGGACACGTCAACCCAGAATAAATGTTTTCACAGCAGAGCGATCGTTGGTGAGCTGAACTCCGGCCTGCTCATCTATCAAGCTCTTGATAAGCCGGTGATGTTCGAGCAGAAGGGCAAGCGATGGATCTCTGCCGCCTCGTTTGCCAAATGGGGATTCGCCGTGATCGTGTACGTCTCTTCCCTGTGACCCCCGAGTAACCCTTACTGATACTTATCAGCTGGCTCGTCGCCATCGGCGTATGTCTTGGCCTCCTGGCCTACGGCCTCAGCGAGATGAACCACAGCAACGGTGTCTGGACCGCCTCCATTGGAGAAGCCACCGGCCAAACCATCATCAAGGGCGATTACTGGCCCACCACCATCGGCGTTAACATAATCATCGCCAACGTCGCCCAGCTCATCTTCACCATGCTCTACTTCTCTACCAACTCGCTTCTCTCCGCCATGACTCTCGCCGCTGAATGGAGCCGCTTCGCCGTCCGTCGCAGTGGGCTCCGCATCTCTGCCTCTCCACAGGTCTCGCAACGCCATTCCTATTTCCTGTCTTTGCCCATCTACTACGGTCTCCCGTTCCTCCTCGCCTCCGCCGTCTTGCACTGGCTCATCTCACAAAGCCTCTTCCTCGTCTCTGTCGAAGCCTACACCGCTGACCACGCGCGAGACACATCCAGAGACCTGGTCACCTGCGGGTTCTCGCCTGTCGCGATTGTCAGCGCCGTCGCCGTCGCCGCGTTCATCGCTCTCTGTGTCTTTGGCCTCGCTTGGCGGCGCTTCGCGTCCGGCATGCCCATCGCGGGGAGTTGTAGTCTCGCGATCGCCGCCGCGTGTCATCCGTACTTTGATCCGAATTATCTAGGCGGGGACCGTATCGCGGAGATCCAGTTCTACGGGGAGGATGTGGCTATGTTGCCGGTTAAATGGGGCGCTGTCCCCTTGGAGGGGAATTTGGGGCATTGTACGTTCTCGGCGGGGGAGGTTGAGATGCCGGATGAGAAGAGTGTGTATCAATAGTCTTGGTTTCGGGTTTTGGTCCTGGTGACTTTAATATTTTGGATTTTGTGGTTTGGTAATTATTTTAATTTAGGCGGCGTTGGGGTCTTGAGATGTTACTTTTTGGGCTGATGTTGCTGTAGCGAGATGGTTGAAAGTAGATTCCATGGTAGGAGAATAGATTTTATACAATCAGCCTTTTCCCATCATCTATGCAGACACAATAGACGGTAGAGAAATGAACATTTGATAATATCATCGATTTCTTCTTTTTTCACTGTCGTCTTATATGTCTTGGAGCTCTCATTCAATATGATTAGTAGGTACGAAGTTTCCCTCTAGATATTCCATAGTTTCATGACAAATTATGTTCATGTAGCATTCAATCTCAGAAACTCATAAGGTTGTAGATCAATTCGAGTGTGTAGGATAACTCCTGCATTATCTTAGTCGGGGTATGTAAGTAGTTATGCACCGCCTTAGTCAGCAGTGCTGCATAAGGTCGCCTGTCTGCCGTCTTTCGGTCTCCTCTGTCCTCCTCATCCTCCTTCCATCCAACATCATCGCCAATGCGCGATATTCTACATTCTCTGTCCTCTCGGCCGTTACTATCCCGGGATGCTACCCCCAATAGCAAACCAAGATCGTCTACCCACATGAACTATCGATTCCTGTCCCTCGGACCATCCGACCATTAGAGTTAGCTGCGGCCCGGTTCACGTCGCTTGTCTCGCTGTCAGAAATAGCATTGGTTGGTCATCGGCGATCGTCCGTTGAGTTCCCGTTTCTACAATAGCCCGGTCTAACATTATTGTCTGAATATTAGTCCCAGAACTCAAACAGTTACTCATCACGGGACTGGCTGGCAGCTCAGTTCCGCCGGGGTTTTGCCGTGCGCGTCAAAATGCGGAGCCGAAATGAGGGGAAAAAGCGTGGCCAACGTCATGTTGCAGTAGACGATGCCAAGTTCGTTGCTGCCTCGCTGAAGAGTCGCTTCGCGTGGCTTCTTGTACCGTTTGCCCGATGGGGTTTCTTGGCTGGCTTGATGGCTTGATCTGGTGGTACCTTCTTGGATTAAGACAGTATGGCGGACGGCGGCGTCTTTGGTAGAGGCCACTACTTCACGGCTGGTCAGCCACAAAGCTTGTCCGCTAGTTGACTGTGAAAATAGTATCAATTTCAGGGGCGACGGTGTATCGTGAGTTCGTGACGATCAGAAGCTGAGATCTGAGTTGGTTCCTGAACGACACCGAAATAGTCACGATCGTCACGATCGTACGATTTCAGATGTCTGTCGCGGAGAAAACCTGGTCAGGTACCCAAACCGGTTTTCCGGAGACATGCACGGCTAATTCGGTCAACTGCTCAGCTTCAGCGTGGAGATGAATGCGCCCTCTCCTTCCTGTTCCTGCTCGTCAGCTGCGGGCCTCCACATCCCCAGACCTCCACATCTCGGTTGATTGCTGCTGTCTTCTCCGATGTATTCCCGTCCCTCATTCTTGAGCGAGGTCGGTTAATTCCGATCGTGTCTATAAAAGCCTCGTGGATTTCTCATTCAGAATGATGCACAGGCAACAAGAGTGTATTCGCCATGGTCGCTTTCTCGACGCTCTCGGGCCTCGGTGCCCTTTCTTTCCTGCTTCCTCTGGTTCAGCAAGCTAGCGGTCTTTCCTTGGAGGTCTCTAAGGATGGAGGCAACTCCTCCAGCTCGCTGCTCTATGGCTTCATGTTTGAGGTTGGTAAACTGCCATATTAGACGAGGGCTCATCTGACCGCGCATAGGATATCAATCATTCCGGCGACGGCGGTATCTATGGCCAAATGCTGCGCAACAACGGTCTGCAGGGCTCCTCGCCAGACCTCACCGCGTGGCGCTCTATCGGAGATGGCTCGATCGCCGTAGACTCGGATAACCCGCTCACCACAGCCATCCCGCACACCCTGCGTCTGGACGTGAACAAAGACGCCAGCGGCCAGGTCGGGTTCTCCAACGAGGGCTACTGGGGCATCCCAGTGGACGGTTCCGAGTTCCAGAGCACCTTCTGGATCAAGGGCAAGTTCTCCGGCGACCTCACCGTTCGTCTGGTTGGAAACTATACCGGTACGGAGTATGCGTCGAAGACCTTCTCCCAGGAGTCCAAGGCGGATGAATTCACCAAGGCGACGGTCAAGTTCCCTACGGAGAAGGCACCTGACGGTGCGGTTGTCTACGAGATCACGGTCGATGGTAGCGATGTGCAGGGATCCTCGTTGTATTTCGGATTCGTGGAGCTGTTCCCGGAGACCTACAAGTCGCGGTACGTGCCCTCTCTGGTTGATCTTAAAGAATGAAGCTGATTTTTTAGGGCCAATGGACTGCGACCTCAGCTGGCTAAGAGCTTGGACGCCATCAAGGGCTCTTTCCTTCGTTTCCCGGGTGGTAATAACCTGTGAGTACTTGCATTAACGTTGTTGATACCAAGCTAACAGGCATAGGGAGGGCAACGATGAAGGAACCCGCTGGAAGTGGAATGAAACAATCGGTCCCGTCGAGGAACGTCCCGGTCGTCCTGGAACCTGGGAGTACTACAACACCGATGGACTTGGTGCGTTCGATAAATTAGCCAATGTTTGGACTTTGCTGACTGTGCAGGCCTCGACGAGTATCTTTACTGGTGCGAAGATCTGGGTCTCACACCCGTCTTGGATGTTTATGCCGGCTTTTCTTTGGAGTCTGGGGGTAACACCCCGTTCACCGGCGACGCCTTGAAGCCGTACATTGATGAAGTTCTCAACGAGCTCGAAGTACGTCCGCCACCCCTCCCTACTATGTATGTAACTAACCAGATCAGTACGTTCTTGGCGACTCCAGCACCACTTACGGCGGTCAGCGCGCTGCCAACGGCCGTAAAGAGCCTTGGGACGTGACGATCGTGGAAATCGGCAACGAAGACAACCTTGGCGGTGGTTGCGAATCCTACGCCGAGCGCTTCACTGCCTACTACGACGCCATTCACGAAGCCTACCCTGACCTGACCCTCATCGCTAGCACCGATAACTCTTCCTGCCTGCCCGAGAAACTTCCCGAGGGCGTCTGGCTGGACTGGCACAACTACAACACGCCCGAGGGCCTCGTGTCCCAGTTCAACAAGTTCGACAACAATGACCGCTCCGTGCCCTACTTTATCGGCGAGTACTCTCGCCAGGAGGGCGACTGGCCCGATATGGAGGGTGCCGTGTCCGAAGCGGTGTTCATGATCGGATTGGAGAGAAACAGCGACGTCGTGAAGATGGCCGCCTACGCTCCTCTCCTGCAGCTGGTTAACTCGACCCAGTGGACGGTACGTCTCCTTCCACTCGCCTCTCATGTATGATAACTAACACCTGACTCCAGCCCAACCTCATCGCCTTCACCCAATCCCCCGAAATGGTTCATGAATCCACGAGCTACTACGTCCAGCAAATGTTCTCCGCCAACCGCGGCGACACCATTAAGGAAGTCAAGTCCGACGCGGCTTTCGGGCCCGTCTACTGGGTCGCTTCGAGCGCCGACGACACGTACTACGTGAAGCTGGCCAATTTTGGCAAGGACACCCAGGATGTCAGCGTGTCGATCAACGGATTGTCGACGGGCAAGTTGACCGTCGTGGCGGATGATGATCCGGAAGCTTATAATTCGGACGCCCAGACGCTGGTCACGCCGTCGGAGAAGGACATCACTGCGGAGAGCGGGAAGTTCTCGTTTACTTTGCCCGCTTGGTCGGTTGCTGTTTTGGCTGCTAATTAGGTGGGGATAGGGTCATGTATATAATTCTTGGTGATAGAGTACACTTTGATTTGAATAATTATCCTGTTTATTTTGGATCATCTATTTTTCTTTTGCGTCTGATAAGACTTTGGAAACCTTCATGTCCGTGCGGCCGCCACTAAGATGGATGATGCATACCCTCCACACGCCCGCCCGATCAACGGTCAGAATGCTTCTTCCAGCACGGCCATCCGCCAGTTCCTCCGAAGTCTGTCGACAATTATCTGTCATTGGCGCAAGGGTCCAATTCCCCAGATTATATGCACTCGTGGCGGGGTGTTTCCATCAATCATACCCGTCGGCGGCGCCGATCCCGCTGCCCCGTGGGCTTTGCGTTCTTGCACAAAACATCTATATCTTGACAGCTGTCCGTGTTTTATTCTGCAGCAGCATGTTGCAGAATATGAAATCTGTTCATGATTGTGGCAATGGATCTTTCGTCCGGCTCTGTGCACGACGTCTCGTATTTCGAGCTCAGCTGGTCCATTCTCAGCACCATTGGACTGTTCACGGCCCTACTCGGGATCTGGGCGGTGCTGATTACTCGGCCCAGTCCGTTAAGTTATATTCCGATCGTGGTCTCTGCTGCGTGTGCGGCTGCGAATGGATTATGTTATTTTGCCTATTATTCGCGCCACTCGGTTCTCGATCGTATGGTCGGCAGCGCGTTCGCTGATGTCTTCTGGCTGGTATTCCTCCCTCCGACTGATTTCCAATTGAGACTTGGCGAACTAATACTGGATAGATCCAAGAAGCCGGTCTTTCTTTCTACAGCTACCAGATCCTCTCGCACACGCTCCGCGACCGCTCCCAAGTCACCTTCCTCGTCATCTTCTGGCTCCTCATGCTCGCCATCCTCGGTCTTCGGCTCGCTATTCTCACCACGCGCCTCCTTGACATCCAATCCCCATCAGAACATCCCCTACAACACCGTATCTCTTATCTTCACGTCGGCTACTTCGTCACCATCGCCCTCGTCGAATCCTGGAGTTCCTTCTTTCTCATTCGTCTCCTGCACAAGGCCCGTGACCTCTCGCCGAAGATATCATCTACTCGTTCTGTCTTTCGCTATTTGTTGAGAACCACGGAGCTTCGATTGGCTAGTCTTTGTGCTGTTGGTGTTACCCGCGCTGTCACTTATTCGTGGCAGGTCACGGCTCAGAGCGCGGTCAGTGTCGCTGGAGAGTTGGATCGGTTTGTTTATGCGATCGAGTGTTTGTTTCCGTTGGTTTTGATGTGAGTTCTCCTCCTTTTAGATTTATATTCAGTAATTCTCTTGATTTATGGGGGATATGATAATTGAAACATGTCTTTGCTGACATTATGTGAAATAGAGTTGATATCCTCTCCTCGAAGAAATACTCCGCTCTTTCGTCTACCGAGTCGCCTCAACCGAGGTCGCCCTGTCTACCTCAGCCTCCGGTGAGAGGGCATGTTCGGATTCCGACGTCTGATAGTTGGCCGTTGCAGAGGGGGTGGGAGTGTGGATCTCCTTAAGAGATTTTATCTTGCTGGACTAGCATGGCGATCAATCACCTCCATCTAAGGTCTTATTATTCCTTCTTTTCTCTCCTTTTTGACTGTTGCCTCAAAATTGAAAGGATTGGTGGGAGCAACCGCACCTTGTTAAGTGGTGTAGTTTAGGGTTGGCGTTTGAGATACCCTCTTGAATTTATTTTTTTTCCAGCAAATTATTCAGCTCAATATCTGGCATGACTGAGTTCAATTTCTGATGTAGAATTTGCATTTTGATGTTACGTGTGGCTTGTTCTAATGCCTAACGCTTTAAGGTGTGGGGATGGTCGTGTGAGTCGGTGTCTATTCGGCTAATAGTAACTAACCATCCAGACTCATAATCCTGCGGGCATGGAAAGTTGGTCCATTCTTTACATTCATTCATCATGTTTGCTGGTTATCTGATTACGTATGTTGACCTTTCTATCTAAGGAGCATAGGCCTCCCAACCTTCGTTTTGTGGCGGTTGTGGTGCTGTTTGCTTGGTAGTGACTGCTGTAGGATGGTCTGGTTGTCTTTTAAAGAAGCAGGTCAGTAGGTAGTGCAGTTCGGGTATGAGAAGAAATGGCCATGGCCAAGGAAGATAAACCAATATTCTCGGGTTTTTCAAAGGTCCATATCTTATTGTATAGCTGACAAGAGAAATGTTGCTTACACGCGCATATCCACGTTTATTAGTTATGTGATATTTTTTGCTTCACTTCAAGTTACAACATACGTGACTGAAACTAATGCAGAAAAGACAGATACTGCGGCTGATGATGATGCTGCAGCCAAGGGCAAAATAGTGGCATGTATAATAGCTTCTGCATTCGCATCCTAGTACAGGGAAACCTTCTCAGAAGGGAAAATCTACATTGAAGTTTTGGAGATAAATACAAAACCACCGAAACAATGTCGAGCCGCCGGGCTGTTGCTAGAGCCCTATCCTGGGGATAAAACTCTGGATCTATGCCCATTTCTTGAATTGCACAGTAACATCCCCCAAGGGTCCGGTCTTATGACCAATGCCACCAGAGACGGTGATCTTCCCACCCCAGGCAGGGTCCATATATACATCTGACACTCGGAGGTCGTTCGGGTCAGAGCCCCAGGGGTTGACAAAGTAGATGGATAGTTCATCTTTTCCGGTATCTTTGTCTCTCAGTTTGAATGTTGCTTCTACTCCTACTGCGGCGCCTTTCTTGCCACAGGCTCGGAAAACGTAGAAGTCGCCTGCGTTGATCTCGTGGTTCTCGACGTCGGATTGGTTGAGTTCTTTGTCTCGGTCGCCTTCTTGGTACATGCGGCCGTGTTCGAAGGATATGGATACGAGTTTGAGGGTGCCGGATTTGGCTTTGTTCTCGAGTCGGATCTCGGTGTACTCGTTCTCGGATGCTGGGGCTGGTGGGGTGTCCATCGTGATTTATGGGAGAATATTTGGCTGACTTGGAAAAGTGTCTTAGAAGGAAGTGTTGGTAGGCTTTGAAGAAGACGAGAGTCTGTCTATTGCATGGTCTTCTCGACGGTAGGAAGACGATTTATATATGTGCGATGCCCCAGATATCCTACTAATTAGTAGAGAAAATATGACGCAAGCGAAGCTCTCCTCTGCAGCAACTCACTCGTCATACCGTTCGCATTTGGCCCAACCAAGATGTTTGCCTAAAGAAAACATGATCACAGGCTATTAAACCGTCCACGATCAGGAACTGGATACAGGGTCAGCGCCGGTGATGCACGAGCTTTCCTAAGCCCCAATGAAGCAGCAATATGAATAAAGACACCCGGGAACATCTCGCCAGCCACCGTGATGATGCCGAACAGATCCGATTTCTATGTTAAGAAATGGTGTGAGGCATGATCAATGAGCTTGGTTTGCTCCTTGTCCTGCTGAGAGGCTCTAGACGTACAGGGATGCATTTGCCACAGTTTTTAGCTGAAAAGGCGCCCTCATCTCAGCCAGCCTCCCCACGGGGAGTTGTTGGCCATGTAAATACTGGTGGCAATGGCTGATTTCAGAACCAAGCGTAGAGGCAACCCATCGAAGTTCATATAGACTTTATCTGAATTTACTCTTGTACCGCTGGGAAAACTCTCTAGCCACTACTATCAGCTCCGAATACAACCGCCAACTTCACAGACAATATCCTCCGAGCTCCCGACAAACGTGTGCTCTTAATAGCAGCGCTGTACAGCGTTTCTACGCATGGTTTCTTTTTGCGGGGTAAATAGAGCCAGCTTACGCCACATTTTGGGGTTGCATATCTACCTTTCGCTGACTAGACGCGTATGCTGCCAACACCCGCCATGGCTGATCTGGACCGCGACCGACGCCTTGATCGTTGCTATACCTCAACGATCTCACACCAAGCCAGTAAGCCCCATGTGATCCACCGAAGATCTCCGAGATCTTCAGCCCGTCTGTAGATCATCTCGAGGTTGTCATTTCTTGTCATCGCCTAGAATGTGGATTTGTCCTCGTAAGCAGCCATTTCTTCCTCTTCTTGCGCCACAAGCCAGGCAACCAACCACTTATCCAAACAAACAGAGAGAACAATAAAAGGACAATGTCACAGTTCGGCCTTTGGCCTTTTCCGGTAGAGCTGAATGTCAAACTCTTGAGTATTCGGCATGCGCGAACATGACGTCCGTGGCTGTGACGAGATACATTTACGTCTCATTTACAATCCCAGCTCAGGGTCTTTGTGGCAAATATTTACCGAGATGACCGGCATTCGTGGATTCCTAGCTGGCGCCACATTGCGGAGTAGATCTCCATGTCAATGTTTGCCATCTGAGCAAACACTGTTGATACATGCAGGTTCCTATGTACATGGTATCCCGGACTAATTTCAAGTATTCCCATTTTGATTGTTTTATTTGACCATGAGTTTATGTGCTTCACTTGCTTGATTTCATGTATGATGATTCAATCGGGCGGATCGAGCTGCCGAATGTCGAGAAACCCCTCCCTCGTACATCTGGACGTCAATGACTATCATCGAGTAACATCTTCGGGGCGCATCGTTGTGAGTTCTCGAGGGATATGGCGGGCGTCAGCGGCTAGCTGAGCATCTCGGGGCTGATCGGTATATGTCAGTGGCTGGCTGCATGTACGATCCTATTCCTCGGAGTCGTCTGTGTAATGTTTGTGAGATTAAGCTTTTATCGCCTATTGCTGGGTAGCAGGCTGTGCCATAGGTTATGGTTGGGAGGATGGTAAGACCGGAGAGACCGATCGAAGAGCAAACCAGTCCGTCTCCTGATGCAAAATAGAGATAAAAGGGCCATCTTCCTTCGTTTGAAAGGTTCTTTAACAATCACAGACATACAAACACAGAACTACATACTCTCACATCGCACTTAACGGAAAGGCAAACATGAAGCCCGAAGAAATCTGCACCAAGCTCATTGACGTCGCGGATGACGTTGGCGTTTGGGGCCCCTCTGACTAAGTTGCGCTGGTTCATCGCAAGGCCTATCTCCATCCCATCGCGACGGACCTGAAGGAGCAAGGAGGCCTGGTAAACGTACAGCCGGTTGACCTGCCGGTCGAGCCTGAGTTCGACGATTGGCAGCTCGAGCGAGTCATTTTGACTAGTGTTGCCATGGCTGTCTTTGATCTGGGTGATGATATTCAGTCTCGTTTTGATAGGGTAGATATCTTCTCTTTATCTCGTGGTTCTGTATTCGTCCGAAGGCTGATGGATGACTATAGTCTGCCACCGATAAATCTCGCGCTCGAATCATGAGACAGCTGGCTTCGCGAAGCTTCTAGGCTTACCTGGACTCATTTCTCAAGAAGGCAGGCTTGCCCTAACTTCATTACCTCTACTCAGATTATAGAGGTGAAGTCGCCAATGTGCTCAAAGAAAAGATCACTAAGCGAGCATTTATTGTGGACGTGATCCAAAGAGTCACTAGACAAGACAATGCCTGCTGAACTAAAAAGTCAATTGCCGACCGAGGTCAAGACCTTTCTCCACGACACCTACGCCCCGGCATTCATTGCGCAGATGGTTGGCGCCAATTCTGAGTACAGAAAGTATCTCTCCAATCCTGACTGCGAGAAGATTCGGTACTGGTGGGCAGGAAATGTATGTCAAGCAATTTCGTTTGATATTTTCTATCATGCTAAGAGTCAAACAGGACGCCAAGTGTTTGGCTAAGTCGAAGTGGTATGTGGCCCTGAATAAAATAGCTTCTCAGTGCACGGTGAGAGAGCACTTTAAACTGGACATGGAGCAGTCGGAAGCAGTAGCTCTCGCCGAAGCACTGTTGGTGGAGGTCAAGACAAAGGATCGGATCAAGCGATTTATCAATGGAGGACACGTAGGACTCCCTGATCCCCGTTCGAAGCAAATCAACTGCTGACGGACTACCTAGATGGCTACGGATGTGAACAAGATTTGCAGCTTTTTCAACGCTCTAGAACCAGACAAAGACCTCGCCAAATCCTGGTTCGATCGGATCCTTAGACTCCTGCAGGATGAGACCACTCACCAAGTCCGTGGAAAGCAGGTCAAGGATGAGCTAGCCAAAGACCATCTGTACGATACAATGAAGACATTCATTGAGCTTCTGCTGGCCCAGGACAGCCAATTTACAGGGGAGGTGGCCACGAAATTGGTCGAAGATTTGAGAAAGTTCGAGGAGAATGCCATTAACAAGAACGACACCGCAAAGAAACAGGCTGAGAACATTATGCTCAAGATGGCCGTGCTTCCGCAACAGATAGCTAACCTCCAGGCTGCGGCACCAATCACAAAAAAGCTCTCCGGAACCAGGCTCTTTCAATTTGCGAGCTCCGTCGTTGATAGAGTCGCGGAGAATATTCCTAATGGGTTGAAACGGATCGCTAAGTACTTTCGGTTATACGTACTCGAACGCAATCCATGAAAAGAGCACCACGCTAACAGTTCCTCACAGATCGAATACCTCTTTATGCAGTCGCTAAGTCTTTTTTGGGCGATTCTGACTTGAGATGATATGTCTGACAGCCAGCGAGCTGAGACGGTACTTCAAACAATGAAGGTTGTCGTCGAAGCAGCTAGCAGTGCCGTTGAGAAGTGGGAGGCCTGGCGTGAGAGTAAAGGCACAGAAGCGGATCAGGCAAAGACATCAATGGTGCTTGACGAACGCCTGAGCAAGACCTCACTGAGTGACGACAATCTGGCCGTGACAATTGCGGACAGAGATCCGGTCTTGAAAGAGGAAGGCGGAGTCAAAATTACAGTCAGTGAGCGGATCAAACAGGTGGAAATTATTTCTATCGAGGAGATCTCGCCAACGGAGCTGGAAACGTGGAGCGAGAAACTCACAGAAGAGCCCAAGTTTATACCATCGGGCCCCGTGGTGAAGGAGACGGCCATAGAGCTCAGTCTCACAACTAAAGCACTGCGTGGACTTAGCATTGCTTTAGGCGCTGGAGTCGCCGCTGCCATGACCTTCTCCCTGGTGCACGACTGGAAGGATTTAACCACAGCATGCAAGGTTATCAACACCCTCTCTGTAGTTGTGCAGATTCTTGCTGTCCTAGTTGAGGGGGTTTCGCTTCTTGTCGACGTTGGTTTGATTGCCTCTTCCGTTTTGACGGCTGTGCCTCCTATTGTCGGTGTCGTTCTAGCGCTGGCGGGGGTTGTACTGATGATCTTGTCTGTCTGCGGTATCCAACTGTATAAGGAGCCCCCAACCCCGAACCCAGTAAAGGACTTCATCGACGACACGGTCACAAAATTGATCAAAGACTGGCCGAGTCCTCCAATCCCTCAGCTCACTTATCAAACTGACAAACCGTCGTTTAAAGAGGGCGACACATCTTTGACGATAACCGCCACAAACAAGACCGCTGAAGAGATCGACCCCATCTATGCACAGATCACTGTTTATAGCGGCGGTACGTCCAATTGTCTGTTCACCGAAGGCAGTTTCAACAAGATCAACCCGGAAGGTAAGAGTGACGGCACGGTGACCGTGACACCGGGAAAGGACAAGTTCGATAATTCCCTGCTTCCACACCGGGTCGAGGATGATCCTGCTGCTTTTGTGTTCAACCTCTTGCTGAAGGGTTTGAAGGGCAAGGGTAACCCGGAAGCATATTTGAAGCTGAAGGCCAATGAGAAGATCGACAGCACCTGGAAAGGCCATGCCAGCCACAAAGGAGGCAGCAGTATTATTGAGATTGTAGAGGTCATGAAGAATATGGACAAGACTCATAAATTGTTGACTGTTTTGAAGTCTTCTTGATGGAACCGCGGCATGCGAGAAGTAAACCCGGACGAGAATTCCGGGAAGGCACTCAGGCACCAAGGCGCTCAGGCAGGCATGCTCCAGACACCTTCCCGTTCAGGCAGTTTTAGGGTGGATTCAACTAGATGCCTGAATTATGTAATGTGAATGCCTGAAGATGATCCTATGGCCACTGATTGGCTGACGTGCGGTCTTCTTATCTCCGATGACGTTGCCGATGCTTTATTTTCATCGTGTAACAGCTTCATAGGTTTCCCCGCCTTTGAGTGCCTCTTGCTCATCCTACAGTTTCTATACTGTCAGTTCTCGGTTCTTGAAGAAAAAATTGATAATCAATTGATATAAACCCGAAACTCTATGGAGTTTTTTATTTTGATGCACCACCATCCAAACCTGACTAGATCCAGCAACGAATACCTGCCTGCATTACTCCGTGCTTCAATCATATCCAATAAAATTAATCGTCATTTTACATTTCTAACCTCCATGCTGTCCTTCCCTTTTTGAATGTGTTGCCGAGCAAAGATTTAAGCACGGCTGAGGGACTCGCCCTCCTCGGCCTTCTGGAGACCGTACTTCTTGAGACGGATCGACTGGATGGCAACGAAGCCGGTGGTGTCGGTGGGCTCAAAGTCCTCCAGGGAGTCCATGGAGGCTTCCTCGGCGGAATAGAGCTTCTCGGTGTTGGAGGAGCGTCCGAGGACGTAGGCGTTGCCCTTGTAGAGGCGCATACGGACTTGACCGTTGACACGCTGGTATTGTTAGCGGAGCCGATGCAGGGAGAGATAAAGGAACGTACCTTCTGGCTGTAGACGAGACTGTTCTCGATAAACTCACGCTCGGCACTGAAGTAGCTAGACGACGTTAGATTTGGATAGCAACGGTTGACAGGTCAAAGAACACTTACTAGCCGTTGTAGAGCAGGATGGACCAGTTGTGGGTAACGAACTGGTCACGGAGGGAGCGGACCTGGCCGTCCAGGACAAGACCCTCCAGGTCAAGGTGAGCATCACGCAGGATGGTCATGGCGGGGGCTGATCCGTTAGTCTACACCGACAACACAAGGGATGCCAAGACTTACAGTCGTAGCAGCCACGGCTCTTCAGGCCGATGAATCGGTTCTCAACGATATCAATACGGCCGATGGCGTGGGTGTATCCGAGCTTGTTAAGCGCATTGAAGAGCTCAACGGGGTCGGTGTATGTCTTCTCTGGGGTGGTGACCTTGACGGGGATACCCTTCTCGAACTCGATGGAGATGTCGACGGGCTCGTTGGGGGCGTTCAGGGGGTCGTTGGTCATAGTCCACATGTCGGCGGGGGGAGTGTGGTCGGGGTCCTCGAGGACACCTGAGACGTTAGAATGCGACCGACCGGGTGGAACGGGTGCAACTTACCAGCCTCGTAACTGCAGTGAGCAGAGTTGGCATCTAACTAATTAGCATAGTCCAATTTCCAGTTGATAGGGGGAACTAACCCATCGACCAGGGCTTGGCCTAGAGGATATTAGCTATCATTATCGAGCGGTCCAGAAATTGGATACATACCTTGGTGGAGGTAACGGGGATGCCGGTCTGGGCAGCGTAGTCCAGCAGATCGTTACGGCCGGCGAAACGCTTGAAGAACTTGGGATCACGCCAAGGGGCGATGATCTTGATGGAGGGCTGGATGGCGTAGAAAGCCAGTTCGAAACGGACCTGGTCGTTACCCTTGCCGGTAGCACCGTGGGAGACGAACTGGCAGCCTTCGCGCTGGGCAGCGCGCATCTGAGCGCGAGCGATGACGGGACGGGCCAAGCTGGTACCGAGGAGGTAACGGCCCTCGTAGATGGCATTGCACTCTGTCATTCCATTATTTCCACATTCTTCTCGGCGAGACGGTCGGGGCGATCTTACGGATGGCGGGGAAGCAGAGTTCCGTAACGAACTCCCGACGGAGGTCCTCAATGATCATCTTCTTCGCGCCAATCTTCAGGGCCTTCTCCTCGACGGCGGCCCAGTCCTCCTCCTGGCCGACGTTGCCGAGGAAGCAGACGACATCGTAGCCCTCCTCTGATCAATCCGTTAGCGACAGGGAAGGTATCGGTGATAAGTGGGCGTAATACCGATCAACCAGCGCAGAATGCAGCTGGTGTCAAGACCGCCTAAAAGAAATCGGTGTTAGTCACAAAGGTTCTCCAGACGCCAAATAAACCACCGCCAGGATGCGGGGCAGGAGGGAGCAAACAGTACCTGAGTAGGCCAGACAAACACGAGGCTTAGCGTCCGACATTGTGGTTGGATAGGAGAATGTGGAGAGGGAATTGAGGAGTAGCAGGGAGGGAGAGAGAAAGAGCAAGACCAGGACGTTCGGAGAGAATAACAGGAAGAAGGATGGAGAAGCAGCAGACGGCCAGAGATAAAAGAATGGGCGGTGGGGTCCCGATGCGGTATCGGCTCGACTGACTCACCCGGGGCGTCCCGTGACTCATGCCAGGGGGTCCTCTTGGCACTGCACGTGATACGTCATCGCCTTAGGTCAGCGCCTCCCTGATGCCTCAAGTCCGATAGCATCGGAATGGGAAGTATACAGCTTATGGCCGATCGTAATGACCTCCTCACTTTAGATGAGGTATGATGACATGCATGCATATTTCTGTGCTTGGCAGCTTATTTTGGGGTTATGATTACTTTCCATGAACGCAATATCCGGTCCACGATATATCTCTAGCAAACTATATTTTTTGACCTGGAAACGGTATAATACTGGAAACTGAATAGCTTCATGAAAGTGACCGGTTCAATCCGTATAAAGCTCACCATGACACGTGCCAGAACTGGAACGTGAGAGAGAGAAAAAAAAAAGAGAGAGAGAGAGATGGCATAGTAACCAAGAAAACAACTACTCTCTGCCTGTATAACACCTGTCATTCACTCTCCTACAAAACCACACCTCAGAACTAGGGCGAGTAAAGAAATGATCAAAATTAACACCAGTTTCATTACACATCTCAGTTTCTGATTCTATTCACTTTCGCCCTTATGGTTTCTGTTCCCTGCCTTCTTCGTTGACGAGGCCATGTACCAAGCATACGCGTTTGTTGTCTCCTCCATACCTGAAAACCTCTTATTCCTCTAGAATCATCGTCGGAATTGTCTACAATCTTTTCTACCTACGCACACAAACAGTCGTCTCATCTTTTCTCTCGCCTCTGTCTTCTTATCAATACTTCTCCATTTATCTTCATATTAGTCCGTCGACCTGACTGTCTTGACTGGTTCGAATCTCACTTCTGTCTTAGTCTCACTTCGCCGACAGCTCGCCTATCGTTGTCCATTCAGCGAATAACACTCATTTCAAACCTACACTTCGAATCAATTGATCCTGGCTTTACTCTCGATTAACCCTTTGAAAGGCGAGCACATATTTACATGAGCACATCTGGAAGCGACGGACAGCAGGATAACCTTCGAAGTGACACAAGTTTAGTTTTACAAGTCTGTACTCTGTACGGTTGACTGCAAGATGTCGCAGCCACAGCGCGCACAAAATATCTATGAGGAAACCATCGATATCTCGGACAATGCCGAGATGACCCTAGTGGTAGAGGAGTACGAAGACTGGCATGGGAGGAAGACAAAACCGGTGATACCGTCACGGAGCCTCTCAAGAAGGTTGGCACTTTTCGCGTTGAAAGGAATAAGGTAGCGGAAGCCAGCCCGGTCTTTCAGAATATGTTGCGAAAACGATGGGCCGAGGCGAGCAAAAGCACCGTGACCTTGCAAGGTGATAATGTCAAAGCTATGGAGATGTGGTTACGGCTTTTTCATGCCACACTCAAAGAGACAGAATTTTGGTGTCTCTCGATTGAGGTCACATGGCACCTCGTCATGGTGAGCGACAAGTATGATATCGATCGTACTAAGATGAAAACTTGGTTCGGATCCTGGTTTGATTTCGAAGTTCCTCTTGATAAAAAAAGAGCTGTGTGAATTCGAATCTCAGACTCTATTCCCCTGTTTCGCTTTTGATTACGCCCCCGGATTCCAGATCATAACCAGAGAATTAGCGTACAACTGGGAGCACCATATCTCTGAAGTGAACCCGACAACCGACTTCAGGATGCGTCTACCAAGTCGGGTGATCCGTAAGTCTCCTCAACCATGAAGTTTGCTTGCTCACACAAACAACAAAAAAATCAAGAAATCAATGCTAATATGTCTTCTAGAACAGTTGAAAACCGCAAAAGGGCGACTGCGTACGATTCTTCACCGAGGCTTGTTCGAACTAATTTGCGAAATTGTGGACACGGGCAAGTGCAGCTGTAAAGAGCGCACAGTGTTCAACTTTTTGGCGGAACTTCGACGGATTCAGGCATGGCCGTTGGAGGATACGATGGCAAAGACCAGCATTGAAACCATGCTGAAGCGGCTTAAACGATTCGGGAGCAGTCGAATGAACGCACATGGTCCCAACACCGGTATGCTTCTGTGCAAATGCTCGAGGAACTGGGGACAGGTTGTCTATGATACCGTTCGCCGGGTGAGAAATTACTTTGACGGCCTTTGTCTAGATTGCATGAAAAGCAGCAAGGATGTCAAGTACCGGCGCGACGGCGACATCGAATACTGGGGCCATCATATGTCGCGAAAGAAGTACGACGCTCATTGTCGAATCAAACACGGTGAACCGACATGGTGGTTCAGCTTCATGGGGCGCCGCGAGAAGAAAGAACTGATCGCCGATTCTTAGCCGTGGAGGATATGGTGCACAGAAAGACACGAACTGGTCATTCGGATCCGGAAAATTCTATGCCACGGTGTATCAACGGGCTTTCCTAATTTCTGTCATACCGAGAATAACGAATTGATGCTCGATGTTTTACTGTGCTTAATTTACCGACATGAGTTCCTGTTAAGTTGCCAAGGCAGCATAATAGTAGAAGTAGGAAGTTTATATCGCCTGGCCTCTTTTCGACGGATAGACGAGGTACTGCACCAGGTAGCCAAAGATTTGCGATACGACGCGCTGACTTGTCGGTAGGAAGTGTTTCTGTCAACTCCACAGTTCCTCAGAATAAAAAGATTTCTCCGCCAGAATTTCTCCGATTTGACTAGCTGCCAATCAAGATACTGTGTCACTACGATGGCCCACCGTAGAGAGTCTTGCTTCAGGATATAGTGTTACAAGAAATATTTCATGAGTATAGCATCGTACTTCAGCGAACAAGAACCTGTCAGCAGATGGGATCTTAAAAACCCAAGGTTCACATGTCCTCATCTTAGCGACCTGGAGACAACCCTTTCATCATGAGACGAAGGCTCGTGAGAAAACCTCCCAGGTCTTGAACGTGCAGTGGGCATTCGAAAGACCTTCTCGTTCGACATGAACATGACTAGAAATGTTGAATTTAGTTTCCCCTGCTCCTTACCCGTGCCTCAACCCGATCAACTTGTTTCGAAAGTCGAAATACAAGGCATCATGCGGTCATTCCCCTGTTTTAGACCCTTTCGGTTGAAGGAGAGTGGAGCTTTTCGCTGGTTCCGGAGTGGAGCCCACAATAAGAAATAGGAACAAGGGATTTGTGAGTTACCCCAGACTTTAGGGACCTCGATGGCGACGGAAAAGTAAGTTCGTTAGTAAGGGAAATTTGACAGCGTGCGGAATTAGGCTCTCGGAAGAAAGAATTGCACGCCTCGCTGGCCGTCGTCGATTGGGAGCGCATTTGCGCCCTGGGAGTGACTCAGGATGGTGGCGTTACGTAACGGAGCCCTCAGACGGCGGACTATGTGGGGGACGACGAATGCAACCCCCGTCGAAATTGCACAACGAGAAATTCCACGGCGGCGATTTATCGACGGCCATCAATCTCTGGTCAGTGACCCCACATCGGTGAACGGGGAACATCTGACTGGCAAACTCTTCCGTGACTCCGTCCCTTGCGCTGACTCCACCGCCTGGAATTCGATTGCCATCCTCCATTGCCTGATTAGCTTTTCTCTCCCTTGGATGCATGCACCTTCACTCGAGAAATGGATCACCATCCGCCTAGCATGGCGTCTGAAGCGGTCGACGTTGAGACTGTCCAGAAAGAAAAGCATGATCTGCCAATTGACGGGGACAAGGTTGATATCGGGTCCTGTCGGGAGGATGCATTCGGCAACGAGGAGCACGCGGAGGTCAAATATAAGACTTTGAAATGGTGGTATGTATCGGTCTCTCTAATCGGTAGGTTTGCTCGTTATTAATTGTATCCCATCCAGGCAATGCGGCCTGCTCATGGTGGCCGAGACCGTTTCTCTCGGGGTTCTCGCCCTCCCATCGGCAATTGCAGCGCTGGGACTGGGTCCTGCGATGGGAATTCTCATCGGCCTGGGCGGGTTAGCAACCTATACCGGTTATGTGACCGGCCAGTTCAAGTGGCGGTATCCCCATATCTCCAGCACGGCAGACGCTGGTGAGGTCTTAATGGGCCGCTTCGGCCGGGAGCTGCTATTCGGCAGTAATGTCCTGTACCTGGTGTTTCTGATGGCGAGTCATATATTGACCTTCACGGTGGCCATGAACACGATCACCAAACATGCCACCTGCTCCATCGTCTTCGGGGTTGTGGGACTAGTACTTTCTTTCTGTTTTGCTCTTCCCCGAACCCTGAAGGGAATGACATGGCTTTCGGCTATTTGTGAGTTATGCGCTTTTCCTGTGCGAACAGGACACTGACATTGTGTAGCGTTTACGAGCATCATGGCCGCCCTGTTATTAACGATCATTGCTGTCGGCGTTCAGAACGACCCGAAACCAGTCCAGGCGGCGGTGAAGACCGACCTAGTCACTGGCTTCACGGCTGCATCTAACATTGTCTTTACCTTCGGTGAGTTCTTAGTTTTGGGCTGGAGAAAGTCGTAATAACGTTTGTTCAGCAACCCACAATACTTTCTTTACCATGATGTCTGAACTTGAAGAGCCAAGGAACTTCCCGAAATCCCTGGCCATGCTGCAAGGCCTCGACCTCTCGATCTATCTTGTTGCATCTGTGGTTATCTACCGATATGCAGGGGAGGACGTGACCTCCCCGGCCCTAGGGTCCGCCGGGCCCCTGATCTCGAGGATCGCCTACGGAATTGCTCTACCAACAGTATGTCCCCCTACAAGCTAGCCGGGCTGAGCTAATTTTTCTAGATTGTCATTGCCGGTGTTATCATCAGCCACATCGCCTGTAAATCGATCTACATCCGATTGTTTGCCGGAACAGCCCGAATTCATACGAAGGATTTCGTATCTGTTGGGTCATGGATTGGTATTGTCGGCTGTCTTTGGATCATCGCCTGGATCATTGCCATGTCTATTCCCGTGTTCAACAGTCTTCTTAGTTTAATTGTGAGTTTAACCCTTCGGTACAAATGGCTACGTGCTGACTATTGGGGATAGGTTTCTTTGTTTGCAAGCTGGTTCTCCTTTGCCCTTCCTGGCATCTTCTGGTTCTGGATGAACAAGGGGCGTTGGTTCGCATCACCCCGCAAAATCCTATTATCTTGCATCAACGTTCTTGCTATTGTTGTCGGTCTTACCCTGGTAAGAAGCATTCCTAAGACCCTTTCTATCTCGCTTTTCTAATTAATTTAGTGTGGTCTCGGCCTTTACACCTCCGGCAAAACGATACATGACGATCCTAGCAGCGCAAGCTTTTCTTGCGCCGATAATTCGTGAAGTCTTTGAGATCACCTCCATTCGCATAATTTCCACTTCCATGATTTAGCCCGCATTTCTTCTTCTAAACTTCCTAGAAGAATCATTGTTCATAAAGAAAATACTGCATGTGATTTGATTTTAACAGTTGAAATATTCCATTTTACTGAGGAGAATGGCGTTGTGGCCAACCATGGTTTGTAGACAATGGTTCTTTGTTCGGTCCAGTAAATGGGGTACCAACACAAAGAAGATAGATATGCAAACCGACGCGACTTTCAGCTATGGCCTCGATTTCCTCACTCTATAGGGAGATACCTACTTCTGTGAAGCCTCACGTTTCTTCTGAAATGGTGGTTACGGGTATATATACTCGCGCTGTGTTATGATATGATCTATTCAACCACCTCTAGCAAAGCCTTCGCCTCTATCGAAAGAAGGCCTCGCAATAACTCATTCAACAGACTTCTGATTCTGTGTTCTCATCATGGGCCGTTCTACCCCCATGGATCGTTCTACCCCCGTGGCCCCTTCTACCCCCGTGGGCCGTTTCACACCCCGTCCAAAACTTTCCCGCAGCGTGTCCCCGCAAGAGTTCCTCGGTGGCACCCGCTGGATCGTGGTCCATTTCCACGACATGGCCCTAGCCGACAACGTCGACATCATGGAGGTTGTGCTCGACAAGGTGCGGAACCGAGAGTATCAATGCTACACCCATGAGCCTTGGGAGGACTACTACACCTACAAATTCGAGGTGAACATCCCGGCGAATGTGGAGTCGGAAGAGGGTTGCCAAAACACGGCCGTTGAGTTCCTCTCGAATCAGCATAAGGACGCGGTCTATTTGAGGAATAAGTTGAGGGCTGAGAAGGCTATCCAAGATAAGGAGGAAAGAGAGAATCTCGCTCGTTTCAAGGAGGAGTTTTATTCGATCAAGAAGAACCCTTCGTCCTCTTATGTGCCGGTTAGCGATGAGATGGAGAGAAACACTGGGAGAAAGATTGAGGAACTGAGTGAGTCTGGAGAGAGTGAGGGCCCTTCTTTTAGTAGTCAGTCTGAGGATGAGAAGAAGTGGTGCATGGAGTGGATCTGATTGAAGCGTTCGTGCAATATTTGGGTTTGCTGTATGCGGTTTGCTTTTGATACTCACTGTCATGCGTTCCCAGAAATCGGAGTTAGGTCACTTTTTCAACATATGTACTTGATTTTCTAGCCAGGACGACAGCTTTCCCTTTCCGTTTTTGTGCTCTCCCCTCGCCGCTTTTTGCTCACTGGGTAGATCTGAACACGCCCTGAGTGGCCTGAGGCGACTACTGGGCACGGGGTGAGCGGAAGACTGAGTGCCGAGTGAGTAACCTCAATAAACTGCACCCCAACTAGCGATCTCCCCCTTGCTTGTTTCTCCACTCCTAGTCCACTTTTGCCCGCCACACTCCCCAAAAAACCCATCACTGCCATCACGAAAATGACGAACCAGAGAAGCTATTTTTCCTTCTGATACCCACGACCTTTTCCCTAGGAGGAAATGCTGTAGTTACCGCGCTGCACCAATATGGCAAACATTTTTCTGGGCTTTCTCCGTCGAAAGATAACACAAGCCCAGATGTCCCAAGAGTCAAGAAATCCTCGGAACACCAAATAGCGCTAGTCCATTATAGATATTTTCTGAATTTGGATCCTGAATACCTACGTAGTAGAATGACATGCCAATGTTTCCCCATCAAAATGCATAATACTGAAGATCAATAATACTAATTAAAAGAATAAGATTCGAAAATTAGGATGTAGTGTTGTTTATTTGTGGCTATCCTGGCCTGGAAGGTTTAATATCTACAGTATAAAGGCATAAGTTCGGAAGGCATCGACCCTCGTCCCTTGGTTAGGCGGAGGCGACGCGACAAATGCGATTGGTGGATGGGTTAAGGATCTCAAAGGCCCGAGTGCGACTCCTTTCGCCGACGGAGGTATCGTGCCGAACGAAATGAGTGCCCAAGATATCTAGGACCTTAAGGATGCTTGGGTGGCATCGGTTAAGAGAGCTTTGACTGCAGGCGTAGACTTCATTGAAATTCACGATGCCCACGGATACCTGATCTCTTCCTTCATGAGCCCTTCTGCAAACCATCGGACCGATCAGTATGGTGGCAGCTTTGAGAACCGCATCCGACTCGCCTTGGAGGTCGCTGAGCTGACACGTGGGACCGTGGGCCCTAAGATGCCCGTATTCTTCCGCATTTCCGCCACAGACTGGCTGGAGAAGAGCCTCGCCGACGAGAAGGGCTGGAAAGCCGATGATACCGTTGAATTTGCTCGCACATTGGCAGCTCAAGGCCATGTAGACCTGATCGACATCAGCAGCGGTAGTATCCACGGCGCCCAAAAAATCACATACGGCGGCGGTCCCGGAGCCACTTTCCAGACACCTTTCGCGGCAGTCGTGAAGAAAGCGGTTGGTGATCGCTTGCTGGTTGCCGCGGTCGGAATGATTAATCACGCGCACTTGGCCCAGGAGATCTTGCAGGACTATAACCTGGATGTAGTGTTGGTGGGAAGGACATTCCAGCGGAATACGGGCATGGCGTGGCATTTCTCCAAAGATCTGAACGTGGAAATTTCGATGGCGGCGCAAATTCGGTGGGGATTTACCAGTTCTCGCGGCTCTTCGGACTATATTCAGCCAAACTCGATGAAGGCCTCTATCTTCGAGTAAGGAGGTGGCTTTTGATTTGCTTTCTAAAATAGACTAGACATAGATTAGACTTGCATTGCTATAGAAATATAGACTTTCATTGAGTGTTTATCATTTGAAGAAGTTTGTGGTCATCCTTCGAAGATGGCTAGACTTAAGTATCTTTTTACACGACTGGAAAATAATCGTTTAACAAAGCCCTCTTTTGAAAGACATCCGTAAACAGGAAAGAGCTTCTACTGGATGAAACGACTATGTCAGGATTAGAGTTATGAACTTGCTAAAGTCAGGAAGAATGTTATATTGGTAGACTGGGAGGTCCAAAATGCTGACCTCCACGCAATCTCAAATCACAAAAGAAAGTACCATAGCTCTCTCCTAACCTGCTGTTGTTCACTACACGAGCCCATCTCGAACTAAATGCCAGCGCCCCTAGCTGTATCAACAACGGACACCTACAGTTACTCTGCACCCTCCTCGGCTCCGTCAGGAACCTCACCCGGGAGTTCTACCTCCGGTTGTCCTGGCTCCTCATCCGCATTACCCTCAGTCACCTGCGCATCAATCTCATCATCCGCCACCGCCTCAATCTCATATCTCAACAGATTCTGCGGGACACTATCATCAGCTGCCTCGCTGTCCCACAGCGCCCACAGAGCGTTCCTGCTATCTCCAGAAACTGTTTCATTGACAGAAAACCACTTGTTCCCAATCTCAAGAGCGTCTGGCTCAACAGTCGAAGTACAAGTGGCATCTTCATCTTCCCCCCTGCGAGTAATAGTGCGGCAGAGCCGGCACCAAGAGTGTCCTCGAAGGTTTGAGCCGCCAGAGATACAACGACCTCCGTTGGTAGAAGCTGCGGATCTTCCGCAGTAATTCTGCCCAACTTTGTTCCAGGTTATGTGGAAATCGGTGGATGTGCAGCCGGTGCAGCCGCCTGAGGCGAACACGCGATTAGTGGCCTGACAGCAAACCCTGGGGCCGATGTTGCGACAGACAGCGTGTCTGCCGCCGCAGCGGGGCCGGCTATATTGGTGCAGGGTAACTGCATTGGCGAGGGCGAGGAAGGAGATGAGGATTGCCAGAAAAGAAATTTTGAAATGCATTGTGAGGTCGTAAGGGGCTGGACTTCTCTTTAAAGGATGTGCTGTGCGTTATAGTTTGTCTGGGAGTTCTTCGGAGAGATGTGTGCTGTTTAATTTTCCAACCTGTGTGGAAATTCAAGGAGCCTTTATATCTTTCATTATGGGGCTTGATCTCCTACAATGCGGCTCGCTTTGAGGCTGGAGTATAATCAGCGAGTCATTAAATCTCCGACTTTTGTGCAACAGTTCGTATACGAACTGGGGTCATACGACTACAGCAAGTGGTGCTGACCTCGACAGCTAGCCTAGGGGTCCGTGAAGCAACAGGACGAGAACAGAATGAGGTACACGTCTATGCGCCGAGAATTTCGGAAATAAAGTTGTCTTTGGGTACCTGAAAAGGAACTTCAATGGACAATGGAATAGTCGCAACAACAAAGGCTACAAGAGATGAGCCGTAGGGAAGGTTGTTTTGCAGAAAAATTATTATCACTCTGATTGACCGAGGTTGTAGGTAGATGAACAAAACCATCGGCAGCTAAAAACTATCAAGGCTCACCGACTCAATGCCGAGTTAAAGTTACACAAGCATTCCCTTGTCCACTTTGTGTCTGTTTTAGTTGGAATAGCCTATTACTTTCAGCCCCAAGACAAGTGACAGCTTGACCACTCAATAAACGGCTTTTCTTGAATTGAGAGAGACAGAAAAAACGCAAGCTCCAAGACATGGGGATTGCTTACGAGGCCTATTATGCTTGGCTTATTTCACAAAGCATACATCATGATGCTAATGTGACATTGGCTGCGTGTATAGCGTGACATTCAATGTACTTGAACATAACGGTTTTCTAAGATCGGTTGGTCCAGGCTTCCTTGGCACAATGACAAGCTACACAGGATCCATGCCGTTGTCTCTTCTTGAGGAAGATGCCTTGCATCAAAAGACGGAATTCTTCTACAGGCAGATATTAGTAGGAAAATTGGCATCCCAATCATCCGGGGGCTTGACAGGGGATGGCGGGGATTTCCTGCAATCAATTCGTAGGTATGTTGGTCAGTACGTGACACATGATTACTGATACCTATGAAAATCCAGTCAGCTTCAACCCGCTTGAAACCTTTGGAATTGTGTATCCAATAGGGGGGGTTCCCTCGTGGTGATTCCACAGCCTTAGGCAGGTTTGAGTCAGACCATATGACCTGCTTTGTGCAATGCTTCCTTCTTGCCCCCATCACCTCAACATCAGCATCTCACTCTCAACATCTCCTTCCCCGTATCAACATCCATCGCCCAAACATCATTTCCATCATCCTCTGAGACACAGTACTACTCAAAACCGTCCCTTGTTACCATGGGCCAAGAAATCCTCGTCACTACGGATGACCTGCGAGTTCCGACTCTCCGCATCTATTACCCCTCAAACGAAGAAACTCCCACTACAGTCATACCACCTGAGACGATCAAAAACCTCCCATCAGAATGCACGTTCGTCTTTATTCACCCCGACCATCTGGAGTCCGTGTTTCATAATGCCAAGACCCATGAACAAATCGCCAAGCATATGCGGAGACTCCGACTGGTCCTACTAAACCCAGTCGCAAATAGACCTGGCTTTGCACCTCCCCGCGGTGCGGAATCTCAGAACCTGCACTTCACCTCAAGAGGTGCAGGTGCAGACTTTCGCACCTCAACCAACCCTGAGGGTCGGGAGGGTCGATGAAGGGTAACCCTCATCGACCCGCATAAACCTGCATTTGCATAATTTTTCGACGCTTTTCCTCTTCTGATTGGATAAAATGGATGATTCATCTCTGTTTTTAACAGCTGTTCCGTCAACCTGTAGACATTTCATTGAATACTCTATCAGCACAATAAATTATGAATAAATAGTCATGTAAAAGTAAATCGTAGGCATGGTCACCTACAAATTACAAGTAATATTCGATAATATCGATTTAGTGGGTGGTCAACAGAGGTCATCGACAAAACAATATGTTAAGTTGTAGATATATATATCGTAGATACTGTAAAGTATGTGTATTTTAATAGGTAAAACTACTATTTTTCAAGAAAGCTATGAAGGCGTAGTCTGAATCCACTCATTTTTATATTATTTGAACTGTTATGTCTTCTTCTATCAATTTGCTATTAAGAATTCAGGTCAAATGATATAGGTATATCGTAAATTCGTTTGGAATGTTCTAATTGTTGGACTTAGACATTCTGATTAAAACTGTTTTCTGAAATTGAGGGCCCTTTTGAGGTGCGTTCAGGAGTAATAGAGGGTCTCTTTGAGGTGTATTGAGGTGTACTGAGGTGCGGGGAGGGTTAATCCCCGGGTTATCCACTATACCAGCGAATCAGATCTAGATAGGTGGATACAAACAATGATACATCAATTCCAGCATGTACAACAGGGTCAAACGGATACCCCAAGAATATTGTGCGTCTTTTCGCACAAACAAATCAGTAAGTTCTCTATTATCTCTCTCCTCAGTCAATACACTATGTTCTGATTTACTGAATTTATAATGTCTCAGCTCTCCGACGTCCACCTATCGTCTAGCTTCGATACTCAGGACGGGTTACCATTAGATGCGCTACAATACCTTATTTCTGACGATTCTCTTTCCCACCACCAAAGTCAGAGTCAGTTACCTTCTGAAAGCCTGTTTGATTCAGAACTAGACCTTCCGGATAATCGAGTTCAAATTCGTACGGTATCTCAGGCCCAGATACCCTTCCGCGAATCAGGCCTGACTGTATCAACGAGTTCATTATCTGCATACCAGCGGGCAGCGATGTCTGCAGAATTCGTTAAGTGGTGGCTTCACACTGACTACGGCAAGTCAAAGCGGATTAACTGGGACATAAATCCTGATAGCTATCGTGCAAAATGCTGGGAAGGGTTTCAACAAGTTGCAAATGCCAAACATAGAAAGCCAGGCGTTATATGTAATCGCTGCTGTACAGTTCTCGCGCATCCAGCTACGAATCATACTGGAACGTCGACGATACAGAAATCTCGATGGATCAAGGTGCCGACATCGACTACCGAAGAAGGGTGCTGGTAGTATCTATCAACTACTCAGTGACGCGGTATGTTAGAACTAGCCTAGATTTAATGACAGTGCTAATACTTAATTCACTCTCCCTTAGGCCGAGAGAAGACCAGCGCCTACCTTTACACAACGAACATGGGAGCAGAAGATTCTTAATCTCATCACTACATCGCAATTACCCTTCCGATCCCTCGAGCATCAAGAGTTATATGACCTCCTTTCTTACGCACGGCTAGCACCTATACCACCAAGCGTTCTATCGAGAAAGGTAATTCGCGAGCGCCTCCGGAGTTTCGTTATAGAATATCAACAAGAGACACTACAACGGCTCCCATCTGGTGCAAAACTATCACTTGCGCTTGACTGTTGGACTTCACCATTTCAGGACGCATTCATGGCTATAACAGGATGTCCTCCTTGGGTTTGAGCCCCTTGCTGGAACTCATTCTGGCGTAAATCTCGGTGAGGTTGTTCTCCAGATTCTACAAAAGCATCAAATCACTGATCGTGTACTGGCGGTGACAACTGCTAATGCGTCTAATAACAAGACGCTTATCGCAGCAATAAATAATTCAATCCGCGAACTACAGCTGAAAACAGATTCTACGATTATTCAAGTGCCCTGCCTTGCGCATATTATTCAATTGAGTCTGATTGATTTACTTGGTAAAATCAAGGTTTTACCGAAGAATGATACTGCCGAATCAGTATAGTCTGATGAGCGTATACGTTTACTTCGTGTGCGCTAGCAGAACATAAGATCGCCGATACTCTAAATAAGGTGGGTTTCTATTTGATAATCTTATACAATCAACTAACCATCCTTATAGGTTCGAGGTCTTGCGATTTATATCAATGGAAGCCCTCAACGTAAGGAAGCCTTCCTGAATCTCCAGTCCAATAGACAAAAGCTTGTCCCAATCCAGGGGAAAAAAAAAAGTTTCCCAAAAAAAAAAAAAAAGAGAGAGAGAGAAAGAAAAAGGTACCAAGATAGAACCTGACTGTTCTCGGGTCATAGGATAAGCGGAATCAAACAGATGCTTACTACTAAGAGACTGGAGGTAGAGAATTGACATGACATAATATCTTTGGAAACATCTCTCTCGAACTAAAGGACAATTGATTATTCCATTAAACAACTAGCGTATATATCATTACCATAATCATTACCCCTTCAATTATTATCCCCTAGTGCGGTCAAGCACTATCGTCGCAGTCGAGCAACTATCAACAGCCTTGCCCAGCCCACCTGCCTGCAGGGAAATTGTACTCGGCACTAAGATAGCTCTTGGTGGGCATGAGGTATGCCCATGATTCGAGCCTTTTCTTAAGGAAATGGCGGTCAAATAGATGTCGTAGCTTTGACGTAAGGGACGTCGACGAAGCTTTCGATGTCGACGAGGTGAGTTCGGAATGATGGGTTGCTATGAGGGACAGCTTTATATCGCTGTGTTTCGGAGGGTCCATATTAGGGAGGATGAAGAGAAAAGTGGACCGAGCTTTTTGGGTTGTCTCTAGTTCAGGAATCAGGACCTTATTTTGTTAGTAGATGAGATGTGTATATCAGTTTGTGGTGGCGACCTACCTTTGAAGTGGATAGTAGTCTAATGGATGGTGTATAGGTTAATGCAAATAGAGGTGGACCAAATGTTTGAGAATAAGTAAAGATATGACAGAAAAGAAACAATCTGAATATATAGTAGGACTGCAAAATCTAATCTCAGCTCGCGGCAAAGAGCTTGCTTGATGCTGGTTAGGCATGCATGACGCTATCCGAGCGAATTCCGAGCTTGGGCCGAGTTAGCTTTGACCGAAAAGTCACTGAGCTACACCGATACATTGGTCTGCATGAATGAACACATCGGTTAGGTTCCTGAGATCAGTCTCTGATAGCCAATAGTAAGTAAAATATTTCTGAAATTGTCAAATAAATGTGGTCCTCGTGAGCATAGCTGGACGATAGATCCTTAGATTCCACCATGCATCGACTATTACTTCGCGTATAATGATACTGGAAGAGGGTGATCTAGTGTCCGAATAATGGACAGGCAGATCTATATAATATATCGGTGAGCAAAGTTTGATAAATAGACGTAGTTCCTTGCCGTTCGTAGCTTGAAATATTTTACAAGACATATTGACGTTTCTATGAGCCAAGGATGCATTGCCACTTGGGACTGCCTAGCATATATATCCAGCGTTTTTCTTGTGCTTCTAGCGGTCGGAGGGGAAATTCAATTAGAGAAGGAAAGAGAGTAACGTGAAGGAGGAGGTAAGGAAGGCAGGTCGGTACACAGTTTGGCATAACATAAGAAACAATAATAACTGCTTCTTGGTCTTGGTGTGAAAGCGAAAAAAAAAGAACGATTTCCAACCGATGTGGAATTGGACCTCCATTGACAAGAGCCCGAACAACTTCTACGACCATCTAGGCCAACATCTCCCCGGAGATATAGTCCTCACTAGAGGCAACATAACGCACTTCGGGCTCGATGGCAACGCAGCTGTTGCCAAGCACTACGAAGGCCACCTTTATATTCTCGCAAACAATGTGACCCATGGCGTCGTTGGAAAGTATCGTCTGCCCGAACAAACGGACCTCACTAAGAGAACGACATACACCTGGAACTTTAGAAATATGGCCAGACTCAAGTACTCCTACGAGAATTTATGTGGCGACTACAAGAGCCAGTAAGATCAGTCTTGGATGTATGGGCTATACGAGCTCTCTTTCAACTTGATGAGCTCAGCCTACAATAGTCACAGGACCAACAGCTATGCCATAATCCTCTATGATCGAGCCAACGGAGACGCGCCTTTTGTTAGTGGATATTTGATTGCCGAGACAAGCGGGTTTGGACACAACTATGAGGGGAGTCCTAGTCCCCAAGGAATGTGCCACGCTTAGACGTTCATCAAGTGTGTCTTGACTCTGGAGTGATAATGGTGGAAAGTTTGGAGATAGCAAGATCTGCTAGGTGATCATATCTCTAACGCCTGTTTTGATTTCGAGCTGTGGTGTGAATTTACTCGTTCCAGCAACATAATGCAAAACACGGCCTGTAACAATATATATTCCGACCAAAGAGCCCAACGGGCACGAAAGAGCACTACGTAACATTATAGAGAAATAAGATCTGGAGATCATGAAAGCCCCCTGATTTGAAGCGCTTGCATTAGTATATAGGGTTCTTATGGCGTGCGTGAGTATTCTCCAAAGTAAAGTTCAAGAAGAGGAAGACGAATTTGAGAGACTTATCCGGATATTTGCCAGCCCCATTGGCATCGTATTGACTCCCTCCACCACCCTTTTGTGCAAGATTGTCTCGCTCTATGAGCCTTTCTGCTTTGAGGAGTTGGTGTAGATGCTAACATCGCTCACGAGATGTAGAGGTAATACCACGATGAACCATGACCCGCGACTGAGGTTGGATGTACAAAAGGTTGTATCGTAAATTCAACCAAGCTACAAAGATATCACGATCGTCTGAATGATCATCACCGGCTCTCATACTAGTCCCGAAACCTACCCTGACATAAAAATCTGGAGCGGCCATCCGGCAGAGATGCGTTGAGTACAACCCCCCCAAGAATACACAGTTGAACAAATTCATGAAATATTCCTTAAATAGTGATATTTTCTGCTAGGCAAATGAATTAATGTTCTGCGAAAAGAGGATTTTCCGTCAAGGAACAGTGGCATACCACGTCAGTTCGTTGGACAAAGTTGATAAAAACCCTTCAAGTGTTCATCCAAGTCGATTTCCCGATCACCGTCCTCTTTGTTGCTTTCCCCGATTCATCTTCGATTATACGTGGCCGTCTGCATCACATATTTTTCGCGTTTCCCAATTAACATGGATTCAGTTGCTACAGATCTTCCCATCGTGGATCCACACACCATGGATTCGGTTAACACGGGCTCCCCTGATGTTGATGAACATGGAATTGATGTAGTTCCGGGACTTAATTCGGAAGTCCTAGATGGCATTGCGTCGTTTTTGGATGAGTTTGGTGAAACATCTGAAGTTGATGTAATATCTGGATTTCATTCCGAAGAGGTTGGATTTGCAATATTTCCAGATGAGCATGCTGATGGATCTGAAATGCATTTATCCGCATCTAACTTGAAAGAGATGGATGAAATGAACCTGTTTAAGGATGCGTATGAGGCTAGAGACTCGCCTTGGAACCGTATGATCGAATATATAATTGTCTATACTGGCCCCGAACCATTCAGGTGCTTGTACGATCAGTATGCAGAGGCACTCCGGCGTCTCAAGAGTATCGATTATCGACGAGATTTGTATCAAGTAAGATGGTCTACTGAATCGGTGTTTCAGTTCTTCCATTTGCGTTTCCCCGTCGATATTTTGGATTTTGAAAATCCTTGTCCTTATAAACAGGCAACAGCGCTCGTGGAGTATATTCTGGACCCGGAGAAGCGTAAAGAAGCCCAATCGCCTAATGAGTTACTTGCGGCGCATCCGGTCTTTGATGCTGATCAGCTTCCTACGACTAAAATTGCTCCACGATCTTGGTCTGACGCTCTTTGCGATGAGAAATTCACAGAATAGTGGCAGTTCAGTGTCGAGGATAGAAACAGCCTTCTGCATCGTCGACATCGCCGCCTTCGGTATCACGATATGGTCACTTACACTAGGGATGAGAATGGGTTTACCTCTGCTACTCTTCATGACTCTAGGGCCGGTGTTACTATCACGAACGAGGACCCTCGTGCCGAAATCGACTATGACGCCGATGCCGCTGTTATCTTGATCTCGAGCTAGCCTGGTCCAGAAGCACATGAGACTGTGACACAAACGTTGGAGGGAGCATAGAGCAAGGAAACTACAACAGAAGAGTCAGAGAGTCTGGGACAAAAATATTGAGGCTGTAAAGATTGAGGAACAAAGGATCAGAAGCTTCTGAGTCCCGTTTTCCTCCTTTGAATTGGTCTTTCTGCCCAAATCTTTCTATTTCCTACCTTTGTGTCTGGCCTTAGAACGCACGTTTTTCCAGGGCACACAATGAGAAAATTGACAACCATGAATGAATCACAAAGCGGAAAAGACAGAAAAACAAAATAATTATTTAGTGGAATACAATGAGGCGCTCAGGTGATTGTGAATGAAACTTTTCAATATACTATGGGATTACGTAGCTGTTATGCGATGCTGTATCCAGTTTAATTAGACTCGAACGAGCACCTAGCTAGATCAGTTTAAGAGTGAGTCGCATATCAGGTGATCATTTGGGCTGACGATTTGGCTCCCACGAGACTGGCGTGATCTATTTAGGCCTTTAAATTGGTGACTTTTACCCTGCAGCAACGAAGTCCAGAAGCTTGTTCAATCTTCCTGAAATTAAGGTAGGTCTTGGAGAACAAGAGAATCTAACAACGATCAAACGCATTCACTGTTCTTTTGATGCATCATTGAAAATTTTCTTTATCCCTTTGAACTGCCTTGTTAGACAATATAGGAACCTTTCAGTTAAACTGTAGTCACTATAATTTCATTGTACGTCATGATTTCCTTATTAGTCTGTAGGCCCTGGAAAATCCCTTTTAAACCCCAGTAGTCGGGACTTTCAGTTAAACAGAAACCCCATAAACTAACGGATGATTCCGCCAGGAATTGGAAATGCAGGAAAGTCCCGAAATTGAGATCACTGCCTCGAATACTATATATACAGCATCAGTTCGAGGAGTCTTCCATCAAAAGAATCCTGTAATCAATTGCATCTTCCCCAAGCTTACCTTTAGACCACTACTTTTTTTCTAAGATCCCTTAATCTTCCCTCATAAACTTCGGATTTCCCCTCCTTTTCAACCAATATACTAAAATGTCGAACAATAGTGACGATATCCTTCACGTCGTCGTCAACATCGGTCCCTGGATGAACACCACGGTCATGAGTCGCTATGAGATAGCGTTGCAACGCCTTTTCGAAAACCGACGATTCCACGTGATCAAGAATGTTGCTCCCAATGCGCAAGAAAGAAGTCCCTTCTCCTTGATTTTCAAAGTCAGGGTTCCACCCATAACTGCCGTGCAAGACCGCCACCAGGCAGCTCGACACCAGGCCAAAGAATTTGTATGGGCTCTTCTATACCCACAAAGGAGAGACGCGGACATGAGGGGTATTGTACCTCATATGCATCCAACCTTCTGTCGCCGGACACGTCTGCCGCACCGCAAAGGTTTCCTTGGTCCTCGCCAGCTTCCAACAGAGTCAGAAAGATTGCAGGCAATAGAGACCGATGTCATGATTCGTCAAAGAGAGTATATCCCCACTTGTCCGCGTGCGGCTGCTAAGAAATACGTTCCGCCGGGCTACACCCCTCACGCCGGTGAACCCTATACATACGCATGGCGGATACGTGGACTTCAGGAACATGGACGGTCGGTACAAAGACCACAGAACTACGGACTGCAGAACGGCGAACCACAGAGACTGATATCCCAGAGCCATGCACCTCAGAATCATGCACGTCTACAGCACGCACATCCAAAACTAACAGCGAAGATGCGCGCACATCAGATACACGCAAATCAGAAATCTGCACCTCAGACACGTACACAACAGCCATATCTACTACAGACAAACGAACCTCAAGTACCTGTACCACCGGGATATGGACAGAACATACCTATGCCCCCGGGCTATATGTTCCCTTCTCCTATGGCCCCTGTGACCAAGGGCTATCCATCCCAGGGTTATGCATCCCAGGGCTACCCACCCCAAGGCCATGCGCCTCCTCAAGGTCGTGCTTCTAAGCGAAGGCCTGCACCCGAAAGCTACCCGCCGGAAGCGAAGCGACAAAGGCGATAATACTTTATTTGTCGTCTGTCCCGCATTGAGTTTTTCATTATCTGGTCATGTCTTTCTTTGTTGCCAGAGTCGACATCAGCAAAAAGAGAAGAGTTGAAAAAACAAAGAACAAAGGACGAAAAGAGAAAAAAAAAAAAAAAAAAAAATTTCCTTTGTTGTCAGCATTACAGGTGTTGTGGGATTTTTGAAGATTTGATATCTTTTCTTTCATATATACCCAGCTTTGTATCAAGTTTCAGCGCATCATTCTTAATCATTTTTAGATGCATTTCATTTGTTCATGTTTGTTCAGTCTTCAGGAGTATCGTATTGGAATGTTCACCTTTGTTTGTGCTTTTTTGGTCTTCAAGGGTATCATTGGGTCGTTTGGGTTGGTTTATGTTCAGTCAATTTTTGAGTGGATTATTGTTCATGTCATTGTTGTTAAGAAGAGGTCATATAGTTTAGTGGGCAAGGCACTCGGCCTACGAGTTAGACGGACCGAACTTCTCCCCCGACAAGGGGAGAAGTGAACGGGTCTCTACGAGCAGGGCGACGGCCAAGACCAGGACCAGATCTCTTTTTTTCCAAAACAATAACTTCGACGCGAATCTAATTTTTATTTAAAATTGATTGATTGATCTTGTTAAATATTGTTTGTTAAATTCACTTCTTCGTTTTTTAATTATATTGTTTTGTATATAATTACTGTTTATCTAGATCTATCATTGTCAGATAAGAAACATTTAACATGTATGTACGTTCCTTCACTCCTTCCCGTCCTCCATTCCACAACCAACCCTCAAGCAACCAGCTTCATCCCCGCAAAAACAACCCTAGAAGCGAATATTATACTCGCTCCGAGCAACGAGGCAACCCCGGCGAAGATAATCGCCGCATCGTAGTTGCCGTATTTATTGATCATGGCCCCGGTGATCGGTGTTCCCGTTAGTCCAGCGATACTAAGCACGCCCAGCGCCATTCCCATGTACGACCCGATCTGGTTCGGTTGAGGTGCCGTCATGGCGATCGTCGCTGTGAACAAGGAGATGACGGTTCCGCTGAAGAAGCCGAAGAGCACGGAGAAGACAATCATTCCACCGTGTGAGGTGATGCGGAGCCAGCAGAGGATGAGGATTCCGCAGATAAAGCACGCCCCGGATAGCGTGTTGAATCGACCAAGGTGGTTGGCAACGGCGCCGCTGAGAAGTCGACCGACGAGGGACCCGGCGTTCACGATGGCGATTAGATAGTAGGAGAGGTTGACGCTGATGGAGACGGATTGCGCGTAGCCGGGGATGAAGTAGAATGGAACAAAAAGTGCCCAGATGACTAGGAAGAGACCGATGATTTGGATTGTATAGCCGGGATGCTTCCAGGCTTCGAGGAGGAGAGGAGGTCCGGTGCGTCGTTTCGGGACGTTGGAGGTCACAGAGGCGCAGGCGATGATGCTTAAGGCTAGCATGACGAATCCGAGGATGCGGACAGTCCAGCCAAAGCCAAGGTCGGTGCGGTGAAGCATGCGATTCAAGGCGATGGGGAAGAGGATCCCTGCTAGAGACGATCCGCTGGAAGCGATTCCTATTGCGAGAGGACGCCTTTGGAAGAAATATTGGTTGACGGCAGTCAGGGTGGGAGTGTATGTCAAGCCGTTGGTGATACCTCCCAGAATGCCTTGGGCTAGAATAAACTGGTAATATTCTTTACACAGGCTAGTCAATATGACTGATACTACGAATAACAGCGAGCATGAAATCAGGATAACCTAACGTCGTCAGCTCTATGTAGGGATGACCCTGTCAGGTGGAAAAGAGGTACCTTGGGACCGTAGCGATCCATCAGGGGACCGGAGACAAGTCCTGATGAGAACATGAAGAAGACTTGGAGAGAGCCAATCCATGCAATGTTCGAGGCACTTTGGCCTCTGAGAAGCGTTTGTCCGTAGTACGCCTCGTAGATACTGCCACGTTGTTAGTCCCAGTATATCGGTTGACCACAGACAGTGAAGCACCAACCCGAATGCATTGATGTATCCAAATGTATTGAACATCACACACCAGCAAGAAAGAACTGCCATCCATGCCTTCAAGCCCCCTTCGGGAAATGTCGGTGGCTTCGGAGGGACATTCTCCTCGTCCACAGGGATAGGCTTTTCGGCCTTAGTGGACATTGTAGTGGTATTATTTGAAAAGTTTCTGATTTATTTCAAAAAAGCCATGTGTTACCATTCAAGATGGCACAGAAGCTATATAGTACTCTTCCAGCCGGTGATATCGCGAAAGACGGTGTACTTCGCATGGTAGTCCGGGGATTTCCCAAAGGAGATAATATCCCGGGCCGGACTCGGGCTCGGGTCTTGGCGCCTCGGACGAGCTGACTCATCCGGGAAATGGAAGTTGAGCCAATCAGAGTGTCACTTTCAACTTTTCGCTCACGCTTTCTATAGATTGCATTATGGGCGATTCAGTTGTTTCATTACATTAACATTGAAAGCTGGATGATCCGTGAGTTCTTTTTAAATGATATCCCTTGCCATCCTACTATAGCACAGTATCCTTGGTAACCGAATTTACGATGAGCGATTGCCGTATTCCCCGAGGTATGCAGGGATGCCTCGTCATGCCCTTACGTACCCCTCGCTGTGATCAAGTTTATTGGAACTTAAAATATATGACTGAAGGATTTACACGTTATGTGGACAAAGCATTAATGATTCTCTTGGCGTTTCCAATTTTCCATAAGTACTATATTTGTGGCACCCTTCAGCAATAGGTACAAGGCATGGCAGCAAATGGAGATATCACGAAGAACTAACTCCCTAATAGATGCAGAAAGGTACTAGAACTTGAAAGGTTCTGCGGTTTAGTGATCATCTAAGGAAACATTTTCGCAATCACCGCATCTGTATATGCCCACAAAATTGACGAATGATCAGCACAAAAGCTCCGTCCCGTATAGAACGTGCTTTGCCGTCCTTGCAGCGCATACAGCTTGCGATAAAAGCCTGTCCGAATGTCCTCTGCCGACACTCTAGGTGAGGCGGGTGAGTGATTTGCTAACAGAAGCAACTCTGGCGACGTCACATTGTAAGTTCCGGCATCTTTCATCCGGCGGAGACTGGACATGATGAGCTCGGTTGCATCTCGCGGAGTGAGATCCTCGTCGCCGATTATCTCGCTGGTCACGTAGCCGCTGACCCCAGGATAGCGCAAACGCCAGGCGAATGGAGTCCGTGGGAGACTTCCGGGTCCGTTCTCCGGCTGGGTGTTGATGACGCTGAGAGCGTCGGGAATGCCAGTGTGATTGAGGACGGCGACGTAGTAGTTGTTCCATTTCCATTTTTGAAATATCTCGAGCTCCGTGTCGTCTAGATCAAAAGTGTTGATGTTGTCGAGTGTTGGAGGCATGGCGATCAGTAGCTTCTGAGCCCGGATCAATTTCGTGGTGCCGTTGGCTCCTTGCACAATGGCTTGCACCGATTGGAGTGATCTCTCGGTTTGAGTAACGCTGCTGCTGAAAAGAACGTCTTGGCCAAGCACGGCAGCTGCCTTGCGATATAGGTCCATTCCCCCGTTTCTCGGTGTCATAAATCCTCGTAGAAGGGCGTCGATCTGTGGAAGCCCGAAGCTCTGGATCACATATAAGGTAGGCACGTCGAGCAGATTGCCTACTTCCTGGCTAAAGGTGAAGATTAAGCTCAACGCCCCCTCGAGCTGGTGCTTGGTTACAAACTCGCCGAATGGACGCCATAGATCATCATGGATCGGGTCGGGGAGGTTGAGAGTGCCGTCGCGGAGGGATTCGTATTTCTCGATGACGCTGCGATAGAGAAGGGCTCCTGCAACAATACTCAGGGTACCGTTTGGAGGGGGCACTCGAATTCCGGTCTCAAAGTTGACATTTTCAGTGAGAAGCGTGTCAGGAAGCAATGTTCTCCAGTCGACTCCGAGTCGCCTAAAATAATTCCGGGACAAAGGATCGTTGAATACTCCCTCGACGCCGTAGTCAAAGTGTTGACCATTTCCAAGATCGTATGTTTCCGTGTGGCCGCCGAGATACTCGCTATTTTCCACCACAATCACTGATCTACCTTGATCCTTCAGTCGGATGGCTGCGTAGGTGCCAGTAGCGCCACCTCCAATGATACAGACATCGCGAGTGATGGTGTCTTCCGCAAGAAAGGTTCGCTCGGAGATCCTAGCTGCATTTGCCAGTGTCGCCAATACCAGCAGCACGGTATTAAATTTATTAGCTAAAACTCGGTAAAACGCCATTTTCGCTTCAACAAAGGAAGGTCGAAGGCCCTCCCGGGCTTAAATTAATAGCCCTGGAGCTGTAGCTCCATAGATCAGCTGGCAACCGGGAGAGCTGAATACGAAGTAGTATTTTGCTCTTAGAGTTTGGTGACATGACACTGAATTATAAAGATACCACACATCGCCTCGTCGAAGGTGTCACATAGCCCCTGGCCAAGTTTGCCAAGCTTATATTTATCAGTATACACACAGGTTCGCTTAATTTCCACTGTTACATACAAAGGAAGGTTTCTTCTGCCTCAATATTCACAAATTTATATTTCGGTCATGCCTTGAGGTCTATGAGTTCTCGATCATCCTCTGTAGCTCACCAAACACTGCGATAATATCTTCCTTCTGAGAAGACCAAAAGCTGCTTTCATCTGCCAAACGCAGATCCTCGCCCGACGCCCCTCGAAGCAGGACATCCTTGTCCGGAAATGTCAGGGGAATAGTTCTCTCGACCGGTGTCATACGCAAGCCCTGTAGAACCTGACGCAGCTGCTCTGCCGCCTTCCCTCCTCCATGGCCACCATAGCTGACAATCATAGCTGGCTTTCCCTTCCATTCATGATAAAGATAGTCCAGCGCGTTCTTGATACTGGCCGGATATCCCCAGTTGTATTGGGGAGTAACGAAAATGAAGGCATCGTGAGCCGCGATTTCTTGCGACCAGGCCCTGGCATGCGCGTGGGTATATTCATCGGGTGGCTTAATCTGCGAAGGAATCCCTGGCTCGTCGCACAGGGTGAGGTTCCACTCGGCAAGATCAATCAGTGAAAGAGCCGTGGGAGGAAATGCCCGTTCGATCGTCTGGCGCACAAAACCTGCGACCTGAGGACCGACGCGTGGATTGCGCTGGCTGCAGATAATCAAACCAATTTTCGGAGCCATTTCGGTATTGAGGATTGCATGTGGAAGAGCCTTGCTTGTACGGAGTAGGTTTTTAGGTCCACATTTATAGCGATCTGCCCTGCGTCGGGGTAGTTACCTCCGAGTCGGACGGACTGGATTTATCTCCGAGAAACTCCGAACAGGCGATATCAGATCTGAGACACTTGATGTTCCCCTTGCACATGACCCTTTGGAGACAGGCGCATGATTCATGATTAAAAAATTAGACCTGGGATCTAGATGCTTCCAAGGGCTAAGGCGAAATACCCTTGCGTCCCTGACGAAAATGCCACGACATGCACCTTTCGTCGGGCTGATCTACCAGACTACCACCGATAAGGGTTCGATCACATTCCAAGGCTTCAGGATTCCCGATTTTTAGGATCTTCTGATGCTTCTGCAAGCTGTAGAACTGATGCACCCCCCTTAATTCGGCTTCCCGAGAATCTAGATATTCAGTTGCGCTTCTAGGACTCGCCGGAAATCTTACCCGGGTCACAAGCCGCCGCTTTGTGTTGGGAACTTCGTCAGGAATTTTAGGCATTGTCCGCATTGAACTAGTTCTTCTTTGAGCCCTGAAGAACTGGGATCGCCGGGTAAGGAAAAGTGCTTGGTTTGGATAGTCCGGTTTGCAGGGTTCATTGCTAAACCTAGATGCGGAAATGACCATGTCAGTGACAAAGAACGTCCGGGTTCCCTGGTCATCGCTGAGGTCATTCAACTCTACAATAACTTGCGGTCAGGAGAGCTGTAAGCCTTGAGCACTTTGTCAGAATAGATTTCCGGGGATATGTGCGATTTCAAACAGGGTCTTGTCGTGAGATATTGTCGAGTACATTTAGTTGCACGCAATCGATGTCCCCAACTGGCCTTCTGGGTTTAAATTTAAAGCTCGACCTAGGGTAGCATCAGTTTGAAATTGAACTATTCTTCTAGTAGATGGCTTTTCAATTCCTTATAGTTAATCGTCATGTCAGCCAAACACAAATGCGAGCTTCATCAAGATGAGATCGGACGGCGTCTGTTGCTCAATCATATTGACAGATGCGCCTTGGATTCACCAGACAAGGTAGCCTTCTATCAAGTTATTCTTGGAGACTCCAAGGAGTGGGTCTTGCGCTTGACATATTCCGATTTGAGGGCCTTGATAAACCAACTTGCCTGGTGGCTGGATGGGCTACGCCCCAAAGGTCAAGGGGGTAATGAAACCCCGATAGCGTGAGTAGAATATCCCTCCGACTAGGTGACTAGTCCTGACCTTTGTAGCTATCCAGGGCCAAGCGACTTGAGACATCTACTCCTTGCACTGTCTTGTAATAGAATAGGGTCCAAGGTATGCCATGTCATGACCAGGTATCAGAAGTAGTCTTTAACCATCTATTAGGCACTGCTGCTCTCACCTCGCAATAGCGTCCATATTCACACACATCTGGTCAACGAATGCGTGTGCAGGTTACTTATACACCTGCAATGATGTTGTGGGCCAGATCTCTTCCAAGAGCACAATCATTTCCTGTGTCTTGGATGACTTGGCTGATCTGCTCAATAACAAAGCTCCTATTCCGAGACGTTTCCTTACCACGAAACCTGGACGAGCGCTTCTAGCCAAGCAAGCACGCCCAGAGGGCAATCGATGATGATCAGAAAGCTCACGTCCTCCTAACTGGAAGCACGGGGTTCGTCGGATCATATATATTGGACTCTCTCTCACGCTGCCCCGTGCGTTGGGAAAACCACCTGTCTTGATAGGCGGACTAAGAATCGAGCTGCATTATCTGATACCAAAAGGGCCAGTTCTTCATCCAAAGTGGAGTATTTATTGGGAAATCTCGACAGAGACAACCTTGATCTTGATATTGGTATCTTCTCGAGACTGGGCAACTCTGTTACCGTCATTCTGCACTGTCAATGGTCGGTAAACTTCAACCAGCCGTTATCGTCCTTCCAGCCAAATATCCAGAGAGTCGAAAATCTCGTCCTTTTTGCACACGGCGCCAAGTACAACCCACTGATTTTCTTTCTATCATCGATAGCGACTGTCAAGCAGTGGGACCAAAACAGTCCAGTTCCGGAGAAGCCGCTAAGTGACCCCAAACACGCCCAAACCGGGTACGGGCAGAGCAAACTGCTTGCTAGTCTGTTGCTTGAAGAGGGCGGCAAGTATACGGGCATTCTCGCTCTTCTATTTGTCGTTTAGGTCAGGTGACCGGTCCCGTTGGTCGTATTGTGAAGCAGAAAGCATGGCCTCGATCGAATTGGTTCCCGGTCATGCTGGATGCGTCCAAATTCATTCGGTGTGTTCCAGACTCATTGGGGGCGGCAAGTATACTAGACTGGGTCCCGGTGGATGAAGTTGCAAGAATGTTTACCGACCTGGTGCTTTGGAGACACTCAAAAAATGATGAAACCCGTCCGTTGACTGATTATTATCATCTGGCAAATCCGGAACTCGCATCTAACAATGACCTTCTTCCAGTCATTTCAAAGCGACTGGGAGAAGGCATAAAGGTTGTTTCTTTATCGGAATGGGTTGATCAATTACGGAAGTCGGCAACAACTGCAGAGGATGATTTTAATACAGACATGACCCTATTAAGTTTCTTCCAGGGTCTAAAAGACACACAAGACGAGTCTCCGGTGGTGCTGGAGACTCGAAATACGCAAGAGCGTCTTCCAGGACTCAGCAAGATTCGCGAGGTAAATAGTACATATATGGAAACCTTGCTTGACCAGTGGGGTTTCGAGACACGTAATTAGACCCCATATAGCTATCAGATTAAAGGAAATTGGATCAATGCACACGTACTACCCCTGATCAAATATTCACATGACAGTATGAGAGAAATGTGACGTTGCATCCCGCGTCGGCGAGTCTGTGCATCCCAAGTTCATTCGGCGATTGAGGCTATGCAAGGGTATGGTGCATCACTATTTCCTGCTGTGTGGCCAAGTTACCTGTCATACGAATACACCTGTCTCTTGCTTTCACCTGCAGCTGTCTTGATTTACCAGCGTCATTTCTGGCTCGGTGATTTTACCATGCCGCTTCATTAAAGCGAACGGTGCATTTTGAAATGTGATTTACTTAATTTCGTGTCATGCTCCAGACCACGGGTCTTAATCGCTTCTTACAATGCCGAGATGCCTTTGTTCAATTGATATCGAATTCTGCCAGACAATTAAAGAACGAGGCATTGTAGCACGTCGGATCAATAAATGCCGGTGCAAGCTCTGGCGCCAGAAGGCTCTGTCCCTCGGCAATTGTTGTCACCGCGGGTGCCCCTTGGGTTGTCCTTTCTAAGTCATTCGGGGTGGTTTGAGACGGAACGATCTTTTCCAACGGTCCTGCATTCCACCGTTCAATTGAATCGGAAAGAATATCAGCCGCAGAAGATCGCAAGCAATGATATGCGGATTCCGCAGAGTTCCAGGTTCGTTTCGTGCTTTTCAAACACCCCAGGATCAGCGTGACGCGGTTACAATGATGATCGAAACATTCTTCCGAGTGGCTGATCGATGTAGCGAGTTGGATCATTCCGCAAAGGGCTAAGGCGGAGATCACGAACGGGGAATGTTTCTGGATGTTCGGACACACTGATATCGAGTCCGATATTCGCCGTGATGCTTCAGTGGCTTTGATGCTGTGGACGAGGCGAGTGAAGGTTGATGAGAGATGACAGGTCGCGGAAGGCCAGAAGAAGTCGTCTGGCTGGGTTAGAAGGGGCTGCAGGTCACTTCTTGGCAGATGGAGCAACATGGCGGCATAGGAAATGGTCAAGTGTGCTTGAAACATCATCTCGTCGACGTTCCCATACGAGTCCACGATATCCAGTTTCTTCGGGGGTAGATGGTTGACCCAGCTCACGAGCGCATTCTCGATGGCTTGTAGGTGATCGCGATGGTAGTCGCGTAATCGGTTCAACACAAGAACTCTGCAGAGAATCGTGGCCGCCTCAATGCGATAGCTAAATGATGAGAAAACTGTCTCTTCCTCCGCAAACACCCTCCGCTTGAAATCCAGCATCCTACGCGGCCCCGGGACATCGCATCCTGCAGCGTACACTGCGTCTTCGCAGGGCAGTCCGACCTCCGGGGTGACGCCACTACAGCGAAACGTGATGTTCTTGAGCTGGACTGCCATGAAGATGTCCGTGATATACAATTCCCACCACGTTCGTCTGATGCTCTCCGCCTCGGTCGATCCCTCAGACTGTGAGGTTGACGCAAACTCCCATCGATTCATCCCTAGCTCGAACGCAATTTCGGTGCTATGTGAGAATGCTTCTTGGGCCTTTTCCTGCTCTCCGCGCGCATAGAGAGCGATGGAGTAAATCAACCAGGCTTGGACCATGCATGGAGAACGGTCTGGATTGGATGTCAGTTCGGCCTCAACTCCTTCCTTCAGATGCAAGCTGGAGCTAGATGGTGCGTAGTGTGAACCCACGAAGTTCACGACTAGCTGAAGAAAATTGGGATAATTTCGGTCTTTGTACAAAGAGAACGGGACCAGGATTGGGTGCGCAACGTGGAAGTTCTCGTAGAACAACCGGAGGAAACGATCATCGAAATCCCCGGCTCGACATTGATGACCGAGACCATTCTGGCCGGTGCCATTTTGTGGAAGAGACGCAGGCCATGAGATGCTTCCAAAATCAGGATGCGATCGTCCCTGCGACGATACATTGTCGTGCGCATTAGTCGGAGCTGAACTGCTGGCTTGGAGAGTTGAAGTTGGGGACTACTGGCATCGTCGCTTTCTGTTATCAACTTGTGCTTCATTCATAGATAGGGAATACTGACGCTGAGTCCATTTCTACGAGTTGGAGTTTGATATTGCGACATTGAGTCGTGATGCGGCTTTCTGCGTCCGCCGCGTCGCGAAGGCAGGTATTGACAGAGGAGGCCGCTCTGCGAACACCGCGAGCAGGAAGGCTTGCTAGCGTCACATTTCAGGTGTTGCTTCCTGCACTCGGTGCAGGCCAAGGCGGCCAGCCCACTGTCCCGATTCGATCTGAGAGGAGGCATACCTGATTCATCGTTGGGAGGTTGACCAGTCTTGCTTTTTTTTCCCCCGGGCTTCACGACGCTTTGGGCGTTGGTCTTACGTAATGCGGCGGGCGTGGACGTTGATGCCTCAGGTCTCCACATCTGGACTGATCAACAGAACATCTTTCTACTGTACAGAGCACGATAGAATCGTAGAATGTATTAACAGACATTCGGATTAAGGCTCATGTATCCTTGCATCATAATACCCCTTTGGGGTAGGAAATCCTCGTTGTCATGGGAGGTTTTATGCATTATCGCGAGGCTCCGAGGCCAGCCGCTCCAACGTTATTCGCCGATTGAGAGCGCAAATGTTTCAATCGGCGATTGAAGATTCAGGGGACAAGTTGACCTTAAGAACCGCGCCAGGAACCACCTTTCTTCAACTTCAATTCCTACAATCCACTCAGTATTACCTACTTTCATAATTCTATCCACCATGCTGTCTTTGTCCACCCCCCTCACCCAGCCTCTGGCCCAATGCTCCGGCCCTCAGCCGTATGATCTGCAAGATCTTGTCCGCGATATCAAGTCGCACCTCGGCCAAACTGGGGGGATCGATGCTGCTCTCAACACAGACTATTTGGTATCTCTTATGGAGAAGTATACCTCGAATCCTGATGACTGGATTCAATTCTTCCACAACGATACAAGCAAGAATTATACGCGGAATACTATCGAGAACATCAATTCCAAAGCCAACATTGTACGTATTCCTTCTCAATATTCTATACAACTACTCTAATTACTGTATGAATAGCTATTACTTGTCTGGAACCCAACAAAAGGCTCCCCAGTGCACGACCATGCCAACGCCCACTGCGTTATGAAAGTTCTGGCTGGCGAGTTAATGGAAACGGTGTATCATACGCCAGAGAGCGCCGTCGACAAGTCGGGACCGCTTCAGCTGAAGTCGCAGACTCTGCACCCGATGGACGCGGTCACGTATATCTCGGATGATATTGGCCTTCATCGCGTGCACAACCCCAATCCTAATCAGGTCGCTGTTTCTCTACATTGTACGTTGCCACCCAGACACTTGGATATATGACTGCTTCTAATCGCTGGCTAGTGTACACTCCGCCAAATGCTGCAGATTATGGCTATCATATCTTCGACGAAACCACGGGCAAGGCGTATTTTGTTCCGCAGGCTCGGGCTTTCCTGAAGCCTGAGTCGTCTGATTGCAAGGCCTAGAGACCCTATCTCATTCATGAGTTTACGATAACACTTTCTTTCCAGCGCCTGCTGCATTCTTTCGGGGTTCTTTCCTGGCTTATTCTTTTCTCAATTGTCGGCTTCGGTTTATTTTTTATACCATGTGGTGTTGTCTGTAGTCATACAGTTTCATAGCAAAATTAATGTTTTTATTCTAGACTTTTTTGCACAGAAACATGGAATCTTAAAAGAGTTGTTCAATTTGAGACAACTACCCATTCCGTCTTGCTTAATTTTTTTTGACGCTACCCACGAGAATTTCTGCGTGGCATTCAACGTCTCCTTTCGTAAAACTGCAGATTAATGCCAACAGATACTTTTGTTTATCCCTGTGCTCATCTTCTTGGTCTTGATTGCATGAAGTATGTGCACGTCCCCTTATTCAAAGTCATCCAGCGTGGCCAAATGACCAGTGACGGCATCGAGTCGCCGATTGAAAACGGTGGATTCCCGACGCGCCAAGAACGGGTGATCTGCGCGTCGCCGTCCTAGTGGCTTCACCGACCTTTCGGTCCTTCAGGGGTTACCGACTGTAGTTGCTAGAGATAGGGCTCTGTAGCGGTCAAGGCCGTGTTTTCTGAGTTAACGACTAGCATAAGACTTATTTGGTATTTATAAATATTTTTTTTATTTGCTTTACGTGGCGTATATCATCCAATGGGATCCACATTGTAGCCGTCGAAACATCCGCTGTTCGTATAAATACATGTTGAGTCCGTTGCCTTCAGGAATGTTGAATCAATACAAACCTATAATTATCCTTCAAATCGGTACTTACTAGTAGGGATACCTTGAAGAACTGACAAGAATACAGGTAAAAAAATAAAAATAAAATAAAATAAAAACCTTAATAGAATGGCCCCATAACTTGGATACAATGGTAGCTCTCTATTGGACAATGCAGAACTATTCATGTCCATCAACATAGTGTATTCAGACGAAAGACAAAAAGGCTATAGCCGTGTGTATGTGATAGAACAGATTAAAATCTATTGAGGTTAGACGATAAAGTCTTAGGTTGATATAGAAGTTTGTATTGTTTGTCATGATTGTTCAGGTGAGCGGAAAGTGATTACATAGAAGTCCATAGTAAAGCTATATAAAGTAGCTTGAGATGTCCATGATCATAGGCCCTCCTATAAGAGTATCATATGTGTTGTCTAAAACTAGATGGTTTATATACTTGGCATCTATCTGATATATTTGTGAACAGTTTTTGGAGTAATAGCAATCTCCCATTAACTCGATCAGCGACCAGTCGAGGCCTTCTCCCGATCATACCTGACCACAACGGTGGTAGGCCATGACTGCAACAGAACAGCTCCAACCATCAAACACCCTGCAAAGACCTGCGCTCGCCAAAACTCTCCAGTCTCCAAATCAACCAACGCTCCCGCAATCGGTGTTCCGACCAAAGACCCAAACGAACTGATTCCCCACATCATTCCCAGTCGCGTCCCAAGGGAGCCCGGGTCTGGACAGTAAACTGGATGACCGACAATTGATGTCGGAGCCGTGACAAGCACACCACTGAGTAAACCCCAGTAGCATGCCCAGACGATGAAACCGGCCGTGTCACTGACAGCAAGCCAGCAGAACATAGCGATTACGCTAGCAGATGTCCCGCAGAGTAAGATGACCATTGGCTTCATGCGCGAGCCGGCGAGGTATGGCAATGTTCGCCCAAATGCCGAGGCACCGTTTATAATAGCGACCATGTAGAAGGATAAATTTCGGGTTGTGTGTAATGCTACGCGCGAGTATGATGGAACGTAGAATACCGGGATGTAGTAGCCGAGCATGATGCATGTCAAGGAGACGGCATATAGCATGAATGGAAGCTCCTTGAATGCTTTGAAGTCGATCATGCTTCTAGAGCGGGTCTTCTTGCCCGGACGCCGACAGAGCACAATACACGTGATTAGGGCAAGAAACAGATTGATGAAGCCGATGCAGCGGACAGTCCAGGGGAAGCCGATCCTGGGTTGAAGCTGGCGAAACATGATGGGGAAGACAACACTGCCCACACTAGATCCGATCGATGCGCATCCGATCGCGATCGGTCGTTTCGTCGTGAAATGCGAGGAGATGACAACAAGAGCTGGGATGTAGGCGATGCCACCACCTAGGCCCACGCCAAACCCCTGGGCTAGAATTATCTACCAATTTTAGTCGAAAGTGAGTCACAGATATAGGAAAAATGGGCTCACTTGATAATATTTCGTGGATAGACTGGTCATCATGATCCCAAACACTGTTAAGGTGCTGCCGCAGACAATCAATGGTCGCAGATAACCGTTGTCAACCAAGGGCCCAGTGACAATCCCCACCATCACAATGAGTGTCGCTTGAATACTGCCTACCCATGATAGCGATGATGGAGGTTGATCGGGTAAAAGCACCGTCTGGTAGTGTTCCTGGAAGGCACCATACGTAGTGATCAAACCCCTGTATTGGGTTAGCTAGAGAAGGAGTTCGACCGCCGAACTTATACACACCAGGAGTTAACGAAAACACAGAAACCGGCGATAACGCTCAACCATCCTTCTAAGCCTCCGTTAGGTGGAGGCTTTTCTTCAGTTTCATAGTTGAATGTGTCTTGTACAGTTGGTTCTCGTTCAACATGAGCGGCGGCACCGTCATCACGCGGTGCCGTTGATTTCTCAAATGCCATGCTATTTCGACAGCTGAGTCGCAGCTCCAGCGGAAATTTCCGAGAGAAAAGGGTCTGACACGGCATTCTATTTATTCGAGGAATTAATTACCCCGTATCCCCGCAGTGGGACCCTTGTCCCATGGGATTTCCATTAGTCATGGTGGACGATGGCATCGCTCGGCTGAATCCACGGCATTTCTTAAGGTTGGGAAGGATTCGCGTATCCGATTATCCGGCAGTACGCCAGTTAGGATATAAGCTGACTTCGGTAATATTTGGGCAACATTGCTATGGTAAAGGGTGCTGATTTTCCAAGTCGCAATGCGATTATTCGCAGCGAATCGAACGACGGATGTCGCCGTGTGCCGCGATGATATTTAAACCGCCCTATCATAGAATAAAATATAAACTTACCGGTTGGCCAGTTGGCTCTAATCCGTGAACAATAGATGTATCATAGAATAATTGAGGGTTTCCCACAGAATAGTCATCCCTGCCGGTAGAAGCTTCATGCTGGCTTTTTTGTTTCTTGGATGGCATGGCCCTAACATATTCCAGATACGCAGGATTGCCGGGACAAATGACATTGTCAGCGAGGACAACTGTGTTGCGAGCCACCAATCATAGTTCCTCGCACAGTTTGAGGTCGTTGACGTATTCGGTCTTCGCGTGGTCAAAGAATATCATATCCAAGCCGCGGTCACTGTATTTCTTCTCGAGGGCTCTCAACGAATCCCGACAGGGACCGATCTTGATTTCCACAATATCGTCCAAACCAGCCAGCTTGACCAAGGAGGGGGACACGGAAGCAAATACCGGACTTTTTTCCAAACTGATATACTTTTTTCCTCCTGCAATCTTGAGAGAATTACCAAACAAAATCGCCGAATATCCAACGTATCCGCCCAATTCCATCAAAACATTCGGCTTATTCTCTGCAATTTCCCTTCTCACAAGCTCCCCTTTATGCTCGCCGACATTCATAAGGAAGTCTTTCTCTCGGCCATATTGGTCGATGGCGGCAAGAATCCTTTCCGGTGAGCCTTTCATTTGGTTGTAATCGGGGCGTGATTCAATGAAGCCCAGAAGGGCTGGTTCACGTCCATCATTGTGCTACTCACGTTGAACGGACCAGTTATCATCTAATATCTTCAAAAGTGATTGGACAGAGGCACTCACAAATATTTCCTCTTCCGGCTTATAGAAAGACATTTTCAACTTGAGATCCTTATTTATCGAATTTCCGGGCCTGTCGAGGTTTAGAATTGGCAGTGTAAAGTTATAGTTCCACCACCTACGTCAGGCATAATTTATAGATTGTTTGAATAGAGATGCCTTCAATAAAACGTCATCTTCATTCGCGGTCTAGCTCCCTATTCATCTTCAATTTCCGCAAGGGTCCCTACTTTCTTGCCAAGGGTATCTCCCTCTGACGTTTAGCGATCACGCGTTGTACAGATCTTGATTTCCATGGACCTGAAGAATGCCGGAATACCCATAATCTCTTCACTATGATATCATTGACCCTTGGCTTACAGCCTACACGCTATGTGACTGACCTGCAGTTGAAAAATAGTTTACCCGGTACAGTAGGAAATATAGCTCGTGTCGTGTCCGTGCATGAAGAATGCATGCAGATCCAGAGGTGCTCGGCTGTTTTCCTTTACCCAGATACCAGGTCAGTCTCTCGGACGTACATTCTTATGCATTTGGGTCTAGCTTGAATCATGAAATGCATCCATTCCACGGCCTTGCGCGACCTGACTATTTCCTAATTTAGTAACACGCATAACAAATTCTTGGAACAGAATCTCATCAATGATGAATGTGGCTTTATTATCTCTATCCTTTTAGTTGATTTTAGTTAGACTTCCTCATGATACCTTGGATGGTTTAGGTCCTCCTTACGCTGCTTGGTCCGGCATTCATTGCTAGCACAAAATCTGCATGACAGATTGTTTTAGGACATAGTGTTCATCAAGTGAATAAAATTCCGATTGATTATCTGAGCAATTTCCCTAATTAAAATCCTCCATCATTTTCAGTTCAACATTGCATATCATAGTACTCATTAAGCGAAGCAAAGTCTATTCCCGTCCCACTACAGTACATTCTTCAAAACGTCAATTAATTCATCGTCCCGAATTGCTTCATAGACGCGTGTAACGCAAGACCCAATTGTTTTCTTGTCATCCGAGCATTCAGCGCATTTTGGCAAGATGGGATGGTCAGTTACGCCCTGATGAAAAGGGATGCCAAGCTCTTCGCGGACGAATAGGTACATGGCTTTTGACGTGTCTCCGAGGAAATCGGGTGTCAGTGGCTTTTTGAAGAGCTTTTTGCGGGTATTGTCGTAGATTCTGTAGATAAGCGAAGAAAGTTTGGTCTTCCATGCTTTGGCCGAGTTCCACACGAAGGGATCAGGAGTGCCCTCGGCACTCAATTCGGCGTTCAAAATGTAACTCACGGATCGCGAAGTCACCTCTTCACATCGTGGAACGAGGTCCTGTTGGCTTGTCTCTAGCCAGGAATTTTCGATAGACATCCATGCTTCCTCGAAGTCCATCTTCAGATCTTTCGGGTTGGTGAACGCCTCGTCGAAGGCCTGCTTTGCTTCCTCCTTGGCTGTCTCGAGGAAGTCTACCGTCAAGGCACGGAGGTCTAAAGCTTGGCACAGGATATACAAATGTACTGCGCACATCATGGAGAGCAGATGAACAGCCTTCCCGGTATATCTGGCCGATATCAAGGCAAGTGAGTTGACGGACTGGTTGTTCATCTCCGCCGTCTGGACGTGGCTGGCGACCGAGTTGGCAAGATATGCCAGCTCCGAGAAGTACGCCGTCATGTGCACATCCAAGCCTTTCATGGCGAAAGACAGACTTGGGTCATCTGCGCAGAGGTTTGGAGGCAGCCCTCTGCTCAACATGGGGTTTATCAGCTCTCCGCATTGTCCAAGCAATATTCTTCCCAGCATTGTCAACGCTGTGCGGGTCTTTTCCATTGCAGACGTTACGGATGCAGCTTGGAAGTTTCCTCCGTGGTGAAAGCGCCCTTCCAATGAGTCTATCAGTGGATTGTCGGTCGACGAGTTTATTTCGACTTCCATTTGGCGGGTTGCGGACATAAGGTCTTCTAACTGGGGTCCGATCCATTGAGGTGCAGTGCGCAGAGCGTACCGATCCTGGATGAGGCCCTGTTTATTGACATCTAATTCAAGTGACAGACGCGATCCGGAAAGAAATGACCTGATGTTTCGAGCCACTTCGGCCTGGCCTAGATGCGGTCGGCACTGAGAAATGAAATCATGGTAATTATCGACGGTTCCAGCGAGCGCTTCGGTCGCCATAGCAGTAAGCACCTGAGTCAAAAGCGCGAGGTTGTGGCTGTCGTATAGAACTAAAGACGCTGCCGCGGCACTGGGAGCTGTACCATTCATGATTCCGAGACCCTCCTTGGCCTGGAGTATCATTGGAACCTGGTTTATCTGTTCGAGGGCCGCCTTTGCGGATAGAACACGATATCTGTCATTTTCTTTGACTTGCACGAATATATCGGGATTTCCTTCGATAAGCCCACCGACATAGGAAAGAGGAGAAAGGTCTCCCGAGGCTGATATACTACCCCGGAGAGGAATGACCGGGGTGATATCGCTGTTCATTGCACGAAGCAACAATTCGACAACTTCGGCCCGTACGGCAGAATGCCCTCGAAGGAGAGAATTGCAGCGTATTAGCATAGCTGCTCGAACAACAGCCACAGGTAGACAGTCACTTAAATCTCCTCGTTGAACAAGAGACTCGGAATTCAGCGCTGGGTCCGTCAAGATCCCACATTGGTGATGTTGGAGGAAGGAGTGCTGAAGCATCTCCAAGCGGCGGGTTCTCGTAGCAGCATTGCCACCGGGGCCAGTATTGACTCCTTCAACTTGTTAGGCAAATATTCTAAATCTGTTGTTGGGCATCATAAGACTAACCATACACTTGCTCTCCCTTGTCAAGACTCGTGCTTAGTGTGTTCACACTCTGCTGTACGCGTTCGTACAGCTCTTCGGACTCCTTGATCAGCGCTTTCGAACCGTCACTAAGCCCCTTAGCATTTCTTCGGTGTTTTCAACAAAAGCCTGGCAGTCCTACCGTGAGATAGCAACAACAGTTCCCAGGCTAAGCGAGTGCCCATCTAAAGCCACGTGGTTTCCTTCTCTTAGGACACCCTGCCTTTCGGCCCAGGATCCCATGACTAAGTCCAGATGGAAAGACATGACACAACATTTACCCAAAAAAAAGGTCTAAGCTGGGCGACTCTACTACTCTATACGATCATCGCACGAATGAAGAGCAGGTGGAAGCGTAGCATGATAAATACCGAAGCCCATCAACAGGGATGGTAAGGCACACCGACGTGTTTGCGACCTGACACGGCTCAGCTGACGTCGGACGGCCTTGCCCTCGCTGGCCGAGTGTATATGCGCCCCACATGGTCAAGAATTCTGGATCCCAGACGTGAAGAACAGATCTTGTTTTATCGAAGCAAGGGATTCGTCCCAGACACCAAACTTGCTTCGTAGCGACGTATCCATCTAAGGGATACTTTTCGAACAACTCTGCATGGAATGTCCTGCCGGTCGGGCTGTTTGTGTAACAGGCAGCCATTAAGTTTCTCAATGACGAATTGTTGATGGATGCAGTTCCAGTCTTGTGTATTACCTTGATCACCTACGGGTGAGTCTGGTAGAACAAGTATATAAGGCGTCTCATGTACTACATTGTACTCTTAGTCTTTTTGAATGGGTGAGGACAGAAAGCTTTTTTAAGGAAAACTATTTCGCGGCATATCTTCACATGCCCCATGTCACAATGACTATCGAAAACCAATACGATGTTATTATAATTGGGGCCGGTCCAGCGGGGTATTCATTTTATCTGTAACCCCTGTGCGGTTGAGAACTGGGACTAATAGAACGGACTTAGGCTAATGGCAGCTACCTGGCTCTCCCAAGCAGGCGTCAAGACTCTGGTTGTTGAGAGGGATCAATTTCGCACCCAGGCTGGACACGCTGACGGTCTCGAGGGTAGAACTCTTGAGATCTTGGACAGCTTTAAAATTGGCGATGCAGTCTGTTCGGAGTCCAACCCCACCATTGAAGTCTGTCTGTGGGTAAGTGTCTCAGATATGTCGTTCAACTGGAGATTAGGGTTGCTGACAGCTGCAGACCGACTCGCACGACGGGATCCACAGGGAAAGTATGGCATTAAACCATAATCCCGGGCTCTCTAGATTCCAGGAATGCACGCTTGGTCAGGGCCGAATCGAAGAGCATCTTCTTAGCTTCATCAAGAACCATGGGGATGTAAAGGTTAAATGGGGCACCGTTCCAACATCAATTCACATTAACGAAAGCCGTGTCCAAAGCAGTAACGGTAACCCGGTTGAAGTTAAATTGAAAGAATGGCGCGGTGAGATTGGTCAAGTCAGTACCGAGAGTTGATATATTTGCGACCTCTCTAACAATCTAGCAGTACAATGGGCTAGAGGCCGAGATAGAGTCCGTCTTTCAGACAAAATATGTCATCGGTTGCGATGGGGCCAAGAGTTGGGTCCGGAAGCATTTCGGCCTCTCCCTCGAAGGCGAATCTTCAGATGAGCATTGGGGGGTGCTTGATTGCATCCCCGTTACAGACTTTCGTTAGAGTTCCTAACATATTTATACCCCGGATCACGCTAACCACCATGACCCAGCTGATATTCGCAAACGATGTATCATCAAGTCGAGGGCAGGGAATCTAATGATCATTCCCCGAGAGAATCGACTAGTGCGGTTTTATATCCAGTTATCGCCAACAATGGCTGCAAAATTCAGGAGCAACTATCACCCTGCTGCTCTAGTTATAGTTGCTAAGGCCATTATGCAACCTTACATGTTTGAGGCGGCAAACCTTCAGTGGTCCACGATTTACACGGTAGGTGAAGTCTTCACGGCAAGTCAAGTGCCTACTGATACCGAACCAGGTTGGACATCGCGTTTGTCCCACATACTCGATACAAAACCGCGTATTTCTCGCAGGAGACGCAGTCCACACACATTCACCGAAGGCCGGGCAAGGCATGAATGTCAGTATGCAAGATACGTATAACCTTGGCTGGAAGCTGGCAAGCGTTGTGAAGGGAATGGCCACCCCGGAGCTACTTCACACCTACGAAAGTGAACGGCGTCCTGTGGGAGATAGATTGGTCTCCTTTGACAAACAGATGTGCCGAGGGATCTGCACCCCGTCCAAAGTAGACAAAGCTCTCACATCTCGCGGTGAGGCCAGCCCGCTGAAATTGTCGCTCAGCGAGGAAAACTCCAGCGCATCTGGTCTCGGCGTGACATACGAACCCAGCCTCTTAATCGCGGGTTCTGAGCATCGGCAGCCGGTCACCAAGACAGAATCTACCCATCCTCTGAGCAAGCCTCACCTCGCGAAGGGTATCAAAGTTGGCAGTCGATTCCCGAGTTATAAAGTCCTTTCCCAGAGTGACTCTCGCCCATGGCATCTTCAGCAAAGGCTTCGCAGCACAGGCCAGTGGAACCTAGTCGTCTTCGGGGGCAGTATTGCGGACGAAGGACAGAGGGATCGAGTGGAAGGCTTTGCGGCATCACTTTCACGGCCGGATTCGTTTTTCACCAAGATCAACCAGAACATCCACCATTCTTTAGTAGGATCGATTGCTGCCCATCTGGTTCATTCGTCCTGCCACGAGAAGGTAGAACTCATGGAGCTTCCCGAGATATTTCGGCCATTTCACCCCGAAGGCGGATATGAGTATGATCACGTATTTGCGGACGACGCTGGCTATGGGGAGGGCTGCGGTCATGCATATGAATCGTATGGCATCGCGTCGCAGGGATGCTTAGTGCTAATACGCCCTGATCAGCATGTTGCTTTTGTTGGCGATTTGGAGGATACCGCGGCGTTGGAGGCGTTCTTTGCGCGGTTTTCTGTTCCTTTGATTAAACATGCGTGTTAGATGATTCATACTGTATATTGATAGATTGAGCTATTGATAGAAAGATTTCTTACCAGGTCTATCTAGCAGGAGAAACTGGGGCTTAGTCTCTCGACGGCAGCAAGACAGGCCGTGTAGAAGAAAGGGGCAGTGAGGGAGTGGTAAGGCAGTAAGGCAGTAAGGCAGCCAAGGAACGACCAGCCACTACTAGCCACGAAAGGGGTGAGTGCTGGGCACAAAGGCATCAAGGCCACACGGCAGCAACTGGGCGGTGAAACTGAATCTGGCAGAATTGACGACCAGGTTATACCTTCCTCATACGGTTAGTGTGTCAACGAGATTTGAAATGGGAGCTGCGAGAAGCCCAGAGAACTATCTGAGTGAGTCCCTTTGATGACATTTTTCTTCACAAAGCACATGTTCTCCTCTCACATTCAATATCGGGGGTTTACCGTTTTTGTTGCTCTCTTGGTTTCTTTGTCATTGTGATAAGATAAATTAGGCCATTATTAATAAATGATAATAAATAATCAATAAATAAGTAAGAGAGGGGAGGGAGAGAGAGAGAGATTGGTAAAAAAAACTAAAAAATGACAAGAGGGGGATTCGACCGCCCCGAAACGAGACTCGAAAACACCTTTTTTGAAGGAAAGAATCAACACTGCATGAACATGTGTTCATGAAATCTCAAGATTCTCGAGTCGAGCGCCTTAGACCACTTGGCCATCTTGTCTTTGTGTTATAGTATTAACACTATGCTACGGGCAAACAATTGTGGCAATCTCATATGATCTTGATACAGAATTTTCCACCTAGAGCGGAGACTGGGAGCAGGAGGTTGAAATGTGAACAGCATACATTTTCTTCTGCGCTAGATTGATATCGGAGATCTGAGAAACATATAGTCGACGCTCGAAATAACAGCTTGTTTTCAATTATCATGCTATTTTCTGCCGTTTGCGGCTTCGTCACCTTGATCCGCCAGTTCCGGATACAACGCCGGTTGACGGCAGGGAAGATCGGAAACAAGAGCAACTCAAGTATCTCAAGAGAGATTTTGAATAAGAAAAATCGAAATGACAGCCGTAATAGCAGATCAAGATGGTTTAAGAGCAGGTGAAAAAAAAAAGGCTCCCACACAAGCAAAGGCTGGCTGTGAACGTTCATAATGCTGAGCCCGGGAGGACGACAGCTTTCATGCTGTGGGCTGCCCCTTGGGAATTCTTTCACGGGTGATCGAAGTTCCCAGAATGTACCGATCTCAAAGCGCTCATGACTTTGCCTCGACTCGTCGATTAGCTGATCATTGATTGCATTCGGAAGGTGGAGCCCGGATGCAAGGGATAGCATAGAGCAAACATGTGCTCGATCTTCTCTTAAACGCTGTCTGAGCGCTTATCTGCGTTTTTGTTGCTCTCTTGATTTCTTTGTCATTGTGATAACGAAGATGAGTGTTCGAGAGCTGGAGTCTGCCGAGACTCTGTATGAACAGACGAGCACCAGCCAAGACGTCGGAGACGATGAGAAGAAAGAGAGGACAGACGCGCCATCACCGACCGACGATCCATTCGGGAATGAAGAGCATGCGGAGGTTAAATATCGAGTGATGAAGTGGTGGTAAGTTGGCGGATATCATGATGTTGCACTAACCAGCTGACTTTGCCCAGGCAGAGTGGAATGTGTGGGTATTTTTTGCTACTATATGGAAATATTGTCTAATCCTGTCTAGTGATGACTGCACAGAATGTCTCCTTGGGAATTCTATCTCTGCCATCTGCGGTTGCAACACTAGGGATCGTTCCGTACGTCGATGCATTTCCCTCGAACGTCCGCCGGCTACTGATACAGCGAACATAGAGCCATTATCATCCTTGTGGTCATGTCTGGAGTAGCCTGGTATACTGGCATTCTGATCGGCAAAGTTAAACTACGATACCCTCAAGTCCACAGCATGAGCGACGCAGGAGGGATATTCCTGGGGCGGTTCGCGCGGGAGTTCCTCAGTGTTGGCCAGTTGATATTCTTGATTTTCCTCATGGCCAGTCACGTCCTGACGTTTTCGGTGTTGATGAATGAGCTCACGGACCATGGCGCCTGTACGATTGGATTCTCGGTGGTTGGGCTGGCTGTGAGCTTCATCGGGTCAATACCGCGGCGAATGAAAAGGGTATATTGGATATCGGTGATATGTAAGTGAGGTCTCTGGGATCGATATCAAGCGAAGCTGACTTTTTTAGCGTTCGCGAGTATTCTCACTGCGACGGTCTTTACGATGATTGCAATCGGCGTCCAGAACCCGGTATCCCATCGCCTTCAAATTGCGACCAGCCACGGATTCGCAAAACAGTTTCTCGCCGTTACGAATATTTTGTTCGCGTATAGTACGCCGGTCTAGTCCGCTTGCCTCCCCAATCTGGTGCTCTAACGAATAATCAGTCGCTCACGTTGCCTTCTTCGGATTTATCTCGGAAATGCAAAACCCTCGAGATTACCCCAAGTCCCTCGCGATGCTACAGATTCTAGACACTTCCATGTACGTCGTCACGGCGGTGGTAATATACTGCTACGCTGGCCCCGACGTTATGTCTCCCGCGCTGAGCTCGGCAGGGCCAGTCATGAAGAAAGTCGCCTGGGGACTGGCTATCCCAACGGTTGTCTTCTCAGGAGTAATCCATGGACACGTTGCCTCGAAATATGTATATGTTCGTATGCTCCGGGGATCATCGCAAATGCACAATCGGAGCTTCCGCTCTGTCGGAGCTTGGCTAGGAATTGGATTCGTGGTGTGGGTTATCGCTTGGGTTGTTGCTGAGTCTATCCCGGTATTTAATGATATGCTGGGTTTGATTGTAAGTCCCCTAGACACCCCCTCGGTATTGTTAAGCTAATCCCTTCTCTAGAGCTCGTTGTTTGGAAGTTGGTTTAGTTGTGAGTGCCTATATCAAGCTTTACATGAATTAAAACTGACCAGACAGACGGGTTGCCCGCGATATTCGGGCTGGGCATGAACAAAGGCCAGTTGTTCTCCTCACCGAGGAGAAGCTGTGTTACAATTATCCAGCTAACAGTGGTTGGCATGGCCTGTGCTATTGTATGTCCCTCCTCGTTGTTTTGCAGAGCATGTGCTAACAGGGTATAGTGCGGGCTCGGACTCTACGTCACGGGCAAATCAATCCACGAAACCTCTCAATCCTCGAGTTGGACGTGCGCCAACAATGGAAGCTAGCGACCTGTGGACTATGTACAACGGATTTGATCATATATGTCTAGCATATAGTGCATCTTCGGTGATATCAATTGGATAAGGGTACGTACTAACTTGGCATTTTGAACACATTCATCATAGGAGTACAGGGTTGCATTTCTATTTCTTCGCTGTTCCCCTCGATCTGGCCTCTATTATTCTTAAATCGCCACTTTGTATAGATAGTTTATCTGGATCAGGCTCGTCAATGTCCTGCATATTTAATTCTCATTACTCTAGTCTGTAGCAAGGCCTACCCCACTGGCCTGATAAATACTCTGATGACAAGAAAGTTTAACACGACTGGGCAAAATTAGTATGGTTCCTTCTGGGATAGAATTGTCTCTTAGATTCCTAGCCGTAGTTGCATCAATCCAACGCTAGAATATCCAAGCATCTAGTGATCTTAATTGCTTCGCGCCTCTTCTCTTTTCTTCCTTTCCAAATCCGCCAGACATGGCGCAACGAAAATATCGCCTCGTACAATGCCTCTAAAAGTGTGGAAGCTGACAAAAAGCCATAGGAGCACGACCGTGACGGAGAATATCTTCCAAGATTAGCTGTTTTCAAGACCACAGACGCGGGGAGGAGATAGTAAACTTACAGTTCCAAGTACCGCGAAGAATGTCGACGGCAGCTCTCTTCCCAGTTGACAGGTACACATCGCATAAACGCCAATGGGAAAGGTCAATCCCCACCAGCTCAAGTTGAAGGGGAACTTCCGGGCCCGGATGAGAGAAGCAACAGCGAAAAAGAACCAGATTAGTCCGAATGCCCACATTATCAGACCGATGATGAAGCCACCTTCGTAGAAGATGAGGCCCGTAGAACCATGGAGTGATTGCGTCTCGGGAAATATCTTTAGGATATATTCGCCTAGTTTTTGAATTCTGGATACATTGTATTAGCCATGGGAAAGAATTTCGGCAGTGTCGATGAATGCGTACCCAAAGCCGCCCTGGCCGAGAGGACCCAGGGGCAAGAATACGCTGACTAGAACCGTCTTAGGCGGAAGCTTATGAAGAAGAAGACGTTGCAGGTAGATGGTCATGATCATCATCGCGAGTGGAACACCCATTCCCCAGAGCGCGTAGCTGACCATCACGGTCCAAAGGGCGTGTTGCGCATTGGGGAGCACGCCTGCCACAACTGCCCCGGAGGATGAAGCAACAATGCACGACACAATAGGTAGAAGCCAAGCAGCGTTCATTGAAGATAAGCTAATTTCGCTCTTGCGCGTCATCCTATTTCTCTGAATTAGACCGAAATAACCCAAGAGATACGTAGGGTAGGGATTCTTACACTATGAGTGGGACGACGGTTGCTGTCGACACGGAAAGCACCGCGTCCACGATCCACAAAGCCCAGGCAAAGTACGCTGCCCCGTCGCCCCATGCTGGGACACATACGTTGCAGAACACGTTGATAATCGTCGCTAGTCCCATCGGAAAAGTGCCTAGAAACATCGACTGCGCCGGGTGAGTGATCATCGCCTTGAATATCTCCGGATACAGAGTGTATCGCAGAGCCGCGACAACACAGAACGTGACGAAGTAAACGACATTGAGAACAAATACGATGATGGAAATGTAGTACAGCCAGAGACCATTGTACGGCAAAGTGTTGAGGAGAAGAGAGACGATTCCTGTTCCCATATTCACCGAGAACCACCTACGAAATTTATTAGCATGAATATGAGCAATAGACTTACGAGTCACCTACGCTGGGGTAAAATTGCGCACAACGCGGCGCCAGCCAACATCATGTTTGGACCTATTGGCCTCGAGGTCACTGCATCGTGGCGCTGGCTGGGCGTTTTCTTGTCCGGCAGGGAGTGCGCCCGCGTGGGTGAGCTGAGAATGGGACCCGGACTCCATGTATTGTGCGAGGGAAGACTTTGTTATTCTAGTTGTCGGTTTACTGGCAGAAGTCTGTAAACTTGTAGTATACAGGCGCAAACCTCAAGTGTCAAGTCAAAGTTCAACTCGCCCATCGGAGTTATTGACGTAGATATTGCCAAATCATCGTAAAATCTCTGCATCGGGCACCTCGGCGAACGTCCCACAGCGTAAAGGTTCGCCAAGGCCATTTCTGATAAATGCGAGACATGGCTGCCGAATGACGTCTCTATTGAGGGGATACCTGGTCATGGAGATTCCATTCACATTCCCGATATGTCGAACGCCGATCCAAAATTCAATCGCCGAATGCGACGGCTGACACGTGATGCAAGTGAATCGGACGATGGTGCCTGAGGTATTCACCAATGTGGTCCAATTAAAAAATGAATTGTTCAGTTCGTTCAACCCACTGTGGTTTGCAGACATTAACAAGCCGATTCTCTATGGAGAAGGCTTCGCAACAGTCGATCTAACATGTTCGTTCCATTCACTCTTCTGATTGGGCTGCAGCAACTCGGCAATAGGTCGGTCAGGACCCCCTTGCGTCGTCCCTTACAGCTAGCCAGAGGCTTGTGACCAGGGATTTCCGCGGACTCACAGAGAAGAGAAGCTTTTAAATTGAATTCGAGAAATCTCAATTCTGGAGCGCCTATTTATCGTCATTTTAGTGTGTTCTTGAATACAGAGGGGGGAAAGAAAGAAAGAAAAAAACCCACAGGGGACTGGGATGCTAAGTTGCTAACAGCTGCTTTTCAGTGAAAATTCATTCTCCCCTGTTATATGTGGCTTGTTGTCCTCGATGCACGGAGTGTTGTGTTTCTGTAAACAGAACAAACATTCCCACAATGCCACATGCAATAAAACTGGTCACTCTCGTTCGAAGGAATATCTCAAACTTGGTGCAGCAGAAAAGTATTTCCTGACAAACCATCCATTGATTGATTAAACAAATATGCTGCAGCCACACCCGTGGGCCCATTATTGGCCAGACGAAGAATTAATACCAACTCGGCGGATGTGTGTGTCAAGTCGAGTGTTACAGCTTATAGAATCATGAGAACAACAGAAAGTTGGCTTTGTATCTAGTTAATTAGCTGTTTTTTCCTTCTGCACGAATTCCATACTTTCCCAATCGTAATCACATCCCCACCACATCATAGTGCCAGTGATCATGTAACTCCACTCCTTGTCAACAGCGGCATCATCACCGAGCAGCTCCCGACGATAGATATCAAAGAAATATAGAATAGCGAAACACAACTTAAGATATGCTTTGAGTTTGGACCTTGTGTCATCTGTGGAATGAGGATTTAATGGATCTGTCCTGGAGTCATCATCTCCTCCAACGTCTCCATCAATCGGAACTCCCATTGATTTCCAGAATGCACGGTGCGGGATGTTTTGCGCCGGGTAGTCATAATTGGACACGGCATCGTTGAGATACCTTTGGAAGGTCTTGCTTGCGAAAAGAGGGCTTTCCCTGGTACTCGGTCGTTTCTTCTCGAACACCGCTGCGAAGATGTTTAGGGAGATATACATCTCTAGGGCTCTATACGCCACGTGATCGACCCCGAATGAATGGCCCCAATGAAGACTCCATAAGTCCCCCAGCGGAACTCGAGGATGCCGTATTAGTCGGAGAAGTGCTTCTTGAGCTTCTCGCGATGCGACCGGCTCGCCTTCGGCGACAGTGATGATCAACATCTTCACGGCATCGGCCAAGTCCGCGTCGCCGGTTCCATAGCCGAAATGGTTTGGATCGTTCGGGTCAGCGGCATAATGAATCCAATACTCGATCCTTCGGTGTTGGTCTGAGAGAGGATTGTTAAGGGCAGAGTTCGTCTCGTGTGGGCCTAGGCCATATTTGCTCTCCGGATAGGACAGGAGGGTCTCCGAAAAGAGAGGAACCGAGTCAGGTATTCCCGCTACATCCGGGGCTTTTCTTTCTTGGGTAAGGGCAAATTCGCGGATCGTCGCGATAAGAACGCGACGAAAGTGGTTCAAGTCATTGGATTGGGAGGGAAGGTCTCGGGCAAAGAGATCCGTGGTATGCGGTGTGATATGGGGGTTGGATTCAATGTATTTGAAGTGACAGGCGGCTGTGTTCCAGGGAATTTTATGGTCCAGATGCATTTTGATTTTTAAGGGGGAATACAAAAGAGGTTTGTTTTGAAATTTGCATGGCAAGTTGGAACGAAGGTGGAGTCATTTTGCGAAGCCACGCAAATTAGTCATCTGACACTAAAAATGGGTCCTTGGGAAGTCTGGATGGCTTCTGGAAGATGCTCATTGCCCATCACATTGTGAACCAAAGTGTGAGGCTACGCATGAATGCAAGCTCACTCAATTACTTCCCATCGACACAGTCACGGTTACACAAAAGTGCTGTAGGTGACTTAATACGACCGACTCCGTCCTCCGATTCCCGGTACCATTACGTCTCCGTGGACATCATAAATCCAATTCTCGGTAACCGTTGAGACTGTGGATCACTCGGTGGGGATGTTCCCAAATTGAAGACTTTCATGATTCAAATGTGGCGAGAACCAGCCGGTTCATTATTCACGTAACGGCAGATATGGCAGGTTTTTATGCCAAGGCGCCCCCCTGGCTCTTTGGATCTCTATTGGATCATGAAAGTTTCGTATTGCCTAGTAATTTGTATGCAGAATCGAGGCTCAATGAAGGTCTGATCCTCTTGATTTAGAGGATCGAAACGAAGCTATTTAACATGCAATATGACTACGTGGCTTCTTTGAAATCGGCTTATCGTGAAGCCATGAAATGCCGTCAGAGTTGATCTAGGCGGCAAGCGGTAAGGTGTTGAATCCTGATGGTAAAATTGCCCCATATTCGCTGACAATCTCTTTGTTCCAGATGACACACGCGTCAAACTGGTTTTCACTCTACATTCAACGTTGAAATGGCTTCCTCAAGCAAGGCGTGGATTCTGACGGGCCAGGAGGGACCGCAAAGTCTCAAATTTGTTGAGAACCAGGAGTTGCCACCTCTCGGGGATCATGACGTGCGCGTCAAGATTCAAGCGGCATCTTTAAACTACCGCGATATCGCTATTGCGAAGGTGCTTGGTGATCTTCCTACTACCTCGACAGATACTAATCTATGATCCAGGGCACATATGGTCTAACCATCGAACCAAATGTCGTACCCGGCTCCGACGGCGCCGGAGTGGTTGAAGCCGTCGGCTCGTCCGTGAATAAATTCCAACCAGGCGATCATGTTTGCACGCACATGACATCCGGCATGACCGAGAACGCCCCTGCGACGTTTGCCGACATTGGCGGTGGACTTGGACAGCGAATTGATGGGACCCTTCGCACACATGGCGTGTTTCACGATACATCTTTGGTCAAGATGCCGAGGAATCTCAGCTTTGATGAGGCGGCAACGCTTACATGCTCTGCTTTGACTGCGTGGAACGGATTGTTTGGAATTGAAGGCAGGGAGCCAAAGAAAGGCCATGTGGTTTTGGTCCAGGGTACGGGAGGTGTCTCTATCGCGGCGTTACAGGTAGGCTACGGTTCCCATTTCATAGGCCCTTCAAGTCCAAGAGTCTAACAACCCGGAACAGTTTGCTCTCGCAGCAGGCGCAACCGTTACAGCAACCACAAGCTCAGATGAGAAGGCTGCTAGACTGCGGTCGTTAGGAGCGCAGCACGTCATCAATTATAAAATAACCCCTAACTGGGGCGAAGAAGCTAAGAGAGTCACGCCAGATGGAAAAGGTGTACACACAGTTATTGACGTAGGAGGTTTATCCACACTGCGTCAGTCTCTACATGCTGTTCGCCCGGAAGGTATGATTGCTTTGACAGGCCTGCTCGGCCAAGCCCCGGATGGTGATATCCCGAATATCATGGATGGTCTTTTACATCTGTGCACGACCCGAGGGCTCCTCTTGGGGACAAGAGCCCAATTTGAGGCTATGAACCAGTTCCTTGAGGAGAAGAATGTTAAGCCAGTGTTGGATGACAAGGTGTTTCCTTTGCAGGAGACGAAAGAAGCTTTTGAGTACATGTCTCAGCAACATCATTTTTCGAAAATTGTCATTCACATTTCATGAGGAAACAAATTTCCGTATTGAATGAGAATTGGTTATTATATGGACCAGTTGAGACTTTCTGCCTTCTTTTGCCCTTTTTTCTCTTGCGATATTACAATCTATCTTGCGCGGTGAATACTAACTACGATATGGAATGAATTACGGTCATCTCTGGTTGAAATTCATATTTCGCATCTGGGTTAAAATCAATGGTCAAGGCACCATCTGAGAAAATAGGTTTAATTTTGGCTTTCCCTCATGTAGCAAATTGACCTTCGACTTCTAACGCCATTTAAATGTCTGCGGCCAAGTATCCGCTCTATAACGGTTGTTGATTGGGCTCGAATTTTTTTGTTCTCAATATTCTCAATCCTTAGGCGCAACAAAAGAGAAACCCTATTTGGAATGAATGCATCTTCCACTTGAAGGTCCACACCAATCGCTTGCGCTTCGCAGACATGCTCCTCGTCGTAGAGATCCCGTTCCGAAAGATATTCCGAGATGCGGGTATACCAGTAACCCTCCAGGAACTCCATGATAGGCAGACTGAGCTGTAGGTGTTTTTGCTCGAACTCGGAGACCATATTTTTGAAATCGGCCAGGAAAAACTCTTGCTCCTCGATGATGTGGTGGAGCTCTTCCTCTTCTCTTCCCATTGTGCGTGCGGAGAGAGCAGTTACATCGCTTGCATAGATAGAAGTTGAAGTATCAAGTTCAATACAGCAAGAATGTACAAGGCCTAGTGTGTTGAATGTCAAGGGCAGAATGATGGTTTTGCTCGCTTCAATTGTTTCCATTTCCCATGTGGTGAGGAATTTAAAGAACTTTCGAAGCCAGTCGGCTGAATCTTGCCACAGGGCCAAGTGGAACATAACGTGTCGTAGAGCCACAGATAATGTAGAGCATCCTGCGGGAGAGCAAGGGCAGAAGTAGTGATCCCTGATTGTTTTAATAAGAAAAACACTAGCGCCATGCTTGAGCACGCTTGTTTCCCACTCGAGGTACTGTTTCATCCTTCGGTTTTCCTGGTCCGCGGTAATTACAGAATCCGTTGACCTTGATATTTGCCAGACGGCCGCAGAGAGTATATCCAAGATTAGATAATGGTCGATCGTAGATCGTGACCCTAGCAAATTTCGGTTTACATCAGCTTCCTTAGAGATTAACCATGCTGAGCGCCTGATCCCCATTGAGTTACCTGGGTCCATAATTGTGTTCATCAGAGGTGTCCTCCCCGCCACATCTGTTACATCAATGTCGCGAAATCCAGCATCATAGAGTATCTGGAAAGACATTACGTGGTGCAATTGATTGTAGACCGACGACCTCCGAGGATCGATAAGAAGTAGGAGAGACAGAGGGGCTTCCATGTCTCGGTCAACCAATTTGACAGAAACTGCGACGGACGCTGCATCAAGGACTGTATCCTGATCCAGAACTGGGAGTTGATCTCGTGGGATAGAGGATTGTGCCAATCGCCATAGCTGCTTCCTTCTCGATGCAAGCTCGTCAACCACCATAGACAATTGAGTGGCAGCATTTGACATCTAGAGCCGCGAAAGACATTCGGAATTAAAGAGGCACCCTGCCTTGAGTAACATAGCAGTGGACTCAATATAATCCTTGTCATATACTATGCCAAGATTATATTTCTCGATTGGGTTTGCCCCTGCCTCCAGGAGAATTTCGAGGCCTCGTGGCCACCCAAAGGCAAGCTGGAGTAGGGAGCAGTCACCCATTTATCGTTGGGTGAAGCAAGACCAGACTTGAGCGCCATTCGTAGTTCCTCTTCAGCTTCTTTAATTATGATCTGAGCAATTTTAGGAATTTGAAACACTATTTAGAGAGTAAGCTTCGTCGAACTCAAGACGAGTTTGATTTCTTACTATCATCATCTTGGGAGATAATGGGCCGTAGATTCATCTTGAAACGCTCATTGAATGGTGGGTGGGCGAAAAATGCTGAAAGGGGCACCAAATTCAACAACTCTAGATATCCACTCCATATCTTGGCCTCTAAGGGTAACCTGCTGACAAAGGCTTTCTAATCCTTGATCATGCATCTTGACTGTCGTGGGCCTACATCCGCAGTTTAACATAAATCTTATAATTAGAGAAAGCGACTCGACGTTGGTCAAAGTATTGGTTAGGCACAAAGGGTAGCATAGAATCTACTCTCGTTAGTCTCTCATTTAAATTGAAGCAGATGGAAGAGAACCTGTTACATCAAAGAGCGATACAACAGATCCACTCCCACTGTGGAATAGGTCAGAAGGGAGTACTTCTCCTGCCGAAAAGAGTTGTCGCAATTCTAGCGTGAGATCATAACTTTCCCGGAAATATATGATCTTAGATTTCAACAAGTCAATCTTGCGAAGCAGTAGAGGGTTGTTGCCTCGAACTGTTTGTATATGCAGGTAGGGTGCGATAGAGAACCCACCAGCCCCTGTGGTTAGGAAACAGGATGCACTGATAGCAATATTCAATTAGCGACAATAGAAAGTAGCTTTCTTGTTGTGTTGAGATTTGGGACTCTTTATTCCAGAGCTAGGCGTCAATCTTTGATGACCATCTCTAAATGACAATCAAATTTGATCTCGATAGTTTGTGAAAAATCCACATACCGTTCTTCATGCACGCTCATATAAAGTGTCGGAGATTCCATCATTTCTGACGTGATCAGTCGCTCATTCCAGAGCTGTAATAAACTCGGTGGTGGCATTCTCTTTGCCAAGGATGCATTCAGAACGGAACCCTGAATAGTGAGATGTTAGAAAAGAAACCCACAGAACGAGAAAATATTGCGAACCATGTCACGCATTTCTGCAAGTATTGCCTTCTGAACTTTCAAAGATTCCCTAGTATCCTGCCGAGAGTATCTGTCTCCTCGTAAGTTAGGAGTAAAGCCTGTCGTTAGACACAGGCTACATACACCAACAACGTCGTTTGAAGGACATTCTGAAGACCATCCAAGCCTTGTTCCATTTCACGTAAAGTGTCTTTTCGTACGCAGCCCTTTCCATTTGGCTTTTCATTTTTCCCGAGAGCCCTCTGGAGGAGGCCGTCTGACTGGTACCTCTTGACAGTTTGCTTCAGTCGCTGCATGGACCTATTGATATTTATTATCTTGTCCTCGAGATCTGCAGCAATCCCTTGTCCCATGCCCTGGCTTTCTTCTATCCCGTCTCTGAGCACCTTTAAGGGCGCGCGAAGACTCTCTGCTTTCCTGGCAAGAATTTGTACATCCTCGTCGCAGTCTCGCCATGCTCGACTGTAGGATACAATTTCCTTGCACACCTAGAGACCAAAAGAAATGAGCCCGACGACGCCCCCATTATTGATAGAGGATCGGACGTTTTATATATCCCCAAACAAGAGGGAGTCGTATAACATCCGGGGAGATGCACCTTAGGCGGCTGACACGTTTCTACCTCAAGTGAGGGGAATAATCTTGCCCTTGTCGTGGCAGTGTTAGTGCAGTCTTGCTCACAAGGAGGTGTGGGTAGGTATAGTCCGGCGGCTATCAGAGGTACACACCTTCCAACAGAAGTCGCGGCGGGAGTTGACATGTTTAGGCATAGTTTGGACTCGAACAGAGACCATCGTTGTTCTGTTTATTGACAACAAATATCTTCGAGAATCCGCATCTAGCATCAGTAGTTGTTCCAAGGCTCAACGAGTAGGAACGACGGGCGTATTTCGGGTGATTGAAATAAGCTTAAATCAATCACATCTCTAATGATCAAGCTTCGTGAATAATATGCATTAGGCATATTCTAACAAACACTAGGGTCCGAATACGGTCGCGGGATATGGAAACGCCTTGGAATAGTCAAAAATCAATGAGAGGCTCTCTCTTGAATTGAGGGTTTCATTTTCCCAAAGTGTATTTTTCGCCCTTCTCCTACTATGAACTAAGGGATACAAATCTCTGGGAATTAAGAGGATCATCCCTAAAGTTCCATTTTAGTACTCCGTAGAAGTAGAAGTAGAAACAAAGTCCAAAGAAGAGGCTAAGCTGGGCCGTGGTTGGAGGAGACAGGAGACAACTCTTCTTTCCTTCCATCGCTCCGGGGCGAACGTAACCGACTCTCTCTCCCTCCCTCTCGCTCATGCAGTTCTCAATCTATAGTCCCTATCTCTTTGTATAATATCCACAAGCCACGCTATCCTCCAATCCCCCACGGAACCATGGCGCATCGACGCAAGGTTCATAATGAACTGACCCCAACCGTCTAACCACCAATTGTCAAACAGCAAATGCAGCGCTGTGCCATAATAGGCTAGAATAATCAATGCGGTCGGCTCCACCCGCAGTAAAAGGTCCAGGTACTGCGCATCCAGAAGCACCGGCCATGCGAGGATGGCGTTGGCGTCTTCCAACGTCATGTAAACGTTCAACATTTCAAGTTGGCGCATTGCCGCCTGTAAGAGGACGGCGCTGATGTCGACGTTCTCGTGCATACAGGGTTCTCGCGGTTGTAGTTGATCCTCGATAAAAGTCTGTAGATGCGAGCACAGCTCTCGGTCGTATATCGTCCCCGCGGCTCGTTTGCGTAATTTGCCGATTTTCAAGAGTTGGCGCATGCCGCCCTGTTCGATCCATGCTCGCGCCTGTTGCACGACCGATGCGACACCGCGAACCATCTTGAAGACTTCGACCACGTCGATCAGTCCTTGGGCTCTAGGGAGCCCATCACGACCTTGGACGCCGAAGGCAAATACCGCGGTGAGACAGGAAAATGCGAACAGGGCGTGGCAGTTCTGGGGCGTCACGTTGCTGAGCAGCGGGGTGCAGAGGGTGAGAGAGAGGTTGTTGTGGCGGATGGCGGCCTCTTTGTAGGATTGGCGTCGCTCGGTGGGGCTGGTAAAACTGAGATGAAGCGCCGAGACTGCGAGGATGCTGTGCATGAGGAAAGGATAGGCGAGCGCCTCTTGGGGCACGGTGATGCGCACGACATCTTCGAGATGTGCCTCGTGAGCGAGTGATCGTGCCGTGGCTACGTGCCACTGGTGTAGGAGTTCCAGCTCCGAGAGAGGCAGACCGGAATCGGCATGGGAGAGCGCATAAGGGCTACCGGTTGGTTTGGGGGCCGGTTGAGGTCGCGGTGCGAGGCTTTGGAATGTGCAGGAAAGGTGTTTGCGAACACAGGGGCTGCAATACGGTCGTGCTTCATCACATTTGATTCTTCGTTGTTTGCATTGGAGACAGCCGTGGTGCGACTTTTTATGAGAACGGCGTAATGGCATCCTCGCTTATAATTTTCTATTACAGTAGGAATTAAGGGGGGGAAAGAGGCGAAACCATGTGGGTGACGATAGTCTATCGCATCACTTTCCGAGATGCCCGTGAACTTTGCCGCGTCGGGAATAATTTACGCCCTCATTATGGGTCGCCATCTCTCCGAAAGCCAATGAGACTGGAATGCTGTCGATTATAAATAATGCTCTGCCAAGCTCAAGAACGGCGTCTGTCATGATTGGTTGCGCGAGACCCGCAAAAGAAATACGACAAGATTCGCTGGGGTCAATAGATCAAAGATGAACAACTAGATCTTAGGGACAGGGGGGTAACTCTTTTCTAATTTTTCATATCTGGGTCTGAGCAAGAAAGACATTGGCACCGCTTTTTCTCGAAGAAGTAAAGTTTTCGAGGCTATTCTCCATGTTCGCCAACCCACTTACTTGGGCAGACTGTTCTGCTTGATTTAAAGTCTCCCCTCTCGCATGCATTCTCCAGGTTGACAGTTCTGACCCATCTGCCTGACAAAATGCCACATCTCGAAGCGCGAGAGGGGTTTAAGTTCTTTCAGTATACCCCGTCTCTGGGCGCGGCGGTGGTCTTCATCATCTGCTTTCTGATTACGACCACCTTCCACACGTACCAAATGTTCCGCACGCGAACATGGTTCTTTATCGCCTTTGTCCTCGGAGGATACTGTATGTCTCTGTCGCTCCCTATACCATTGGACTAGTGTCTAACTGCAGCAGTTGAATGGATCGGCTACTGCGCACGAGCTGTTTCAGCCAATCAGTCTCCCGACTGGACCCTCGGTCCCTTCATTGTGCAATCAGTTCTTCCCCTCGTGGCACCGGCCCTTTTCGCCGCCAGTATCTATATGGAACTGGGTCGTCTCATTGTGGTTCTTCACGCCGAGAAACATAGTCTCATCAGGATCAAATGGATGACCAAGATCTTCGTGACGGGCGATGTTTTGTCCTTTTTGCTCCAGGCAGCCGGTAATCTCTCCTTCTTTTCTTATACGTCCGTAATACAGTTTTCTGACTTCATACAGGGGCCGGTCTAATGGGCATGAAGTCTAAAATGGCCCAAAACGGCCCCAACATCATTATTGGCGGTCTCGTCATCCAGGTCCTCTTCTTTGGCTTCTTCATGATTTCCTCTGCCGTCTTCCACGTGCGCATGCATCGTGATCCGACTCCCTACTCGCTTTCGATTCCCCTCCGCTGGACAGAAATTATCTACGTGCTCTACGCGGCGAGTCTCTTAATTCTGGTGCGATCCATTTTTAGGTTGATTGAGTATGCCCAGGGCAATGATGGGTATTTGATCTCTCACGAAGTGTTTTTGTATATTTTCGATGCATTGTTGATGTTTGCAACCATGTTGGTATTTCATGTGGTGCATCCCAGTGAGCTGAATGTTTGGTTGCAGGGGAAGGGTGTGTATACCAGAGGCATCAAGGTTCAGAAGTTTGCGGGAAGTGGGGAGACCTTTTCTTAGACTTCACTTTTTAAAATTGTTTTCACATTCTAGCGTCCAAATTCTGTAATTAAATCTATGTTAATACCTCCCTTATCTCTATTTTTTGATCTCAAACGAATAGTTCAACTTCTAGATCTACAACATATACCGGAATCCCGGTTCCATCGTGCCGCGCATCTTCTCCTCTCCCTCTAATGGCATACCAGCCTCCAATCGCTGGTTCATTCGCTTATACTGAACTCTCATGATGAAGCAAATAACCACAAAAACAGCTTGGCACGCGAACACGGTAGTCAACGCCGGTCGGTAAATCGGTGCGTCCTGCGCTCGGTACGCCCCCGAGGACACAATTCCTCCGAGATTCTGGAACATGGCAAGCAGACCTAAAGATATGGCGCGGGTGGATGTCGACGGCGTGTTTGTGCCTACCCATGCAGGCACGAGCAGGCCGGGCGTGAAGGTTCCGAATGTGATGAGGTATGTCAGAAAGTAGCCAACTTTGACGTGCGTGACGAGGTCCAGGGAGCCGAGGAGAATCCAGCCGATCATGGAGACGATTATGGGGCCAATGGAGAACCAGGCCCGCTGCTGCGTCAGGTCCGAAAGGTAGCACGTTGTTAGCTGGATGGCGGCTGCGGTCAAATTGGGGCCTATTGTGTAGAGATTTGCTTGGACGGCGTCGTCGGTGAGACGTTTGATCATGACCTAGTCATGTTTAGTTTAGTCGTGAGTTGACAGTGACGGGAACGTACAGGGAGAAAGTTAGAGCTGCTGGCAACGCCAACCCCGTACAGCAGTGCACAGAATGCAAAGACCCAAATCTTCCAGTCCTTCAGGGCTTGCAGACCCTCGATCCAGGAGAAATCTTCTGTCTCGAGCGCCATCCGCTGCCCGGCGCATTTCTTTTGTTCGTCGGTGAAGAATCGCGAGGATTGCACACTGCGAGGAAGCCAGAGCAAGGCCCATACACCGACTGCGACGCCCATTGCTCCTTCGATCAGGAAGAGGTATTGCCATCCCTGATTTGCTTAATATTACTGCCATTTCTCAAGGGGGGGCGGGGCGGGGGGCACTTACTGTGAGTTTTCCATTCCATTGGAACACGCTCCAAGAGATCAAACCGCTAATAGCGCCCTGCAGAGGTGAGCAACTACCCATTGATCAAACGAAGTTAACTCACGGCAATAAACCCCATCATTAAGAATAGCGACAGTCGCAGTCCGAGCTCCTTTCTCGTGTAGAACAGCGTACAGTAGAATGTCGCACAAGGCATGAAGCCCGCTTCCATCATGCCCAGGATGACTCGACAGGCCAGGAGTCCGCCAAAATTCTTGACTGCCGCCGTAATCATGGCCAAACTTCCCCACCCAATGACTAGGATTGGAATGACGACGGCTGCATTGAGTCGTTTGGAGAGCACGGTCGCAGGTATGTTGAATAGCGCATACGGGATGTAGAATAATATCAGAACGAGCGAGAACTGGTTGCCGTGCAGATCGAGGTCGGCTTCGAGCGTGCCACTCTTTGCATTTCCGATGTTTGCTCGGTCGAGAGTATGCGTTAAGTAGAGGAGAGCTGTGTTGTATATTAGGATGAAATGAATGCTTCTTTGAATCATGAAGAGTCGTTACCAAGTGTAGGAAGTAGGACAATGTCCAGCCGTCGCAAGAGAGATTTCTCGACTTTGCGATCAATTTCCTCCGGCTGGGAATTTAATTCCACATCGTTTGCTTTTGTCTCGGTCGGCAAGACGCCCATTTTGAGCTTGCAGTGCCTGTTGGAGAGAATGTAGTGGGAGGTCGCAAGCTCTGGAAGCTTTTGCCGGCCCCGATACGGATATATAAGTTACGCTGCGAACCTGGGCGAGTCAAGAATTCGCCACGCGCTCCAATTAAAACGTGTTTCTCATAGAAATCTACCAATGCAAAAAAAAACAGAATTCGATTATTCATTATCTTCTTCGCCAAAACAACGACTGCAGTTTTTTTGACCGGATTTCGGTCCGCATCCGACGCTATCGCAAGCTCGTCATTTTCGGTTTGCTGACAACATGAGGAGCAGGGATGCTCGGTCGCAAATCCAATCAAATGAATGGACTACATCGGGTACTTTGATCCAGCATGCCAAGATGGTATGTCGGTATCTCTCATTCATATAACGGGGCTGGGAAGGTGGGATGGTAGGTGGCATCTCCAACAGCACTGCGGGGACTGCGAACAAGTCTGCCTCCGTGATATGACATTTCGTGCTTGGGATATAAAGAATATACTGATACCAGTCTCCTAATCTTCAACTTCAACTCAGAGCACGAAATGTCGACCACCTCAGCTCACGCAGGGCCTGCGACTAGCAGCAACAGCGATAACCTGCACCCCAATCAAGTCACTCTTCATCCGAATCGTCGCAATGCGCAATCGCCAACTCGGAGGCTCTGGCAATGGTCTTCCATATTAGCGACGGCCTCAATTGCAGCGTTGGCCGCCCCAGTATACAAACTTGCGACCGGGCTGCTCTACGCGCCTGACATTCCAGACCCGACGGATTATCTAGGTCGCGCACGACACATACTGAAAACCACACCGTTAATTGATGGTCACAATGACCTCCCGTACTTGATTCAGGTCGAGTTGCAAAATAAGATCTATTCGAATTTCAATCTGAGCAATCGGATGCTGGGTCATACTGATTTGACTCGTATGCGCGAGGGGCAGATGGGCGGGCAGTTCTGGAGCATCTACATTGACTGCGAACAGATCAGTTATGCGGATGATCCGACCGTAAAGTGGTTCAACACCGATCGAACTGCATACGATACTGACTGGATTAATGACAGGCTTCGGTGCGCGACTCACTGGAACAGATTGACGTGGCAAAACGCTTGATCCAGAACTACACATCCGACCTGACCTACTGCGAAGACTCCCAATGCGCGCGACAGGCGTTTCGCAGTGGAAAAATCGCCAGCATGTTAGGGCTTGAGGTACACATGACCAACTCCCTTGCCTCCTCCAATTCCCTTCGCTGACAATCGTCTCTGTCTGCCACAGGGTGCCCACCAAGTCGGCAACTCGATCGCTGCAATTCGTCAATTCTACGACCTCGGAGTGCGCTATATCACCACCACCCATAACTGCGACAATGCTTTCTCGACCTCCGCGTCGACAGTCGCGGCGGGCGGCGAAGACGGCGGCCTGACTCCCTTCGGACACGAATATGTGAAGGAAATGAATCGTCTAGGCATGATCATCGACCTCTCGCACGTCTCGCACCAGACAATGCGCGACGTTATCTCCGTCACCCGAGCACCTGTCATTTTCTCGCATTCGGGCGCGTATGCCCTTCAGCGACATCTGCGCCATGTTCCGGACGATGTGCTGCGTGGAGTAAAACGAAATGGCGGAATCGTGATGGCTACATTTATCAATCGGTTCTTGAACATGGAGGATCCGGATAGTGCGAGCATTCGCGACGTTGTGGACCATATCTTTCATATCGCCGAGCTCGCTGGATGGGAGCATGTCGGTGTTGGAGGCGATTATAGCGGAACTCCGGAGGTTCCGATCGGGCTGGAGGTAAATATTGTTTGTTCAATTTGTAATTCACTTATCTCTAATCAGTTGACAGGACGTTTCCAAATACCCTGACCTCGTCGCAGCTCTTCTAGAACGAGGCGCAACCGATGAACAGGCGCGGCTTTTCGCCGGCGAAAATATCTTGCGCGTATGGAACGAAATCGAGCAGACTGGAGCGTGGATCCGAGGCGAAGGGACGAAGGAATCACTTCCAAGCGAGGCTATCTGGGAAGGAAGACGGTGGACTAAAGGACACAGCTGGCTGCCATTCATGTTCTCCGGCACGAGGTCTAGACTGCACGGTGGGAAGAAGGGCCCTAAACCGGGTGCCAATGATTGGAGTATCAGGGCTTGACAGAAACAAACTGTAGTGGGTCATAAAACATTTGCTGCTCAATTGAAATAATTAAGAGAATGTTACCTGTAAAGAAAAGCGTGTTGATGGAGCTAGTGGATGGTGTCATTGTGGATGTTGATTTCGCGTGAGGGGAAGAAGCGTAGTTTGTACTCCGTACAAAACACACGATTAGACAATGGAGTCATGTCCACTCTCCAGAAGTCAACTCCCATAATTCGTTGTGACTAAAACTACACAAAGTGCGACCATCCCTGCATTCCTCCGACCACCCCGCATCGACTCGTCTCTGTGACTCGGATTCCGGTCCGCCATCCGCAGCATTTCCAAATATTGGCGTCGAAGGGTTCATCCACTCACGATACACTCATTCCTTAGACACACTCACCATGGCGTGATTGGATTATAAACAGTTGCTATCTCGCTACTTCAATGTCTACTAGCTAGCAGATCGTGATACGAAATGCGGTTTCCTCAGCAGCTTCGCTTAAATACATACCACAAGGCTTAACCCGCCTGTTCAGGCCGTGACAATCCGATCAAGATCTCATTCACTCGAGATGTCGCTTAGCGGTTTCATTATCCTCTCCATAGAAGGGGGCGTGCTCCTCCTGGTCGGATATCTATTAGTCAACGAATTCATCCGCTGGAACCGACGCATCAAAGGCCTGCCAGGACCCCAAGGACTGCCGGTCATCGGCAATCTAGGCCAGGTACGACCTATTCAAAAACCTTAGTTCATATGGCTAACAGAAATAGATAACTCGATCGTTTTCGGCGGAACAATATCGTCAATGGTCGGCGGAGTACGGACCTGTTTATCAAGTTCAACTAGGTAATATTCCCGTGGTGATTGTGAACACAGCCGAATCGGCGAAGTCGCTCTTCCTGAACCAGAGCTCAGCTCTGATTTCGCGCCCCCTGTTTCATGTCCTTCATAAGACAGTGAGTAAGAGCGTCGCGAGTATCGGGACTAGTCCATGGGATGAGAGCTGTAAATTCCGGCGCAAGTTGGCGGCTGGTGCTTTGAATCGTCCGAAGGTTCAGTCGTATGAGCCGGTGAGTTTGCTTCCTCCTTGGACTGCGCGAGTGACTAACGATGGGGTAGATCATTTTATTGGAAACGAAGGAGTTTATCCAAGAGCTCTTGAACGCGTCGAGCGAGAATGCCGAGGTTGAATTTCACCCGACCATACATCGTCTGTCGCTGAATTTGGTGTTGACATTGAATTATGGCACACGGTATTTATTATCTTAACAGATACTTCTGTGAGTATGCATGAACTAATAGAATGCAGAGTCGCGAGCACAAAAGATCTGCAGGAAAATTCTCTGTACGCGGAGATTGTCGCTGTCGAGACCGAGATCTCACGATATAGATCAACGTCCAAGAATCTCACCAATTATATTCCCCTCCTTCGACTTCTTGAGCCAATCCTCTGGAGAAGGGCTGCTGTATTTTCGGGAGAAATTGGTCAGCGACGGATCGCATATAACAATATGCTGCTAGATGGGTTGAAAGAAGCGGTGGAAAAAGGTACCGATAAACCCTGCATTCAGGGGAACGTATTGCGAGATCCGGAATCTGTTGGACTTTCTAGTAAGGAGCTTCTGAGTATTAGTTTGAGCATGATGGCGGTATGTTCTTCGAGCGCCCTTGCTTCGTTATGAGAAAATTACTGACATCGCACAGGGCGCCGATAGCACGCAGCCGACTATCGGGTGGGCGATCCTGTTCTTGGCACATAATCAAGACACTCAACAGCGCGCTATTGATGAGATTCGAAATTGTGGGGCCCTCTTTGGAGGAAGAATTGAGACACAGGAAGTTGAATACATCCATGCTCTAACTAAAGAGTTGATGCGCTTCTATACAGTCTTGCCACTCGCCATGCCTCGGGAAACAACCGAGACGGTGTACTTCGAGGGGTGTATAATTCCGGCCGGAACTATGGTGTTCCTGAATGCCTGGGGATGCAACCGAGGTATGTGGATTGTCGTTATTTATCGTGTTCCATAGGCCGAAGGCTAACATTGATCTAGACGGCGACGCGTTTGCCGACCCCTGGGCTTTTAAACCCGAACGATGGCTGGATAATGCCGAAAAACATACTCACCAATTCGCCTTCGGGTATGGATCGCGGATGTGCATCGCTTCGCATCTTGCATTCAGATTGGTTTACACGGCCGTCTTTCATTTGATAGCTACGTTTGAAATTCACCCGGTAGATGGGCAGGACAAGGAGGCGGCCGATCCGATTAGAGGCATCAAGGATCCTACTTCCATTACAGCTGTTCCGAAGGCAGAGAAAGCGAGATTGGTCGCGAGAGAGTGGGCGAAGAAAGAGAAAAACTAGTGGATATTGTTAAATGAGATTATGTGCTATGGTTGTGCTGCCTCCGCCGAGATATCTTGTAGAAAAGTCTGTAGGGAATTAGTCACCCACCGGCTTTGCCACTTTGGCGCTCCCATTGGCGAATTCATTATAGACAGCGATTGGATGCGTTCGACCGACCGGTCAATTAGTGACTGAGGGGATGTAGACATGCTTTGGCAGTATGGAACTAGCCTCTCGGGCCCAAACAGCTGCATTGACGCTCGTAACAGAATCGTGATCGTGAGTAACCTGCGGGAAATTAGCATGAGTCTCAGGTCTATACAAAGACAAGGATTGATTACCGATGTGCCATAATATCATCAGGAATCACATTCTCAGAAACAAAGACCAGGAGACTATTCATTGCCGCCACCAACGCAGCATCGGACCATGTCTGCGAGATTGATTCTGGAAAGATCATCTGGTATGGAACCTGAAAGCTGCGATATAATGCCACCTTGTAGATGTGGAATCGGCACAGCCAGTATTGCAGTTTTATCCGGCTGCTCAGCGCGCTGATATTGCCAGCCCCGGCGACCGGCGACCAACCGGCTGATCCGGGAATGCAAACGAGCCACTCGGACAGTTGCATTTCGAGCTCTGCGATGACTTCAAATGCGCGTGATGGCTGTGGCACATGTGCGGTTGATTCCTGGAGTTCCGGAGCGCAAGCGATCCGCCACAAAATCTGGCGGAGGCTCGTCTCGGCCAGGAAGAGGGAATAACAGGAGTCAATGACGGAGGTGTATGGACTGTGCAGCTGGTTGGCAGTGGATGGCTCTTGGGCCATGCATTTGAAAGGCAGCGGGAGGCGGTCTTCTAATTCTGACAGCTCACTGCTGGATTTCAGACTTGTTTCCCAGTTGAAATGTCTGTTTTTGTCAGCATGCTATAATATCTGTGCAAAGTCTCCATACCGTTCCATGTTTAAGAGAACCCAGTATAATCGAATGCTAGTTGTTCGTGTAGTGAGCTTAGTCCCTTGCGATTTCAGAACTCTTCTATCAATTTGTTAGCGTATGCCACGCGGTGGAATAACGAAGGCTTGCTCTAGAAGAAATCGGTGCAGAATTCCTGATGCACGCTGAAGATAGCCCGATGCCGTCGAGAACATGGAGAGCTTTGCGAAGCATAAAGCCGACAGTCCATGAGCCTGTGCATAGTCCAGACTCGCTTCCATCGGAAGCCAGGCAAGTAGTTGGGTCGCCATATTCAAATAGCCAATGGCCTCGTCAACGCTGGACAAAGACGAGTACAACTTTCCTAGACAGACCATAAGCATAACAAGCGCAGATGTCATGTTATTCTGAAACCCATCCTTAATACAATTCGTCACTGCGTCATATATTGCATCTTCGCACATGATCGGGTAGAGTGGATAGACTAGGTCAAGGAAGCATCTAGTATAAAAAAGCACCTGTCCTGTCTCATTGGGCTGGGCTTGAATAACTAGGCTTTTGAGCGAAGGCTGGATGGTAGATGAGTAGGCGGAACAGGCATCTCCATCTACGGATTGACGTGCCACATTAGGATAGATAAGGCGAATTCTTTCCCACCGTAGGATCGATGAAGTTGGCTGTGGCTCTGCTCCTGTCTTTCCAACGATGATATTGGGATGATTCAAGCACTGGGCCCCTGTTCGAGTATTGTTCGACATTTCGGCCGAGTTTGATCTCTGGATTTTATCTTCCATCCTGCTCATGCGACCTTCAACGCTTTGGAACGCTCGATTTAGCTGACTGATATGATCTAGAATTAAATGAAGGCTGGGGTCGCGCCTAAGCTCGCCTGTCAGCGATGTGATATCTCGCTTCCACCAACAAGTGAGGTCCTACGCTGGTTGATGGTCTTTCCTGTAATGGCAGACCAACTTCCTGCGACGGCAATATCGACATGAAGGCTGGCTTTCGTCGCATTTTATTTTCTTTTGGCGGCATACTTCGCATGCCTAAATAGTTTAGCATTATTCGGTGCGCAGGCGCTGAGGCAAACCTTGCTGGCTCTCTTTTCGAGAGTTGTCTCGCTGAAGACACGAGAAGGAGCACTTAAACTCTCCATCGTGGGGTTGATTTCTTTGGGTTGAAGCTTATCAACCCTATAGAACTGAAGCAGTTACATTCATAGAGCGAATCAGACGGAGAGTCCTCACGGCAGCCGAAGATCTATTTATCCCGCTTGATGCATCACGTCAAACATGCCTGCAATGAGCCAACCGCACTACTGCAGCTTGCCAAGTCCATTTGAATCCTGATTCCCATCAAACCCCGTGAACGGTAGTTAGGAGTAGTGTTTCTATCCGAAATATCTCATTGTCTAACTCAATACATTGATAGCTGAACACGAATCTGTAAAGATACATTCCTTCTAGTAGAGTCCTAATGAGGGACCGACAGCACACATCATTTTTACACACATTCCCTCAAAGGTCCTCTTTATTCTCCTCTTGATACCCCGTGCGATGGCGCAATCGCCCAACGGGATCGTGTTCCTCATCCCAACGCGCCAATTCTGCGTTCGGGACCTTGACCAGTTTATGAGCGACGGATCCGTCGTCGAAGTCGATCACCGTCTGTCGGTATTCGTATTTTTTCACTTTGGGAATCACTTCGATCCAGAAGTAGTAGTATATTCCGCAAAGAAGTAGCCTATTTCGATTAGTTTCAAAGTTCGGCAGAATTGTAGAACAAGGTGCACATACAGTCCGATTCCAACCACCAGGTACGTGCCATACCAGAAACTCACGTCTCCCCCGTTTGCTCCTCCCGTGGGAGGATACCACGGTGCCACCAGCATGTAGATATTTGTTAGCAGTGCAAAAGCGACTGCAATGTTCCAGGCGCGGTATTCGGGCCTAGGGAAGTTCAGTTTGGCCCGACGACGACGAATTATGAGCAGTCCCAGCACGAGGAGGAAATTGAATATGTTGCCCGGATAAACGGAGAGATCGACCACTATTCGCTGTCAGTTTTCATCGATCGCTGAATTGGCAAGCATACGAACCAAAGTTAAATGCGTCTCCTGCAGGAGGACCCAAGATCATGATCACTGTCATTCCCCACTGAACGAAATATGGGCCGATTGGGGTTCCGAACGGTCGTGTAGAAGTCCAGAACTTTCCAAAGGGGAGGACTCCTTGCCTAAAAGAATCGTGAGCATTTCCGCCTGACTATGGGTATGATAAGATGGCGCTACCTTCCAGTCTCTCGCAGCATGCGCGAGTAGTTGACCATCACGGCCATCAGGTTTCCAAATGCGCTGATCACGATGAGTACATTCAGCGCACGTACTGACCCATTAGACCCGAAGACCTTCTCGAAGAAAATGCCGGCCGCAATTTGTTTCGAGTTCAGGATTTCCTCTCTCGATGCAGCGGAGAAATAAGCAACATTGACGAGGATATACAAGCCTGTGACAAGGATCAACGAGAACGGAGCACTCCAGCGGAGAGTTTTGACGGGATTCTAGTCGAGGTCAGCGTAATTCTGTACACTGGACCACGCGCGGAATTAAGATACCTTGATTTCGTTGGCAACACTAAACGCGTTGGTATATCCCGCATACGAGAAGATCAACTTGACCATGGCATTTGTGGCGCCGTAGGCAGATGCCTCTGAAGTTCCCTCCCAGGCATTCCGCCAGTTCATCTGGGGATCGGGCACTTTGGTGTGGCCACCAAGCACTACTAGTCCCGCGATTGAGATCCTGTATCACCGTTAATTTTGTAGTCTGGGCCTTCGTTGAGTTGTACACGTACAGCACCAGAGTGGCGATCTTGACGAATCCAAACCAAACCACTAGCCTCAATGACCATTTCGTATTGGCGATGACCACTGCATATTCTGTTAGCCGTGGCTGCATTCCGATGCTCCTTTGGAATCTAACCTAAGAACGCCAGCGTGTAAACTGCCACGGCAACGCCTTTCAATTGCCAGCCTGTGTAGTCATGGCCGGAAATCCCAAAAAGATACTGAGCTAGAACGACGGCATTGCTGCTTCCAAATGAGAACACGACGTGTTTGACGGCGAAAGTCGTCGGAAAGAAATATTGCGGCTTTGGGTATGCTTGTTCGAGATAGACCACCTCGGCACCGGAGCGACTAGGGAAGTATGATGCCAGCTCGAGGTATGTTGCCAGCGTGGTATGTGCCAGGAGGTATCCGATAAACCAATAAATCATGGTGAGGCCGACTGAGCCCACACCAGAGAGAATGGTAGCCGCTGAGAGAGTCAGTATCGCAGTTGAGGAGATCACTTGGGGCCAACTTACGTGTTGAGAAGATACCAGTTCCAATCATCTGATTGATGTTCAGGCACAGACTTGTCCAGAAGCTTACAGAGTATCCTAACGGTGAGTCTGTCTCGACCGGTGCGCCCGATGCATCTTGATAGGTGACTACTGTCGAGTTGACGCCGGTTTCTGCTGTGTATTTCACTCCGCCCTCTTGAATGACAGATTCTTGTGACCTGTAATTGGACTGTACGGTCACCTCGGCGCCCTTCTCGCTATCTTTATCCATCTTGTGAGCTCAGATGCTCCTGAGAGGCAGAAGATAGTCGTGTGAATTAGATTACTTCTACACGAGGGGCAATCAATTGTCTCCTCCTGGCGATCAGCGCACCATTTTATAACAAGGGAATTAAGTTTCCCGTTCATTCCACCATCCTGCAAGGTGGCACGCCATTCTCATTTCTGCACGCATGACGTCTATTGCAGTCTGGTTGCCTGTCAATATCCCATATTCGGCACTGATTGTCGAGACATCCAGGTCCACGGTGCTTCCCTATCGTTCTCAATGGTCCATCGGCAAAACTAAGCAATGATGACACCTTTCTCCGCAATAGTACCATGAGAGCTAAAGGGAACACCCGAAAAACCTCCGCTAGATCTAGACTTATCTGCTCTGCCTCTCAATGCACTGTGGTGATGTGGTTTTCTATGCACGTGTTCTCAGCACTGCTCGCTTTTAGCTATCTTTTATACAGTAAAAACGATTTAAATGAAGACCATATCTCCCTAATCCATGGACAGGCCTTGGCTAGTCGGCCAAATTGTTAATTGCCGTGTTGGATGATGTCAATTCTCCTCGGGGTCATCTCATCGACTAGCGTGGTGGACCGCGTCAACAACCAGTTAGCTTCACAGGCGATGTCTGGGCATGCGAACACTCAATGCTTTTTTATCCTCTTTCATATAGACAAAGAGCTTAGGTCTCTTGGTGGCTTGAGGTTTTAGCTCTATTACAAATTACAAATCAAATATTATCTTGAGAGCGCCACCGGAGGGGCACGCTTTCAAGTAGTGGTCAAAAAGAATAGCTAGTTATCGTCTAGATAACCAGTGTAAATTGTGGTCGCCTTTTTCTCCTCTTCTTATCTCGAGGGGGAGGAGGGGGGTCATATAATACCCCGATTATAACAAATCATGGTTGAGGTTGTTATTCTCGTCGCTAGAGTCTAGCGGTTCATTCTCAAATGATATCTCCTCTACTTGGCTCCAATCCCTTCCATATGTCGTCGAAAATAGGGAGAAGTTGCTCCGGCAGCGAGCCTCTCTGGATGCTGTCTACATTAGATCTGAGCTGTTTTATCGAGCTCGCACCCAGGATTATCCCGTCACTCTCTGTGAGTGCCGAATGATAATATGCCCAACGCAGTGCCGCGTCTATCGTAGTAATCCCAAGTGACTCGGTCGCATTCTCTAATCTTTGCAGTGCTGTGTGCAGTACCTCTTGGTCATAGAGTCCTTGCATAAACTGGCCTAGGGGATTATTCGCACCAAAGCGTGTCTCTTCGGCTGTTCCGTGGGTGAATTTGCCGGAAAGAAATCCGGAGGCAAGGACGCTACTAGACGATTAGATCGCTTTCTGTGTAGGGTTGGAGAAACTTACCGAAAGGCGTTGTAAGTAATTCCATGCTCCCTGAGGATAGGGAGAAGCTTCTTCTCCATCCCGCGATTTACGGCATTGTAGTCGCCTTGATAGACGGTAGGTTTGACATAGCTATGGGTCTCGCAAATACCGAGGAATTTCTGCAGCAGATCGGGTTGGAAGTTGGAGACGCCGAACTATAGCACTTGTGTTAGTATATGGCTTCTGTGTAAGGCTCAAAATACGAACCTGCTTGAATTTCCCGGCCGCATATAGGTCGCTGATGGTCCTTGCCTGCTCTTCCAGCGGGGTGTAAAGATCCGGATAGTGGATGTATAAGGTGTTCACCTATTCTATTTAGCCACTCGATACCATCACCGATGTAAACTACATACCCGTTCAATTCTCATACGCTCCAGACTAGTTCCAACCGAGCGTTCAACGGCCCTACGCTCCATATCTCCCCCCTGATTGGCAGTCTGCGTGAGAATTTTGGTGTCGATCGTGAAACCCTGGCTGGCGGCTTTCGTCTCTCCCAACAATTCCTCGGAGCGACCCGGTGAGGTGGGAGGATATCTGCCGGCCGTATCAATGTCGGTGATGCTATTCTGTTTCAAGAAATTCAGGATCTCCTGGACTTCCTCTGGGCTGACGAAGTTCATGCCGAAAGACGCAGCGCCGAAGATCAGTTTGGGGTTGCCCATTTTCGATGTTTCGGATTTTCAGATGATGCTTTGCTTGATTGAGACTTTCTGATTGAGAATAAAAAGTTGACCTGGTATGTGAGAACAAGCCCAATAAATATCCCATCTTGTCCGTTATACACGGAGACTGCGAATCCGGCTTGTATAGCAGGGCGATCGGTGCATCTTCACAGCGATCGGGGCATAAGTGGGTCCCGTCGATTATCCCCTTTTTGTGCTTCTCTTGTGCATGTTCTGTTGACGGCGAGGCTTATTATTATTATTATTGACCTTCAATCTATGTTCAATGCATGATAGAGCGATTCCATAGTTATCACATGCTATGGCGCTTGGTGTCAAATCGTGTCCTCTAAATCTACGCATTTCAATGATCTCTCGAATTGTGTCTGGGGATTTTCTTTCGCGCTCTGCCGAAATATGTATCAACGCACTTGGCAACAGATTCTGCCCCTAAGTTGTACAAATCGTGGCATGTACTATTAATTTATAGGGAGATGATTTGGAGAAAACTTTTGTAAAACAAGCCCGAAAGCCGTTGACTGCGAGCATGGAGCTCCAGCATGCTTTTTATTCAAGATGCTAAGGCTGAGCTGGAAATATCGATGCATCGGGATTAAAGAAAAAGCTTCTGATTCAGTCAGTCCTACCTTCTTTCTGTTCCCCTAGAAAACCGAGTTGCATTGTATTTTCGCATTTTCCAGGTTCCTATTATGCGCGGGTGGTTTTAGAGCTATACTCTTACTACGGTTGCTCATTATTCAGTTGTGAGACCTGGTCAAAGCGAGTCTATGTAGTCAGTCGACTAAGGACGGACTCTCATTGATTTCGTCAACTCTCTAATATGCACTATGAGAAAATTATAAGAGCAATCTCGTACTAGTCTGATTTTATGTGACCGCCCGTAGTTGCAATTGAGAGAAATTGACGAGTGTACTCCGTACCACCTCATTATATGGTTTTCATTTCACATATTGCGCATAAATGAAATCTGGCCTCATAAACTCACATGCGCCTGCGGGAGAGGGGGCCAAGAGGAAAAAATCTTATAATAATGCACCAACTGATACAGGCTGGCCCTGGACACAAGCGAACGGAATCGCCCGCTTCAAAGTCCCACTGTCCAACACCAACACGAGGCCATGATAGGCTAATTTGGTAGCCCTAACATGCCTCGATATTAATTTATATTAGACGCTAAGCCCAAAGCCCTTAGCGACACGCCCGGACCAAGGTCTCCGTTTCCCCGGGCTGGACGGAAAATCTACCCTGCTCCAGTAGTGACTCCGTTTAGTAGTTCGCCAAGCCCTGTCTCAATCAGACTTTTTGGAAGTCTGAATCCAGACCTTTTGCCTCCATGCAAGGAAAATCGTAAATGACCTGGGGTGGGACTTAGGCTGCTGACCGGAAAGCGTGGCAAACAATGCCATTATGCTGGAACTTCATATCTGTCCTCTTGGATTCGACCGTGGAGAAATGAGAATCGGAAACCTTGAAGTTACCTATTTGGGTTTGGTAAGACTTTGAGAGATTTTCACTTTCTGAGTAACTTCCTATAATACGGAAACTTCGTACATTATTTTTGGATCTGAATGCTGATCCTCGAGGGACAAGTTGGGTGATAACTCGGAGCCGAGGCACATGGCAACCCTCGTACTGCGGAAGTCGCAACCTCATTCAATGGACAATCGACTAGCCCAGGGACTAGTGCCGTATTATATGGGTCAATCTCTTTTCGATCTCATTTCTCTACTCCAATATCAGCACTGGCGTAATGCCCCTAGAATGATAGGCTGGCACGGACTACTCCATACGGAATAGCCCTCTGCCTTTCGATCCGCGAGAGTTTAATAGATTAAGACATGGGAATCGCGATTTCCGAGTCCCTGGCCAAGTGTTACTCGCACTGTCTCTGTCTCCTGAACTCCCAATTGACATTGACCTCGTACCCAAGAACACCCCACCTCGCATTCCCCATGTGGCCTGGATGTCAATGCATGCATGCCTGTGCGTTTCGACTCCCTGTCACGCCCGGGATGTAGCGGCATTGACGATCTGACAATTGCTTAACGAAGCCACGGCTTATGAGGATCAAATGGGTATGGCGGCGAGTCAGATATTGTCCCGATTCCCTTCTCCGTGGGCTGTGAGCAGGGGTCTAGATTACTGTTGTGGCTGTTGGAATCCAGCTACTCGCGCTAGCGTCCTCATATTAATTGTCCAATGCAATTGGCGTTGCAACGTTCGACATGGGTATCTATTTAGTCTCTGTCTTGGTGGTCCAGCCATGACTCTTCGATTACTGTTATCGCCTCCATAGTTTGCCCCGGGCGGGGGCGCTATAAGTCTGGCCATATCCGGCCGAAAATTCTCCTTTGACTTTCTCTATTTTGACTCAACCCAAAAGATCACCCATACACAGAAAATGACTGAAGGCCTCCCAGACTACGTCCTTGATCCCAATGCCGTCCTCAAGGACACCGATGCCGCTTGGCGCTATGGCAGGGTTCCTGACTATTCCAAGACGCGCGCATTCTATGAACAGAGTAAGGCTACCCAGTATCCTTTCGTCAATAAAGCAATACTGATATCTACCCAGCACGAACAATGTTCCATGAATCTGGCAGCCTCCCCTTCCTCGTCGAGAACCTGGTCAAGAACTGGGAAATCGAAGCCTCCTTCAAGACCTCCCTGTCCGACTGGCGCACAATCGACAACACCAAATACAAATTCTCGCTGAATGGCGGCCCTCCCCAGTCTGGTGAGCACATGCTCAAGGTCGGCACGTACAACGCCCTCCTCACGCCGAGCAAGTACTACGACCCCGAACACAATGATTTTGAGAAGAGCCACAAGTCGTTCAAGCGCATGATGCCAACCTTTGCCTGGGAGGTCACTGAGGTGTATAGCGGTCCTCCTGTGGTTGTCTTCAAGTGGAGACATTGGGGTGTTATGGCGAACGACTACGTTGGGTTCAATGAGTAAGTAGATCTTTCTGTTGTTTATCGTCCTCAAGAAGCAGGGTATGTGCTAACGATATTTAGTTCCGCCGAGAAGGTAAAAATCAAGGCTCATGGTGAAACTCTCGACATCCAGGGCATTGTGATCGCGAAGGTGAATGATAAACTGCAGCTGGAGAGCATCGATGTCTGGTTTGACCCATTGGAGATGTTCCGCCAGATTGACCAGAAGAAAGAGGAGGGCGCCGATTCTGCTGCCGGGGGATGTCCGTTTGCCGGGGCTGCTAGCAGCCAATAATTTCTCATTCATGTACATACTTAGGTTGGTCACTTATAGATGCCAAAATTTGATGACTTCATGTGCTCGAAGCCTGTCCTATCGTCGTGGGAACAGTGACCCACTGCCGACAACAGAAAGATATGTAAACTAGTATAGCGATTGCAACCCAGTGTCACAACGGCACTTCTACTCTGTACTCCTTTGAAATTACTCAACAATAGAAGTCTAGATTTGCTTATAGTGCTTACTCTATGTACATATATTATGGTCTACACCTTGCAAAGATTTGAGACATAAATTGACATAAACAGTGCACGATGCTCTAAGTTTAAACAAAAAAGCCGAAGTACAAATTTGATAAATAGCTACACCGCCAATAAGTACTCCAGAGTAAAGTTATTGTCTTTCTTTATCGCTCCCGAGGTTCAACTGAACACCTCAATGGCGACGCAAGGGATGCAATGCAATCCAATTTAGGTATCCCGCTTCTTTGGGTCGAATGCCTAAATTGAACATTGGCATTGACTTCCCTTGACATGGCATGTGGGTCGCAATTCACTCTCCACCTTCTATAGGGGAGATTCTGGGAGGGGAGGAGGGGAGGGGTGGGGGTGCCCGGGTGTGCCCCTAACGCTTGAATCTAGTCCCAATCGGCGTAGGTTTTGTTTTCGGTTTGGAGATTGGCTGAGACACCGGGGACAAATGGCGCCGAACTCGACAGGAGACCATTTGCGCCAACACAGATGACCTTAGATCGATGTACAAATTCCTGACCCACATTATAGAAGCCCTTGCTGTCTTCCCTGGCCACTCTTACGAAGTATAATTTCCATCATTTGAAATGGGTTTAAAAAATTACTCGGAGTATGCGTTCGCATTCACCATCATCCAAACAGGGGGTTCTACGTGTGATTATACCCAGTTATCAAGGGATAACGACCCCTCATCCATACTGTTTGGTGTGATAATGGTAAGGGGCGTTTATATAATGCCACCAAATGCACCCTCTGACTCAAGGGGCTCATACCGGACGTTGGATTTAACCTTAGGACACAAAGAAGGTCGGTCTGGTCGGCCAATAATAGCGCTCGGTGTGACCCTTGTGGAATGTCTCCGTAAGGGTTTTGGTGGGGTATGAACTGACATTTTCAAGGTAAAGTGCTCCGTGAGTTCCGTTCTTTGCTCTCCATTTGTCGCGTTTTGATGTCCAAGTAATATCACTAGTGTAAATCTCACTAGCAGAGTCTGGAAAACCGCAAGGATGTGGACAGATTGAAAGTCAAGGAACATAAAATCGTATGCAGTCCAGCTAGAGGATACATAGCAGCCTCCCTATGTTGCCAGCGCACCATTGCAGCATTATTTGAGCTTGTGTCACGAAAAGTGGCCGACAATGAATGCATGAGCTCATTATGACTATCCATAATCAATTTAGTTACCGGCGCCAACAGGCTTGCAATTGAGCAAAAAGGGCAGTAATCTTCGAACTCCACTTTTGACGCTGTATGATATCTTCTATTTGCATTAATTTACCTGTTTTAGGGACGAAAGTTAATATGATTTTGCTAAATTGATCGATTTAACGCAACAAAGTGACGACCTTGCAACAACCACTAGAGGATATCGCAGTGAACCTTTCTGTCAAGACTTTCCTCCGGCGGAAACGTCTAATGACGTGCTGCCGAGGAATGAATTGAATGATAACAATGGCCTCATTTATCATAGGCGGATCTGCGGTATGTACAGTATAAGTCAACGATCTTCGCATCCACTACGGAGTACTAGGCTACTACTCCGTACCGGTCCAGATTCAGCTTCCAATCATCGAACAGAGCAAGAAGACACTGGTCATGAGGTCACTATTACTCTACTGTGTCCGGGGTAGACCGTAATGCTTCCCGTTTTCCCGGCCCCATTAATCGGCATATTGGGTCAAGTCAGACACAAAGTACACTCGTACCCCGTAAGAAAGGGAGGCGGGCTATTGACTTGCATTCTCTGGCCTCCGACGACCCGGTATATTCTTCCCTGATTTCAGCACCGTCTGGATCAACATCCCTTAACCTATCCAACGGCGCAGCGGACAGCAGAGGATCCATGGCATGTGCCAAGTGGGTTTATCCGGCGAGGAGATATTCTCCAGCCACTCACACCACTTTCACAAACCGGTTTAGAAGTCCGATTCTTGCTTGTGCCCGTTAGCGCGTTGTCGATCGAGGATTTCCCGCCTCTCATAACAGAAGTTGTCGGGCGCTTTTTCCCGCCATGTCAACCTCGAACATCGCGTTATTATCTTAAAATCAGGGTTGCGATCGCAGAGGTCCTGTCAACGTTCAATTTTCCTACATTCCGGGCATCGTGCACGATGTTTCAACCTCGCCTGCGATCGCTCGCTCCGGCGAGGCAGAATTATATCGCAGCTTCGAATCCCCAACTCCCGAGGCGACAGAATGTTTCCAGGGCGTGTATCAGATGCCAGTCAAAGAAAACTAAAGTATCAATTCCCGTTCCGCTTTCCCCAAAATCACTGCGCTGACCGGGGATTTGGTCTAGTGTTTCGGCGGTATCCCTTGCCAACGATGTATCCAGACCAAGACCCCATGCGTGGTCGACGAAGACAGTGACGAACGCCGAAAGATTCTAATCAAGCGTCGGTTAAGCTCCCTGGAGAAGGATCGAGAACTCCTCATACAACTGATGGAGGCCCTTCGCGAAGAAGACAGGCTTCACATCTCCGTAACTATGAACCTGATCCGCAGCGATGCCACCATTGACGACCTTCGATCGTTCATGACCGACCAAGACGAGCGCGAAGTCTCAAAAGAGCATTCACCGTGTGCCGAAAAGTCCGAGACCGATGTCCAAACCGCGCCGTTTCTTACTCCTAGCGCTCGTCAATACCTAATGAATATCCAACGATTAACAGATATTCCAGTCCACCGTGTTCCTGCTCACCCGTGGACTTCAGTCACCAATGACAACGACTTTGTATCTCATCTGATTTCTCTTTACTTTCTCCTGGAGCACCAAGCTCTGAACTGGATTGACCAGGATCTTTTTCTCGAGGCTATGAAGTCGGGCAAACTGGAGTCGGAATTCTGCTCTCCGCTCCTGGTCAATTCTATACTTTCTGTCGCATGCGTAAGAAAAATACGACCACTCCTCTTCCAACAGTGATTGACATTATATAACAGTGGATCTCAAACTGGCCCGAGGCAATGGCAACAGAAGGTGACCCTACTTCCAAGGGTCTGCATTTTTATAATGAGGCCAGGGATCTCCTTAGCCAGCAAGAAGGTAGAGTGAGCTTAACTAGCGTCCAAGGCCTCGCAGCCCTGTACACAAGGTATTTTCGAATTTAGAAGGGTGTTCCAACTTTGATCTGACCATGGCTCAAGTTCCTGCATGATGGGCAAGGACCGACTCGGTTGGAAATATCTAGTCGAAATTGGCGACAGCACGCGCCAAATCCTTGCGAGACGGTCGCATCTCATTGCGAAAGCCGAACACCGACAGGAAATGAGACGAGCGCTTGATACGGCGGTTCTCGGCTTGTTCAGCCTCACCTCGTGCGTAAAGACCTAAAGACCTCGTGCGTAAAGACCTCGTTTATGGGATGAAATAGCATTTTCTAACTGGTCACTTGCGGTAGAACTGCTACCTTGATGCTCCAACAGCCGCTGGTAATGAAGAAACCTGATTTGGGTCCCTTTCTTCCAGACCACAAACACGATGATACATGGATGCCGTATCCTCTGATTGCAGATCCTGTCCGCGGACAAATGAACTGCGTTAAGCAAGCGTCTTTTGATCTCCAATCGATTATATTCAATATCCCCGCCTATTTCTTTAAGGAGCACGGGCCGTCTCACTATCCCGATGTTGAAAATACGGTGGATAGTTTCTATCGAGACCTCAGGCAATGGTCTCTACACATCCCAGAATGCATCACCCTTGAATGCGAGAGTACGCCCGACGTGATGGATATGCAGTAAGGGTGGTCGCTATCCCCACGGGTATCGTGCGTGCTAATCGAAATATCACAGCATGAAGTACCACGCGGCTAACGCGACGATATTTGGGTTTATCAAACACCTGCCCGACGAAGAAATGCCGATGATATCTATTGATCACGCACGGTATCTTCGCCATTCTGCTGCACAACACATCCGTGACATCCTCAGTTCTCACCGTTCTCGATGGTCCACAAATTTGATGCCGTTAAACTACGCGCAATACGCCAACCTGGCTCTATTCATTCTTCTGGAGGGGCTCGATGATGACAAGAGTGCCGAAGCATTCGTAGATCTCTGTATCATCCTCTGTGCCCTCTCCCGACGATGGTTGCTGGCTAAAGGGATGCTGCGTCTTGTTCAACTTACCGCGCAGCTGAAAGGCATTGCGCTTCCTCCCGAGACAAGCGGTCTTTTTCATGAATTCACATCCCAGACGTGGAAACTGCACGAGCGTAAACGATTCAGCAGTTTATATCCCAATGTCGCGATCACCGTTCTAGGAGAGAAGAATCTCGGTGAGGCAGAGCTGGACCTCTTTCTCGCCCGGTGGGATGATCTAGATCTATCAAAAGACATGGAAGATGGAGAAGAGTATAAAGAGGATGATACAAAATTATAGGTTAGGACAGTTGATCATGACTTCTAGTTTAATGACTTGAATGCGCATTTCTCACCATTCTGCAGCTTATTATGTCAAAGCAAGTTTCCAGCACTTTCCCCACGCCCCAAATTAGTCAAGATTTTATATAAAACCATTTCAGTAATTGACCTCGCAATCACTTGCGAACAGCCATTATATGTTCTAGTCGTCATAATCTTAGGTAGGCCACGACTAGACCAACGATTCAAGACCATTATTTCGGGCGCCTTGACCTTTGGACATGATTAACCGATTCTCCAAGTAATAGAGTTGACACCTAATGCCATCAAAATCGAATCATCCGATTAAGTTCCAGTAGACATATGAACAGCTTTGTTTCGGCCTTGATTCTATTGGTTTGCTTTGCCAAATGGCCATTCACTCGATATGCCATGAATATTTGACAGCCGATCAACTGTAAGTCTTAACCGGGTAACAGAAACCCAACAAATGGTAATCCATGTATCGAACAGTTCATGTCTGATACCTGACGGTAACGAGTTTATATTTGTAAATACAAAGCACTCTGAGCGTTCATAAAGATAAAACATCCACCAACAATGGTAAATTTACACATGAGCAACCACCACCCAGTCCATCTTCAAGGGGGCTTGCTATCATTACATCAATCCTCCATAAGATCCTTGCTCCCGCTCCATTTCTTCATCTTCCTCAATGTAATTCTTGAACTTGTCAACCTCGCTCTCTTTTTTCTCCGCATCCTGCATCTGACTTTGGCCGGGCTGCTGCGGCTGTTGCTGCTGTCTTTCTTCGTTCTGCCGGGTTTGGTGGTGGTGGAACATTCTGTCCATGAAGCTTTGGTGGGGCTGTTGCGATTCTGGGTTCAATTAGCTTGATTGGTTCTGGAAGAGTATGGTAACTGGGCCTTACGGTCGGGCATGATGTGTTCGTGTCTGTTTGTGTGGAGGTTTTATGATATTGGGTCTTAAACTTCGATTACCAGCGCCCGTCCCTCCCTTTAAATAGGAAGTAATACAGACATTGGTACGTCATGAAAAGATCCACATTATCACAATAGCATCTCACAGTGGTTGGTTTCTATTCACAAATCCGTCCATCCGAGAGTGGAGGACGTCATTCCTCGTAACCTTCTTTGGGTGGAGATGTTATTGGTTCTGCGCCTTTGTCCGGGATGGAGTTTCTAGACATTTGTGCTTCGTGACTAATCATGCCTACATGTCTCTTTTCGGCTTTGGAAATGTTCAGTATCTTTCTCATAGATAAATTGGCAAGCAGACATGGGGGATCGCAATGCAGGAGAGAGTGTGTTGTTTCACCCCAACCCATCATGGAAACTCCGATCATTAAATGCGAACCGACCCGACCAGATCAATGAAATCGACTAGAATTATTGGTTATAAAAAAAAGAATAAGTGAAAGGTTCTATCGTACAGGTATGCGCAATAAACATGAACATGAAAATAATGGAAAATTTATAATACAAACATCCGTTCACACTATGCATCCCGCCAAAGATACCCATGCTACCTTGCTCAAGTACCACGAAGCAACGCTGACCAGCAGCTAGGAACGAAACCCTCGCGAGTTACTTTTCGTCCTTGACTTCATTCTGTCTCCCGAAGTCGCCCGGAGAATTTTCGGCCTTTGTCCGAATCAACTTCCGGATACTTATATTGGCCATGTGTGCCATCGCAACCATCTGTCGCACGCCCGGCATTCCTGCAGGGAAGATGACATAAAGTCCCGATTCTTGACATGGGTCGGGCCGTAACTTGTCATGGTATGCCTTCTTGCCGTGGATTGGCAATCGTTGGTACGTGTGGTGATATAAGGACCGAGTGAGTCGCTCCAAGGTCGGTGACATGCCGGTCACCTCGCCTAGCTCGGTAAGGGGCTCGTATCCCAGACTGAGGTAGGAGATGTTTATATGGTGGAGGAGCGCCATCGCCGCATAGTTGAGCAGATCGGATATCCCCTTCGGTGCGCCGGGTGCTGCGATGCAAGGGTCGATGTGGTAGCCGTTGTGTGTGCCGATGCGTCGTAGGGCAGCGAACCCGTTCACCGTGCCGTCGGCAGCGCGAGTATATATGAATGTCATGAGGTTGGGGTAGTCGAAGGGATTATAGACGGTGATGAATGCTTGGGAAGTCGTTCTGCTTTGGTTGCGCTGTTCGCGCCAGGAGTCGTATATAGACATCAGCTCGGCTTGAAATGCTGTATCTTCTCCGGAGGCGGGAACGTATACACCCAGTGTTATGCCGCCTTTATCTGGGTTCAGGAGCTGTCGGTTTTGGGTGATGACTCGCTTGCTGCTACGTTCGAGAAGGACGTCGTTGGTGCAAGGGTTCAGGACTCGCTCTACCCCGAATTGCATTGTGTTCCAGTTCCGTTGCCGCGCGTATTTAGCGAATGCTTCGCTTGCCCCCATGAAAGCGATATCTAACGAGTGTTCTTTTCGGTAAGTTGCGAATTCATCGAGGACGCTATCGAATCGAGTGTACTCGCAGAGAGGGTCGCCGCTCACGATGGCGACGTGGTTGATTATTTTGTAGCAGATGGCGGCGATGTGGGATTTGTTGACAAAGAATCGGTAGCTGCGGTCAAGCATGCCCATGTGTGAAACAGTTCCATATCGCAGTGCTAGGGCTTCTACAATTTGTCGTGTGCTGAAGTCAGGGTCGTGCTTGGGGGCTTTCGTACAGGATCGAGGTCTGCGTCTGAGAAACGGCAAGCTTCGTCGCTCGCGCAATTTTGGGTAGCCCGATGCACCCAGAGTATGGTCGGATGGTGTATCTGATCCTGGAATGTGATCGACGAGAGTACGACTGCTGTCGCTGCTACCGTTCTCACTACTGGTGCTGCGACTAAGTCTTGGATGATGTTGAGGAGCGGATAAGAAATTGTCTGTTGGAGGGAGTAATTCGCAGTTATCGTGGAAGAAATGCGGTATAGGATATGAATCGAGTGTGCGTAACAATGATGGACCCACGCTGTCAAGCAATAGCCCTTTTTTCATCGCCTTGGTCTGCCGTGGCTGCTTGCTCCTACCTTTCCCCGACTGGACAGGTCGCTCCTCGCATGCTGAGGCAGCCATTTCGATGTCACGCAAGAGGGAAGGATAGATGTACTCAGAACCAAAAGCACAAGCCTTAAGGATGGGTAGCAGTTTTTATTAAAGGGTGTGTGAGGAAAACATGACGCAGTTGAACCGAGGGCGGCCCACGCGCGGAATGATCCAACCCCTATATATTATGATAGACATGTACCCTCACTAGCCAGATCAGGGACCTGCAGCCCCTAGGCAGTCGCATTCAGCAGTCCTGGATTATTCCGTAATAGCAGGCCCTTCCGAAGGGACCTTTGAGTTGGGCTCTGAGGCCGGGTGGCGCTCGCTGTGCCGTTGGCTAGCTCACGGATAGTGTCATGTCATTCTGATCCAATGGGGTGTAGCATTTTGGTCTAATGTTTGGTCATAGATTGCGCTGTCGGCGCGTGGGTTGTGACCAAAGAGTGGATTTTCCGCTTGTTTCTTTCGTCCTTTCGTTCTTTCTTCCATGTTATTTTTTTCGTCTCTTTATTTTCCGTTTTCTTTTCTTTGATTATTGGTTTATTTTCGTTGATCCTTTCTCTATTCCACCCTCTTGACGAGCAGGATCTGATCCTATCCCATTCTTTGTACGGTACATGCCGTCAAGGGTGGTAACACGAGCAGCCAGCATCAGCCGTCTAGACCTACTTCATTTTCGGCGTGTCATCCTTGCAGTAGGCAATTCAGGCAGCAGAATTAAGCTCACGCACCAAGCCTTGCAGAGGGCATCTAGGCTGATGGAGAGCCAGACCCGCCGGAGTGGAGTATGAGATCAGTCCGGATGCGGGCCATGGAACTACTCAGCAATGGGAAATTTCAGTCCAGTGGGCCAGACGCTACGATGAATGCAGTAAACCTCCCGCCGTAAGGGTCTCTTTTCCTTCTAGTTTTGCTGCATATTTCAGCCCTTTCACGGTTTCAGCTTCTTTGTTGTGTCGTGTTTATTGTCTCCTCTAGCTCGCCCTACTTGACATCCCCCATCACCAACTGTAGCAGAGATATTTCTCACCTTCCCTCTGTTCTTAGTAATGTAGAGATAAAGCCTCCAACAGCCTAACCCATTAATGAGACCCTGTCCAATTCAAACGCTCCTATCAGAGGTTTCAAACTACTGCCACGCTAACAAGGAGCTCAATCACCATGCACCTCGTTACCTAACGCATTCAAGCTTTACTAGTCCGCGGACTCCGACCGATATCTTTCAAGAATCCTTAGCCGCCGGCCTTTCTGCGAATGCATACACTGTTGCCTGATTATGAGCGCCAACCTACAACGGCATGTGCTTACATCGGCCCTGCGGAGTCCTCGGGTCCCGTATACCTGCGGTTGATGATCCACCCGGTCCCCTTTTTTGCCCTGTTTTCCGCCTATCGCGCACGTTCCGATGGTTACTAGTTGATGATCCTGCATCGGAATACACCGATTGTTCCGAGAGAACCTCCGTTGTAAAGCAGTCAATGTCATGCGGCCCTAATCATGCGCAACAGCGGTTTTGTTGCACATATTCTAACCCCGACCTTTGAAGCCAAATTATCAAGTTTCTGGTCCTTTCCGCCAGGTCTGAGGAAATTTTGTCATTCAATCATATCATCGAAGAGTGATCAACCGTTTCAGCCCTGATGATGCTGATCGACCCTCGGGAGAATGGATACTGCAGCATCTGCAGCATGGTGCCACGTCTTTTATCCGGTTTCAATGGCGATCATGAGCTTTAGTGTTTGGTATCGAGCAGATATCCAACCTGACTTGGACGATTCTCGGCCTGTAACTGGTGAGCGACGATCTTGTCCCGCCGGAGGCCCATTTACTGTGCTATTGATACTGCTCACGATCGCATACTTAAAGTTCCTTCAACGACATAGATGTGGACAAAGACAAAGGGTAATACACTATTGAACAGGAGAGAACTGCTCAGGGATAGTGCAAGATGTTTCGTTCGCATTACCTGCGGATTTGCACAACTCAGTCATTAAGAAGTCACCTCACATTCGCAACGACAGGTCGACTACGAATATCGTGGCAGTCACTGCCCTATTGGCATCCCCGGAAGATAATATGGAGATGATACTCACTCGGGGAATTCTGTACATTCTCTCCAGCCTTCGGGTTCTCTGGTCTTTTCAAGCAACCCAGCAGCATCCAGGCCTCCTCGACTCCCTTTTCCGGATAGCCCCGGCAACTGCGACGACTGGATGCTCCCAGCACAGATACCAATCGCTCTGGACGCTGAAACGTTCGTGACCTGGTCGTCGCAACGAAATCAAACGACTGTCACTCCTTGATCGCCCTCGCACTCTATGACTGGTTTGCAGGTTGAGACTGTTTTATGCATCATGCCAGAATTTCTGCGCCGGGATGTTCCGTGATGTCCTTTTTGCACGTGTTCAGGGGTCCCTTGGACATCGGATTGATAGTATGAGCGATATATCTCTTGATGTGAAAAATTACAGGCGTGTCGCTGCGTTTGGGAAACTCTCTAGCACTGCATCAGTGCTTTTTCGCGTTCATCTATTATAAAAGAGGACATACAGAGGATCCTCCCATTCCCATCTCTCTCAATCTCCATTTCCGCCAAGGTATCCTTGTCTTCTCTGTTGCTTCGATTCCACGGCATATGGTCCAGCGAGCTCGTGCCGCCTAGGTCTCTTCGAGGACATGAGATGATACGCCCGCCGAGACCGGACTCCTGTCATACTCACTTTCTAGTGCCTCACCGTAGCTTTCGGAGGGATAGATGGCTAGTCTCTCCTGAGCTGCTGGTCCGACTTCTACAACGTCAACTAAGAGATTCTCTCGGTCGCTGGGTCGTTATTGGTCAACCAGGCCTGCGATACCCCCGCCCATGATCATTCAGTCTAACCTGTGCGCTGCAAAGTCTTGGAGTCGGGCCATGAGGCCATGGTAAGGATCTGAGTGGCTGGATTCTGGCTTCCGCGAGATCCTCGGCCATCTCACAATGCGACCCCAAATAGACCTAGTTTAACTGATGTCTTTGCTGGTTGGACCAAAAGAAGGTGCTTGATTCCTAAATCCACGCACCTTTTGTAGCTCTACGCACGGAGTTACATGTTGGCTGCAGGGGTATCTGTCTCCCATGTCTGGAAGTCGTACATTTCCCGGATTTGTCGAGTCCTGGTGATCATTTGCATTGACCTCTCGGATTTTTTTCTCTCCTGGCACAAACTAGGGCTTCCCTATGTTCTTCGGAATCTAAGTATTCATTTTCCTGTGTTCATGTAGCTACGGTTGTTCGGTTTTCGATGTGCTCCGACAACGGAAGTTCACTTCCATCATGAGGGACTATCGATGTCATGGCAGACTTATACCTTGGATAGGACTTTCTGCATCTTGTTTTGACCCAGTGTTGTCACACAAAAGAACGGGATGGTTTGTAGTAAGGATTCTAATATTCAATCACAGGAATTCCGGGTCTCACCGAGGCTCTATCCAGTGCTCGATGAATGTTGTGCCCGCTCTTATGGCGGAAATTTGCTCCTTTCTCAACGGTTTAGAAATTCTAGCCCTCGTACAGAGAAGGATATTCTGCACACGATACCTTCAGGCTAGATGTCGCTTTCGTTTAAGCATAGTTTCAACTTTCTCAAACATTTTGCACGAGACCGTACGAAATCTATTTTAACCCTTCATTGGCGCCTTTTGTCGGAATCAGTGGCCTGTTGCTACTGGTTTTTTCAAAAGCCCTATAACGACCAAGTCAAATAATTCGTGAGGCACGAGAATTTACTGTAAATCTATTGACTGAGTCTGCTTCTGCTAGACAGTTTGCAATAAGTGTAATATCGAAATCTAGTCACATTTACTCCAGGTAATTAGATCGCGCTTTTAACAGCTGCTCCCATTGTTATCTTTGCGTCAAGAAATCGTAGGTGTGCTTCTCTATTTGTTTATCTCAAAGGCACAGATGCTAGCCCAGCAATGTTCACGACAGGTAGAAGGCTAAATCGTTTTGTTGTCGAAGGTTTCCGGGAAAACACGCTTTATATTTACTTTTTCACCCTTCTTCTGCACCGCGGTACGTGTTGTGTCATCTTGAGTCAATGTGAAGGAGGCATGGACGTCAGCCTTTGTTAATGTCACGGAATGACTCCAACCGATGACTCTAACCCTCCCTGCATAATCTCATGGTCTCAACCAACTCAACTCCACATCCTCTCTATCATTTAGTCATTCCTCACATTTTCCCACCATGAGTCCCGACAAGATCTCCCGACGCAATCGTCTTCTGCGACGTCTCAGTCTTCTTCGCACCAAACCACTAACGGAATTCTTCTTCCTGCTTGATCTTCCAAATGAGTTAATCCTTTTCATCTGCCATTTTCTCACCCTCGAGAAAGACATCAACAACTTCAGTCGATGCAGCCGCCGTCTGCAAGACCTCCTTACCTCCGATCTCTACCGGCATAACATCATCCATTATGCCGGTTCGGCGTTAGTATGGGCGATTAGCAGGGGACAAGCAGGTACGGTGGAAAAGATACTGAGATACGGTGGCGATCCAAACCTCTGCGTAGATCCTATCGACCAAAGACCGCCGCTGTCAATGGCCATTGCTACGCATCAGTTCGAGATCACCAAGCTGCTTCTCGAGTCGGGGAAATGCATGATCGAAAAAGCAGATCTGACTGAAGGCTGTTCGCTCAGCAAAGCAGTATCTCAGAATGACCTGTCACTCGTGGAATTACTGCTCCGTCACGGGGCTGGTGCCAAAATAGGACTCTCTGTACACAGAGCGTTCCGGATAGCGTTGTGTTGTGGGCATACAAACATCATGCGGCTGATGTTAGAGCAGGCCGCCATTGATGTGAACGGCCATTGTCAACCATACCGCGCGCCGTTCCTGAATGACGCTGCCCGATACGGTCGAGCCGAGCCTCTCTCTCTATTGCTCGCGTGCAAAGATCTGGATATTGAGAACACAGACATCGATGGTAACACTGCATTGATGATCGCGGCCAGAGAAGGGAAGCTTCAGGCCATGAAGACCTTACTCGCCAGAGGCGCTATTCCCGACGCCGTCAACAAAAAATTGGAATCTGCCCTGTTCCTGGCTGCAAGTAGGAGACATGACCAAGCTGTCACGTTACTACTACAAGATTATAGGGTCAATATTGAGTCCCCCTCAGAGATCGGATTTACGGCCCTCATGGCAGCGGCCAGGTACGGACACGACAGTACGGTCCGCCTATTACTTCAGAATGGAGCGGATCCAAACCGCCGAGATCACCTTCAGTATTCAGCGTTATCAATCGCTGCGGCATGTGGAAAACCATCGACGTGCAAAATTCTCCTGGAGAACGGCGATGCAGATGTAAATGTCCAGTGTGGCAAAGGCAGAACACCTCTCTCCTTGGCACTATATGCCGTTGGTCGCTCTCCAATTAAGCAACATGGTAAATACCCCCCTGGCGCCGACAAAGCTCTCGAAGTCGCTCAGGTTCTGCTCTCGGCTTCCGGGATCGACCCGGACTCCAAGGACCACGACGGACGAACACCTCTCACGTATGCAGCTGGCATCCACAGTATGCCACTCGTCGAGCTGCTCTTGAAACAAGCCTCTGTTCAACCCGATACGTTAGATAATTATCGTCGCACCCCGTTGTTTTATGCAACTCAAAGGCGTGTTTCTCCCTGGGTTCTATCACTCAATTACGATGAAGAACATCGCGTTATAAACACGCTCCTAGACACGGGACGTGTGGACGTGAATGTTAAAGATACCGGCGGCCGGACTGCCTTGTCGCATGCTGCCGAGGAAGGCCGGGAGGATATTGTGAAGATGCTGATCCAAAAGGGAGCTGATCCCACGATCGTCAATAATTCTGGTGAATCTCCTCTACATTACGCCAAAAAGGAGCGCAAGCACTGCCACCGTGATGAGAAACCGTGTTATCGGATCATGATCGCGATATTGAAGAAACATTCCGGGACTGGAAGATCTGCGAGATTGTTGGGTCGTATGTTCAGAAAGAGACGCGAATGCAAGATTCAGCGAGATTGAATTTGAAACGGTTGTTCTTGTTTACCTGTGGCCATGCGAACGTATGCCAGCGACTTTGGGCGCCTCATGTTTTGGATAGCTACAAGCTATAATACTCCATTGTGTTATGTTAATTTATTTCGTCTTGCCTCCCCAATTTAACATGATAGCTCTTTCTTCTTTCTCTTGGTAAGAAGTTTCCAGCAGATCTGTGTTGGCTTGTATGACGGATACATATATATCTCCGCTGGCTCGGATAGACGCGACATGAAAACAACACTATTCCGTCCCCATCTCCGTAAAAGTCTAGACTCGACCGGTGGGGTCTCCTGTCGATTGTCACCCCGTACTCTGGATGCAGAAAAAGACACCGTCGTCTACTCCGTGGATTCCTGCAGCATCGTCTCCCCTGGCCTACCGACTCCGTTCCTGCATCGGACCGCCGTCACGGCGCCACGCCCATTTCGGCCATGACACTTACAGACTGCAGATGGGAAATCAGATGCGGATCTTGCGCCATTCTTTCGATTATGACACCCGGTCCGTCAGGGGAAACCGGCCGAAGTATTGGAATAGTTTCGAATAGTTTCAGTCCATTCGGACGGGATGGGACGGGATTGGATGCGCACACCGTATAGCGTGGTGTCTGAAAATACGTGGCGAAACATTGATAATTCATGATGTTTTTTCCGGCTAAATATAGCACTTCAGAGGGGATATTCCTATTCCTTGTGAGACTCTACGTTATACGGAGTGCTTGTAGGGTGTACAGGCTGGTCGCGGGAACAGCGGACGAACTACGGTGTAAGGTATGGACAACTACAAAGCAGTTACTTCCCGGTCGGCGACGCTTATAAATCTCCCTGTCGGTCGCGATAGGCGGGTTTAAATAGAACAGCAGAGGCATCGGGAGCAGCGTCAGACAGACACGGACACAGTCTTGGGCATCCCTTACCCTTTGGCCCTCTGACCCTCTGGACCGGCCCACCTGTCGGACAGGTCACGTCGCACTCCTTGCGTCGGCAGCCAGGGCTCTGCAGGTCCTGACCGGGCTGGATTGGAAGGGAGTTAGGGTGACAGGAGGGACCCAAGAGGACGAGAGTTGGGGCAAGAGAACATTTCCACATACCGTGAGTTGGCAGGAAGTGGATGTCAACAACAACAAGGGAGAGTTATGTACATAATAATAAATAATGAGAATGGCATGTGGCCACCTCAGGCCCTCAGGCTTTCAGGCTTTCAGGCACCCAGGCAGCGTCCACAAACAAACAGCGCAATGCCGACTAAATTTAGTTAACTAGCGCCGCCCCGGATGAGTCAGCCACGGCCGCCTTTCAACCTTCTTTCTCTCTCTCTCTCGCTCCGTTCCCTTCATCCCTCCTGAGTGATCCAGAGGACAACATAGAATCTAAACCCTCATCCCCTGACCCCCCCAGCCATGCCTCGTCCCCTTTATAAAACACCCACCATGGCATCAGATGCAATTCCATCGGTCGGGCGATGATCCCAGATGATGGGTTTCGGGTGTATCACCTCCTTCCCCCCGCTCCACAGTGGATCTCAACCCTGCGCCACCGAAACGACGAAATCGATTCGGACGGTTCCACCGGGTGCGCGTCGCCCGACCAACAGTCACGACTGCGTGAAACTTTGCGGTCTTAGCCGATGGGGAACCACCAATGGCACTCGAGTCATTGCTGGAGCTGATTCACCTCGCCATGGATCCCAGATGGTCGGCCGTCGTCGCTGGTTGGCACGCACAGTTTTCGCTCCTCCACCAGCCTGCCCGAGTAATGGGTCACTTGTTCCCCATGCAGGGTACATGCATGGCCAGATGGCCCCGATGGAAGCAGAGAAAACTGAAAAAATTACAGCGTGTGCTCCGTAAAAAAGAACAAAGCAATCCAGGAGATTCCCCGTCTGATTGATTGAGGGACCGATGGATGGAGGTGCGGTGGATCCGGTGACGACACGGCCCATTGCCCTTTCATCTGCCGGCTCCTTCACGGTCGCTTGACCTGCAACTGGCAACTGCAATACTAGAAGACTGAGGGTATTATTATTATTTGCCTTCCATTCGTACTCCGGTTTCTCGACCGCTTCGCATTTAGAATCCAATCTCAAACTCCCCTGGAGCGGAGCCCTGTCACCACGTTGAACGGTGGCCCCAAGTTGATCGTCCTCAGATCTCGACAGAGGGTAGACAGACTGCAAGAGTGAAAGACTGAAGGGACTCTGTAGAGGAATCAAGGCTTAGCCCTCGCTATATTTAGTGTACGCGGTTCCACCCCAGCCTGGCGGACTGATCCTATTGCCTTATCCAGACTCAGACCCTTCTATTTTTTTTTTCTCGCTCTCTGCTTTCTTTCCCTCGCTTCTTTTTCCCGGGCCCTTTCCAGTTTCCCTCTCCTCCCTTTCCTTTCGATTGTTCGATCTTATCCCTTGATTGCTTGTCGATCTTCCGACCTTTGTTCCTGTGCATTGCATTTTATTTTTGTCCCTGTTCCTGCAACGCCCTTTTTTTTAACCTTTTTCCCTATTAAGGTCCTTTCTCTCTGTCTCTCTCTCTCTCTTCCGGTCACTCGTTGAATCTCTTCAATACCTTCGTTTTTTAACCACCACCACCCATCTCATCAACCGCCGAGATGGGTACCCCCGGGCCCTTCAAATCTCATTCTTCTCAACACAGTCGGAGTAGTTACTACTCCCACCCGTCGGGAGTGAGTCTCATCCATCCTGTCGTCCCACCTGTCTCAAGTGAGGCTAACATGTCAAAGCAGGGAACGCCCGGCATTTCAGAGAGCGGTGATCAGGAACAGTCGCTGCTGTATCGCAACCAGCCCAGTAGTCCCTATGGCGGCGCTGCCGCTGCCCCCTTCGAAGACCCCAGCGTCTCGTCCGACTCGCTGCGTCGCTACACCCTGCACGACCCCGGAGTGACCGTCTTCGCTGCCCCGCCTTACCAAGAGTCCGAAGCGGCCGACATTTACGATGCTCGCGGCTCCGACCGGGCCAGCGGGATCAAGATGAATACGTGGCAGCAGAGCCAGGCAGGCGGTGCGAGTCGATCGACGGGCGCCCTTCGCCGATACGGAACGAGAAAGATCAACCTGGTGCAGGGCTCCGTCCTGAGTGTCGACTACCCCGTCCCCAGTGCCATCCAGAACGCCATCCAGCCCGAATACCGCGAGGCCGAGGAGGCGTTTTCGGAGGAATTCACGCATATGCGATGTAGGTCTTCCCCCCTGCATGTGAGCCGTCGCCAGAGGATGATCCCCGGACTAATTGCCTCGACCCAGACACCGCGGCCACCTGTGACCCCGACGAATTCACCCTGCGGAACGGATACAACCTGCGCCCGGCCATCTACAACCGACACACCGAGCTGTTGATCGCCATCACCTACTACAACGAAGACAAGGTGCTGACCGCCCGAACCCTGCACGGTGTCATGCAGAATGTCCGCGATATCGTCAACTTGAAGAAATCCGAATTCTGGAACAAGGGAGGTCCGGCCTGGCAGAAGATCGTGGTCGCTCTGGTCTTCGACGGTATCGAGCCCTGCGATAAAAACACCCTGGACTTGCTGGCCACCGTCGGTATCTACCAAGATGGCGTGATGAAAAAGGATGTAGACGGTCGCGAGACGGTCGCTCATATCGTAAGTTTGGCTTGATTTCCCGACCGAGCGCGTTGGGGCCGCCCCTCTGCGCCATCGTCATCCACTTTGCAGAACTAACGGTCGCAGTTTGAATATACCACCCAGCTCTCGGTCACCGCGAACCAGCAACTCATCCGTCCCCAAGGCAATGATTCCTCCAACCTGCCGCCCGTCCAGATGATTTTCTGCCTTAAGCAGAAGAACACGAAGAAGATCAACTCCCATCGTTGGCTGTTCAACGCCTTCAGTCGAATCCTGAACCCTGAGGTCGCCATTCTGCTGGACGCGGGAACCAAGCCCGGTAAAAAATCCCTTCTGGCCCTCTGGGAAGCCTTCTACAACGACAAAACTCTGGGCGGAGCCTGTGGTGAGATCCACGCGATGTTAGGAAAGGGCTGGGCCAAGGTCCTCAATCCGCTCGTGGCTTCGCAGAACTTTGAGTATAAAATTTCCAACATTCTGGACAAACCGCTGGAGAGTTCCTTCGGCTATGTCAGTGTGTTGCCCGGTGCCTTCTCCGCGTACCGGTATCGCGCGATCATGGGCCGGCCCCTGGAGCAGTACTTCCACGGAGATCACACGCTGTCGAAGCGACTCGGTAAGAAGGGTATCGACGGAATGAATATCTTCAAAAAGAACATGTTCTTGGCCGAGGATCGAATTCTGTGCTTCGAACTGGTGGCTAAGGCTGGTTTCAAATGGCATCTGAGTTACGTCAAGGCGTCCAAGGGCGAGACTGACGTGCCGGAGGGTACGGCCGAGTTCATCGGTCAACGTCGACGTTGGCTAAACGGATCGTTCGCGGCCGGTTTGTATGCCATGATGCATTTCGGGCGTATCTACCGCAGTGGTCACAGCATCATTCGGATCGCGTTCTTGCATTTGCAGATGCTATATAACTTCTGTCAGGTCGTCATGACCTGGTTCTCGCTGGGTAAGTGGATTGTTTTTTTTGACTCTGCATGCCGAAACTAACTTGAGCAGCATCCTACTGGTTGACCAGTTCTGTCATTCTCGATCTCGTGGGCACGCCTAGTCAAGGAAACAAAAACAAAGGATGGCCGTTCGGTAACGAGGTCACTCCTATCCTGAACAACTTCGTCAAATTCTTCTACCTGTTCTTCCTGATGCTGCAGTTCATTCTGGCCTTGGGTAACCGACCGAAAGGGTGAGTCCAGACTTCCGACTTTCCTTGGAGCGCCTGCTAACTGTGATAGAACGCGAATTCACTACACTCTATCGTTTATGTACTTCTCCCTGGTTCAAATCTACGTTCTGGTCGACTCCTTCTACCTGGTCGCGAGTGCCTTCAGCGGTGATATGATGGACTTCGACTGGGACCACGGTGTCGGACCCTTCTTGTCATCCTTCTTCAGTTCCAGCAGCGGAGGTATCGTGTTGATCGCCTTGGTGTCGACCTACGGTATCTACGCCGTCGCCAGTTTCCTGTACGCCGACCCGTGGCACATCTTCACCAGTTCCTGGGCCTACTTCGTGACCATGACCACGTCCATCAACATCCTGATGGTGTACGCCTTCTGCAACTGGCACGACGTGTCGTGGGGTACCAAGGGATCCGATAAGGCGGAGGCGCTGCCCTCGGCGCAGACCAAGAAGGACGACGGCGAGAAAAACAACTTCATCGAAGAATTGGACAAACCGCAGGCGGATATCGACAGTCAGTTCGAAGCGACGGTCAAACGGGCGTTGGCGCCGTTCATCGAGCCCGAGGAGGATAACTCGCCCAGCTTGGACGATTCCTTCCGAAACTTCCGTACCGCGCTGGTGCTGCTGTGGGTGTTTAGTAACCTGATCATGTCGTTGCTGATCACCAGTACCTCCGTGTCCCGCATGTGCCTGACAGTAAGTTGATCCCTTCCCTTGTCCGGAGGTTCTTCGTCGATCACTAACCGCTCCGAATAGAACACCTCCACCGGGCGAACGTCCATGTTCTTCCAGATCATCCTGTGGGGAACGGCGGGCCTGTCGTTCTTCCGATTCTTCGGATCGCTGTTCTTCCTGGCCAAGTCGGGTATCAAGTGCTGCGTCAACCGACGCTAAATCACTTGTCTTTTTTTTTTTCTCGATCTTTTTTTATTTGCCATTGTATGTATATGGGATGGGAGTGTATAGGGCGGCAAAAGGAACCCCGTCAGTTGATACGACGCATGATACCTAATCTGATGATTTGTTTTTGTTGATTGGGTTCAGACCATGTAGCTGTAGTTTTTATTTTAATCTTCTCCGGATAGACCTGAATTTAATATCTTTTATCCAAACAACTCCTATACTACTCCCTACCCACTTACAGACCTTCCACTCACACTCCGGTAGACTCAACAACGATTAAATTGAAGGAAAACTCCTCCACAACAACCCCAAACAACTCAAATTCCCAATCCACCAACAAATCCCCCTCAACTGACTCCATCCCGACCGATCAATCCCGATATACACCGCCGCATGAGCCAGTCTCGCCAGCGTGTACACCGCTACGCTGCGATTGATGATCGTGCTCTCCACCCCGGCCCAGCTGGCCATGCTCACGGCTCCGACCAGCAGCGTGTAGTTCTCTACTGCGTTCGCATGCGCTGCTTCGTTCCGATGTAGTCGGTCGAGTTGCTTCTGTGTGATCTTTCCGGATGAGACGGCGGCCGCGCCGTATTTTCTTAGGTCTTGTCGGGGGGAGACGTTGTGGTCGATGCCATAGTATTGTTTTAGTGTTCGTGAAGAGAGCAGTCCGTAGGCCCAGACGAAGTTGAAGATTAGTGCGTAGGGCGCGTAGTTAGGGACTGGAGAGGTGGGAGGGCTGGCGCTGAGGCCGAGCGCTGTGAGGAGGGTCATGTTTGACTGATTGACTGTCTTTTGTTTTGAGAATGTTGATGGTGATGTCAGCCTAGAATGGCGTCAAGTGCAGCTCTAGTGAACTTTATAGTTCTATGAAAATCTGACTCAGACTGTCTCCGTCGTCGTCGGGTTCGATCGGGAAAAACGATGGGGGCCGAAACTGCATCACGCTATCGATGAATCCTGCCGGCAGGAAAAGAATTGTCATCGCCTTGCTTGACCGGCTTGACTGGACCGATTATTTAACATGATCCAGATTGAATCGTATAATCAAAATCATACAATTTCGCTCGTTTTATACTAATCAAGAAGCCCCTGAAAATGCATAAATATCGCCTTCTTTCTCGCATAGTTAAATTGAATCAAGACCTTCATTCATTTGAATATGATCATATAAATCGGCTGAAAACTGCCACAAGAATGCAAAATCTGGGAACAGTTCTATGTCTAGCGGGCACGATCATATGTACAGTATAACATGTGAAAGACACGCTCTAGATGTGGAACCGTGGCGTCTCCCCTTGCGACCGAATATGCGCCACATCCACCAACCGACCCAAAATCACGTATTCCAGCTTCAACTTGATGCTGTACACCAGCGCTTTCATCGTCACTTGGAATGTAAAGTATCCGGCATACTGGATCGCCACGATCGATAGGTCCAGAAAGATGATCACCACGTTGACGGCGAGGAGTTGCGATAGCACGTTGTGCGAGATCCCGCCTCGGTCAAGGCGTAGCAGGCGCGCCGTCTCGCGGATGTAGATTGCCGAGAGGAGCAGTTCCTGTAGACAGAACCATACCAGCTGGATGCGTTCGATGATGCCGAACCCCAGTGTCACGCGCCGGGAGTCCGGGAGGGCGTTGTGTGCCAATTCCATGGCCGAGCAGGCGGAGTGGATGAGGACGCCGTCGAAGATGATGAGGTACAGGAGGGCCTTGAGGACTCGTTCGCGATGCAGGACCAGGTGGAGGCGCGACCACAGGACCAGCGAGTGGCCCGTTACCATGGCGCTCCATCCCACATCCACGATGGCCAGTTCTAGAAACCCGTTCGTGAAGGTGATGTTAAACAGGCGTAGGATGTATCCGAGGCCAAAGGGGATTATGGCGACCGAGGAGATGAAGAGGCTCCAGAAGTAACTGCCCTTGTAGCGCTTAAAGGTGTTGAGGCATAGTACGATGAGGTCGATGGCGTTGCACCAGGCCAGTGCGATGAACATCGGGTAGACATACTGCGCGACAGTGAAGGGGAGATGCGCCTCTAAGCCCGTACCCGCGCCATCTTCCTGACTAAAGCGGGGCATGGACGTGAAGGTGCAGATGGCGAGACGGCCATCTTGAGAGAGAGAATGTTTCTGTCGAGAGTTTTCAGGGGAAGAAAAGCACACGAGGATGAGAGAAGAGAGTTAAGCTTTCCATGGCTCCGGCTGGTCTGAGGCGTCACCATCGCTGCGTCGGGGAGGCGGTGTGTCCGGGCATTTCCCACGCCTTGTCAGCTGCTGGAGAGAACCCTACTTTTCCATACTCGTAGAGTGGTTAGGACGGAGTAGAACTTCGATTATGTTCCTTAGGTCGAGATTAAAGGCTGTATACGAGCTGTCCTTCCCCCGATCCCTCTGTAGCAGCAGCTGTCAAATCGCTCCCACGTGCAGAACCCCCGACGGCCACTGGCCGCGTCATCTCCGACTCGACAGTCAGATCGACATCGCCATGACTCGTTTCGGAGATGATAGTCTGCACTAACGTGCGGCCGGAGCGGAGTATAGGGGCTCGCGGGGACAAGTTTTTCTGTTCGCTGTTTGGTTTGACAATTCCGGGTTCAACGATGGCCTAAGTCGAACGGATAGATAGATAGATTGACTGTCATTATCGCTCCTTCCAGCGTCCATCTTCTCCCCACGTGGTTCACTATCCGCTGCCTCCGAGATCCCCGCTCACGGCGTCTCCGGTCTCGGACGGGATATAAAACGGCCATGGCTGCTCGTCGCTGCAATCCGTTTCGATCAGTCGGCGTATCCCAGACAACATCATGAGGCTCCTTTTCTTCTCGCTACCTCTCGCCTACGCACTCAACATCATCTCGTCCAACGACGATGGCTGGGCTGAGAGCAATGTCCGCGCCCTTCACAGCGCCTTGACTGACGCCGGTCATACCGTGGTGCTTTCCGCGCCGGCCGAAAACAAGAGCGGTTCCGGTATGCTCCCTCCTACAGACCTGTGCAAATTTTGTGCATAGACGAGTTTGCTAAATCAATACTAGGCTCCAAGGACGAAGAACCTACTGCTCTGACCGAGCCCTGTGAATACAACAGCTGTCCCGCCGGTAGCCCGGCGACGGGATACAACGAGTCGTCGCCGCAATTCAACTACGTCAACTCGTACCCCGTCACCTCGATGAACTACGGTATCGACACTCTGGCCCCCAAATTCTTTAACGGCGCGCCCGATCTCGCCGTGTCGGGTCCCAACGTCGGCGCGAACCTCGGCATCGCTGTCTTCTTGTCCGGCACCGTCGGCGCCGCCACTGCGGCCGTTGAGGCTGGAGTCCCCGCCCTCGCCTTCTCTGGCCGGTCGGGCTCGGCCACGGCGTGGAACGAAACCACTCCTGAATCGAGCACTTTCTACGCGGACCTGGCGACGAACTTCACCGAGCGCGTCGTGGCCAACGGGGCGCCGTACCTGCCGGACGGCACCTGGCTGAATGTGAACTTTCCGAAATTCGAGGATGGCTGTGAAAACGTCGGCGATGTCAAGTTCGTCCTGACGAGAATTCACACTGCCGTGCCGTTGATATCCGGTGATGATGTGGAAACGTGTGGCAGCAACAGGCTTCCTACGGAGACGAAGGCGGTCCTGTCTGGGTGCTACGCTAGCGTGTCGGTTGGAAAGTCGAGTGACAAGAGGGATACCAATGCGACGGTCCAGGGAGAGGTGCTGGAGAGATTGGGAGGATTGGCGTGTTTGGATTAGATAGAGTAGGTGTGTATAGTTAGGAGAACACATAGTACTTTTCTGCACGTGGTGGAGCGGAACATAAAACAATTGGATAATCTCGCACGAAGTAGTTATTCCTAATTGATACTGCGTATACAAATGACGAATAATGCCATAGACCTGTCATGCAACTATGGAGAATCAATATACGCGAAGATGAAGATACCCATTCATCATGGCGAGGCCGTCCACGGGTTAATCTACGAGACCAAATGCCGCGGAGCTCAATGCACCACAACACCAGAGATGCAGAGCTAACATGCAAAAAGGAATTCCTCCGAGAAACGTGCGCAAATTCTCCGATGATCAACTCCTCAGTTCCTGCAGAACCAAGATCCACCAACTACTAGTCCCCAGCTAGTGTACCAAGTATCTCCGCCAGTGAGCGTCCATCTTGGCACCACGCTGGCTGATCGTCAGGACGGGTGTGACGGACACCAACGGCCTTCAAAAAGGCTGTTCAGCTGTCACCGTTTGCCAATCTGTCTGTCAATCCTGTCAATCTTGCCTTTCGCTGTCATTTTGGCTTTTGTTGCCGTTATGCGTTTCTCTCTACTCGCTTTCTCCCTCGGGCTGGTCGCCCTGGTCGGAGCGGGCAGTATTGATCATGATAAAGTCGTCGGGTTTGCGGAGACCGTGCCCACTGGTACCACAGGGGAGGTTTACAAGGCTTATCAGCCCTATCTCAAGGTGGTGAACGGGTGTGTGCCATTCCCGGCTGTTGATGCGAGCGGAAACACCAAGTTAGTATAATCATTACGTCCCGTATAAACCCCGGAACTCAAACTTTCTATCACATTTTCAACTATCAGAAACAGAGTATACTGTGTCTAACAAGTCAAAGTGCCGGTCTCAACCCCTCCGGCGCTCCCTCCGCCGATTGCGCCTCCAGCACGGGTCAAGTTTACGTGCGCTCCGGCGACTCCTCATCTGGCGACGCCCACGCCCTGCTCTACGCATGGTACATGCCTAAGGACTCGCCTAGCACTGGGCTCGGCCACCGTCACGACTGGGAAGGCGTTATCGTCTGGCTATCCGACGCGTCCTCCACCTCGGCCGACAACGTCGTTGCCGTGTGTCCTTCTGCGCACGGCGGCTGGGACTGCTCCACGGACGGATACACCTTGCAAGGGACGCGCCCGTTGATCAAGTACGAGAGTGTCTGGCCGGTTAACCACCAGTGTGGATTGACGACCACGGTTGGGGGTGAGCAGCCGTTGGTGGCGTGGGAGAGTTTGCCTACGGTTGCGCAAACGGCGTTGACGGACACGGACTTTGGGGATGCGAATGTGCCGTTTAAGGATGCCAATTTTGCGAATAATCTGGGCAGGGCGACCTATTAGTAGTTATTGAGTGAACAGACCGTGGCTGAGTTTTTACTGGGCTTTCTGGGTTTTGTTTTGTTTAAATCTATAGTTCTTATTATGATTGACCAATTCAATGCGAGTTACTGCAGACAATTTACTGAAACTGAAAGTGATTACGAATAGTTATAGGTTGATATTAAGTCTATCTTCTGTCCAACCTAATATCCTACATCACCAGAACAAGCGAACGGCTTTTTGTCATGCAACAACCCCCTTCGGCAGATCAACTGCTTACTGGGAAGAGATGCACTGGGAGTAGTAAGGGTTGTACTTGTGGCAGGTGTATCCCTCGGGGCAAGCGGAGGCACCCTGGAAGTTCAGGCCACCGCACTGAGCGTAGGCCTTGTTGGCGCCAGAGGGGGCGGCCGAGGCGGAGGAGACGACAGAGGAGGACACGGGAGTAGACACCACGGGGGGCTGGCTGGTGACGGCGGGCTGAGTGGGAGCCGGGGCGCTGGTGGCGCTCACCAGGGTGGAGGGAGCGGGAGCCTGGGCGGGGGCGCTGGAGGCCGTTGGCACGGCAACCTTGGTGCTGGCGGCGGCGCCGCTGCCGACGGTGGCGGTGCCGGTGGAGGTCACCTTGGAGGTGCTCTGCTTGATGGAGGAGGCACCGGTGTACTGGGCGGGTCCGGGGACGGTGTAGGACGAGATGGAGGAGTAGATGTTCACCTCGATGCCGGGGCCGTCGGACTTGTAGAGGGAGGTACCGGCGACACCCTTGGGCTCGTCAGTGCCGGAGCCGGAGACCTTCAGGTTGAAGCACTGGGGGTAGTTCTGGGCACCTCCAGCAGTCTGGGCGCCGTGCAGGGCGATGAGCTCGTGACGCAGCACGTACTCGCCGGGAGCGATGGACTCGGGGATCTGCACGAGCCAGCTGTTGTCGTTGTCGATCAGCTGGTCATCACCCCAGGTGCCGGGGACCTCGGAGTCGTCGACGAGACCGACGCCATCGATCTTGAAGAACTTGAGCTCGGTCTTGTCAACGGTGGAGCAGCCACCGTCGCACTTGGCCAGGTAGTCGAGGACGGGGCCGTGGTGCGACTCGGGCCACTCGGTCCACTTGATGTTGATGCTGTCACCGGCCTTCACAGCAATGTGGCCCTGAGCGTTGGTGGCGTTCTGGTGGCAGATGATGTCCTCGGACGAGTAGTCGGTCACGAAACCGTTACCGGTGTTGGGGGTGGTCCAGGCAGCGACCTTGGGGGGGTTCTCCATGTAGGGAAAGCTGCCAATGTCGAAACCGGCGAAGGAGACACCGTTGACGACGACGTTGGTGACATGGCCGTGGGCAGCCACGCGAGTGGCAGCCAGCAGGGAAGTCAAGAGAGACACGGACTGGATGGAAGGCATCTTTTATGTATAAAGAATGTACTTTTCTGAAGTTGAAAAGATTGAATGTAAGAATGAATGAAGTTGACGGTAAGAAAGAAAGGAAGAATGAATGAATGCGGCCCGGCGCAAGGAATGAAGAACTCAGTCAATGAGTGAAGAAAGAATGAAGATGATACTCTCGAAAATCTGGAAATAGAGTGAGAATTTGACGTCCTTTTAAAGCCGTGGAGTCGGCGAAGCTACGAAGCAAGCTTAACCAGCGGAGGAATTCCACCGAGCCCAGCGTTGCAGATTGGCCGCCGTTGCCAATCAGAAAGGCCCGAAATAGCCCGGTGGAGCCGGCTGTCATTTAGCTGATTCTGATATCTCCCATATTCCCCCTGCATGCCGGTGAAATCTCTGCGGGAGCAGGTTGAAACTGTCATGAAACGGCCATGTGGCGGATAGATTAACCCTAGCCCTGCCCGGACAAACCGGTTTGACTCGACGCACTGCCGGTGAACCATGACATGACAGGCGATTAAACATTAAACATTAGTTATTAAACGTTAGACATGATTCAACCATTCAACCCAGCGCCAGCTGCAACAAAAACACACGAACGAAGGAAATTAAGGCTCGTCCACCCTCTTCCGCCCCTGCGTCTTCCTCGTCGATCGACGACACGCCCAGCACGCCCAGACAAACAGCGCCAAATGCAGCGCCCTAGATTGGTCCAAAATAGATTAAACTACCGGATTCAGTCGGGAGGGTCTAAAACCGAGAGCTTACCCATCCAAAAGGGCAATGGCGGCCCCAAACGCCTGCACCTGGCCGACGTTCGCCGCGCACGGGGCCTTGACGCACTGGTAGTCCATTCCGTATGGCTCCAACATCGCCAGCAAGGAGATGGTCGAACCCACCACGGCGCCAAATGCGAGGAAGTCCAGGGCAAGGTATATGCCCGCATGCAGGGGTCGATTGAACAGTAGTCGTACGATCAATGCGACCGTAGACCAGGCAAAAGCATAGGCCACCTAGGGGAAGCCGACCGAGCGTCAGTAAATGAATCAGGGCTGGGCTCCACCGACGATCACTTGCAGTTATCATGACTATGAGGCACATAGAAGAGCCATTGAAGTCGGTATAGACACTCTTATGGGCTTGGGTGGCCCAGGCAAAAACAATTAAGGCAATAAGCGAGCTCAGCACGGCGCTTATGCGCAGTGCCAAGATGATCGAGTGGCCGTCCTGCGAGAAATCTTTGGGTAGTTGCATTTTGAAAGATATCTGTAAATTTGGTTCTGAGACTACCATTTCAGCACAGTCGTTCGGTATGGGATTTATATCTAGAGAACCGTTGATGACGTGTGAACACGAAGTGGCTCAGCAACCAGTAAGGTTGATCGATCACCTGTTGCTGATTTACCTCATTCGGGGGATCGTCGTGGCGATGTTTTCCAGTCTTTGGATCGTGAATCTGGCCAATTATGAGGACAAGACTACCTATAACCTGTCCAGTCAGATTCAAACGTTCCCATGCGTTGCTTTTTTGTCTTTATATTCCCGATTTCCACGGGATGAGATGCGGATCGGGTGGCTGAGAGGTGTATAGACTTTAGCGCCTGCGTTGGGCCTCGCAGTTCAATGACGTAGATGTGTCGGCGAACTTCTGAACACCCTGAACGGAGTCTATCTTTTGAGGGCAATATATATACCTCTGCCAGGCAACATCAACATGCGCTGCCTCAATCCGAGTTACAATTAGAATATGCTCGTATGAAGCAGTCACACATGCTAGAAGACATCTTATGACGTTCTCTCATAATTTCTTTAATCTCATAAATCTCTCTGTCCTTATAAATGAATGTTGTGCAATAATTCGTAGGTGGCAGTGTCTTGGGTAGACTTTGTCCGGGTCTTGGCTCTGGTGGAGCTGCGCGCGCGACCGCAGAGCCAGCAAGATTGAACAGTGGAGTTGGGATGAACCGAATGACATGTCAAATCTAAGATACAGAGTACTATTCATGTACTGCGAAGCTTGCCTCTGGCTTCAAAGCACCCTCTAAATAATTATAGACAGGACACTGCTCGAGCAATACGGCGTACCCCATTATTACACAACGGACAGCTGTTGATCCTAGCGCAAGCACTGTTCTCGAGCTTCAGCCAACCACAGCGACTGGAGATTAAAGCGTAAGTGCTTTGCACAGGGCACCATGAGAGCCGCGATGTACGGTCGTCACCAACGGGCATGCAAGGGGATGCTAGGTACTAGGTAGGGTTTCTCAGGGCACGTGTGCGACCGAGCAAAGTCTTCTTGATTAATTCTCAACGACATGCAGACGTGGAAACGAAAGACTGGAGAACTTGACAATTCTCCGGTGCTCGTAGCCTGCCTCTGGACGCTGGGACACCCGCCCAGACCCTGGATTCCTTCGCCTAGCTGTCATCGTATTCGCCTCCAAAGGGGAGATTCTGGGCATGACAAACGGACCGGACGAGGATGATCTCATGCAATCTACCTCAATGACCGGAGGTCTTGGAGTCTTGGACTTCCCAATCACGGCAATTCCTTAGCTAAAATTGTCTTGGGGCCAAGACGCGGTCTTTTGTATCCCTCTTTGGTCTTTGTTGGCCCTCTTCGTCGCATGTCTCCTGCGTACTCGTACAGTACTTGGAGGTGCTGCTCGTCAACTCCCTAGAGTATTATGCAGAGATTTTTTAATTGGAGGGCAGATCGGGTCAATCCTCATTCAAGGTCGGTTTCTTAATAAATAGCGAAAGCCAGCCTCTAATCAATGCGAACCCATCCTTCTAATCCTCCAATACCACCCTGAAATTCCGCTCCGAATAAACGCCCTTCTTGGCGTCGCTCAGGCCATGGCGTCGAGGTCATCTGCTGAGCGTCCGCATGCAAATTTGAAGCCCATCATGTCATATTCAAGTCTTTTGATTTAAATCATCAACGAAAGAGTCCACGTGGAACGCGCGAAACATGTGGTGTCTGGTCAAGAGAAGCACACCTTTGCCCGTTCGGTAATTATTTCTGTGTATGCACTTCTTGGAATCTGTCGCTGAGAAGGAGATGCGTCATGTTGTCCTGTCAATCTGCCGATCCGGAAATTCCTAGCCACGGAATAATCTTTCAGCCCCCATTTTTCTGCCGTGCAACATCCCTAGGATTCGGTCCCCGGAGTCGAGAATCCTTTGTCCCGGTCTCTGCTATTCCGGCTCTCGTCAAGGTACTGCCAACGGGGACCAAGAAAACCTCTACCCCGGTCAAGCTGACCTCTTTCCCGTCAGGCTGGAATGGCAATGCAGACTTCTTGCCACAGATGGACAGGATCATCACTCGACAAAGGCCTTTTCTCTTGGCTGTCAATGACTGGTCAAACTCCCTCGGCGCCAAGCATGCCGAGCACTCTCTGCCTGCTGCATTCGCTGTTCTGTCGGAGGGGTGGCCTGCTTTTCTCTGTTGTTTGTTCAATCTCGTGTCTGACTCATGAGAACATCATTCGGATCGACCAGTTGTTTTTACCTCTTTTGTCTCCCCCAGATTCCCCAGTCTCGTATATCTTGGCGCCGGTTTTCCCGTTCAATATCGACTGGTTCAACACTTAAGGCTCAACACGAAGACCGACTTAACCCTCGGCGCCACCGACTTAAAGCTCGGCCATCTTCCAGCACTACCAGCCCTGCCCCTGCGCCGTCGACGTCGTACGCGGCATTTTTAACCGGTCTGGTTGCACGGAACTGGCCGTCGCGCCCTCCTCAACCCATCAGGCTGACGGCCAGGATTAAGCCATCTGCAGCCTAAGAGCGCCACGCTGCGTTTCTTTGGACTCTAAGCCTCTTGGCCTGGAGACGGTGGGGAGACCCTCCCGAGGAGTGAGTCTGGAGTCTGGAGAAAGACCAGTCACTTTCTGCGGGGATGGAGCCTTGGAGAACTTTTTCCTTTTTTCCCTTTTGTTCTATTCGAGCCTGAAGGTTGCATGTCATCCATGGCTAACCCCCCTGTTTGTTGCATGAGGCAAACGGGCGACGTTAAAAGCGCCCGCATCGCCTCCCTGGGCATGTCTCTTGCCCCAGAATTTTCTCTCCTCTGTGCCCTCTCATTTGCCTATCGTCTTTCTTCTGATCTTCGATCTCGATCTGCCCCTCATTGACCCCTCGCCATGGGTGAGAAACCTTCCGACCCTGAGGCTCCCGTCGAGACCTCCAACCACCTGGAGTCGTCTGTCTCCATTGAGAAAGAGAATGCAGCGGACCTGGCTCGCCAGTGGTCGCGCGATGTGAAGAAAGATCACGCTGCCCCGGTGACCCAGAACAAGAAGCTCAAGAACCCTCTTGCCGGTCTGTCCCAGGAGGAGCTGTTCCGCGATGTCGAGGAGTTTGCCCGCGAAAAGAACCTCGAGCATATCTTGGAGGATCTCAAGAAAGGCGCTCTAGTGGCCCAGGACCCGAAGATCTTCGAGCAGTTGGACGGGTTGGAGGAACGCGATAAAGAGCTGTTGCGACGCGAAAAGACCCATCGCTGGCACCAGCCATGGATGATGTACTTCATGACCAGTAAGCCCCCATCCTCCCCTCTCAACATTGGGGCCTTTCGAGTTGGCTAATGTCATGTAGTTCTCTGTGCTGGATCCGCTATCGTGCAGGGTATGGATCAAACCGCCGTCAACGGTGCGCAGGAGTTTTACTTTGACGAGTTCAACGTCACCAATCGGTGGCAGCAGGGCCTGTTGAACGGCGCGCCGTATCTCTGCTCAGCCGTCATCGGGTGTTGGACGACCGCGCCGCTGAATCGCTGGTTTGGCCGTCGGGGCTGTATCTTCATCTCTTGCTTCATCTCCTTTGCCGCCTCCTTCTGGATGGCTGCGGCGCACACCTGGTGGAACTTGTTGCTGGGTCGATTCCTGCTAGGGTTCGCTGTCGGTGCCAAATCCACCACCACCCCCGTGTACGGTGCTGAGTGCGCGCCGTCTAACATCCGTGGCGCGCTGGTGATGATGTGGCAGATGTGGACAGCCTTCGGTATCATGCTGGGTTATATCGCGTCGGTCGCTTTCATGGACGTGCACAGCGATAGCCTCGTCGGTCTGAATTGGCGACTGATGCTAGGATCTACTGCTATTCCGTATGTCCCTTTCTCATATCCATCTCAACCCTGATGACTAATTCCATTTCAGCCCAATGGTTGTTTGTACACAGGTTTATTTCTGCCCCGAGTCCCCTCGATGGTATATGATCCGGAACCGCTACCAGGATGCATTCAACGCGCTCTGTCAACTGCGTCCTTCAAAATTCCAGGCCGCTCGAGACCTGTACTATATTCACTCGGCATTGAAGATTGAAGAGAAGATGCGCGAGGGCAAGCAGCTCTGGCGGGAGATGTTCACCGTGCCTCGTAACCGCCGTGCCGCCCAGTCTTCCTTCTTCGTCATGTTCATGCAGCAGGTATGTTCCTCTGGCAGCTCTCGTTTGTTCGGTAGCAATCTGACTCTTTCGTTCATTAGTTCTGCGGAGTCAACGCTATCATGTATTACTCCTCGTCCATGTTCCGCGATGCCGGTCTGTCCCGTCGCGTGGCCCTGGTCACCTCGCTGGGCTGCGGTATCACGAACTGGATCTTCGCCTTGCCCGCCGTCTACACGATCGACACCTTCGGTCGTCGGAACCTGCTGCTGACCACGTTCCCGCTGATGTCGCTCTTCCTCCTCTTCACCGGTTTCTCTTTCTATATCCCTGAATCTTCGCAAACGGCCCGAACCGCTTGCGTGGCCACGGGTATCTATCTGTACATGATTGTGTACTCGCCCGGTGAAGGTCCGGTACCTTTCACCTATTCTGCAGAAGCCTTCGTAAGTTTCTTTTCTCTGTTCGGAGCATACTTTTCGCGACTAATCGACCTCTTTAGCCTCTGTATATCCGTGATGTAGGTATGTCCTTCGCCACGGCCACCACCTGGGGTTTCAACTTCATCGTCTCCCTCACGTGGCTGCCGCTGCGAGACGCTTTCACCCCGCAAGGTGCCTTCGGATGGTACGCGGCGTGGAACTTCTTCGGCTGGATCTTCTGTTACTTCTGCCTTCCCGAAACCAAAGCGCTGTCTTTGGAAGAACTGGACCAGGTCTTCTCCATCCCGACGCGCAGACACATCAACCATTACTGGGGGATGTTGCCGTGGTATTTCAGGAAGTATATTCTGCGGGGCGACGTGCCGCCGCAGAAACAGCTCTACGATTATGAGTAGACCGCCAAGGGGATAAATAGTGCCAAGGGGACGGGGAGATTCTAGTATGTGTGCTGCGTTAGATAGGTTGTGGTTTAATGTGCTGTGATGGACGTGTATGAGCTAATTTGTTGTTTCTCTGTGGTTCTGTTTTCGTTTTTCCTTTCGTGGTTTTTCGGCGATGACCGAAAGCTGAAGGGGAGTAGATTGCTGTCGTTTATACCCGATATACTATTTTACTTATGTCCTATGGATAACCTAGTGGAACTCATAATGCCTTCTATTTCATTGCTCCCAGTCCAGTTTAGTCCGGGGTTCGATATCAAACCGTGTCCAAGTCCAAGGCACACGTGTAAAGGAAAATTCTTTCATCTGCCCATGTATCTGATCGAGGAATTCCCGGCCCCAGACCCTCTCGGCCAGATTCCATTATTAATTGAGTCCACCGACGAAACAGCTGTATGTCGATCCCTGCGATAGGGGCGGCAGGCTCGAACGCAGGTTCGTCTAGCAGATGGAGACCACGGAGCAGAAATAACCTTTGAGAACCGGAATCGAGCTAGACAAGACTCCATCCGATCGAGCATGCTTCGAATAGTTCAAGGGAGGTGGAATCGCGAGAGCATCTCCATCCCGAACAAGGAAGATCGCCCAATCGAACAGCCGAGGTCCCGCCCGGCAGAATATATCAGCAGTGATTGGATGATGATTCTGCAGGACCCATGCATCTAGCCCATTCAGGCTAGCGTGGTGGCGGGCGGCTGTAGCTTGCCGCGGCTTCCCATTGGCCCCGAACACACCCCCTGGCGGGCGCCCCACGTGGGGTGGATGCCTTGGGCCACCCATTACCTAACGAAAAGCGGCGACTCCCACACACTCAGGCACCGAATTTGCAGAATTTCACGGTCTGGGTGAGTCAGGCCATCGGCGGTGGTTGTTTCAGCTCTTCGCTGGCTCTGGATCCTGGATCCTGGAACTTTCTTTGTCGGCTTTCCCTTATCTCGCGATTCCACTGTAGCTAGCTTCCTTGACTTGGTCGGATGGCCCAGTAGGTTATCGGTATATCCATTATTCTCTTCTGTTCGTGGGTCTCGGTTTTTGTTTTTTTTTTTTTTTTTCTTTTCTTTCTGTCCCCTCTTCGCGACTAGCCAGTGCGGCAGAGATTCGGAAACTCTCCTTTCTGTTTGTTAAATGGGAAAGAAAATCTGTTGAATCTGATTCCCGGCAGCAAATCCTTTTCTCTTCACGCACCCTGACATTCAAATCATCAAAACACCAGCAGAAATGCAAGCAACTCACCAGTACGATTTTGAGGCCGAGGCCGGCACCCATGATGCTGAGAAGCAGCATGACAAGAAGGATCCGCTTGAAACCTCTCGGGATCCGCTCGACACCACTCAGGATACCTTCGGAGACGAGGAGTATGCCGAGGTGAAGTACAAAGTGTTGAGCTGGTGGTAAGTGCATCTCCTGTTAGCACGCAACACCGCTGTTTATATATTAACTGTCATTGTTTAGGCAATGCGGCTTCAGTGAGTCCTGTCGTAGTTTATATGCCGTGTTAATTAATTACTGACCCATCTTAGTGATGGTTGCTGAGACCGTGTCTCTGGGAATCCTCTCCCTGCCTGCAGTGGTGGCTGCTCTGGGTCTTGTGCCGTAAGTGCTTGGTTTATCTGAGACCTGACCTAGGGGTTTACTAACCTTGTCCAGGGCCATTATCTTGATTATTGGTATTGGCGCTATTGCTACCTATACCGGCTATGTCATTGGACAATTCCGGGAGCGCTACCCGCACATCCAGAGTATGGCTGATGCTGGTGAAGTGCTCTTGGGTGCTGTCGGCCGTGAAATTATGGGCACCGGCCAGCTTTTGCTGCTGGTGTTTATCATGGCAAGCCACATCCTGACTTTTACCGTGGCTATGAACTCGATCACGGATCATGGCACTTGCTCTATTGTGTTTGGTGTCATCAGCCTGGTCGTTTCGTATCTCCTCTGCTTGCCGCGGACGGCGACCAAATTGTCTTATCTTTCAGTGGCTTGTAAGTTGTCTGATCGGTGTTGGCAATCCCATCGTATGTATCTTTAACCCGTTTGTTAGCTTTCGTCAGTATCGTCTCGGCTGTCATCATCGCCATGGTTGGTGTCGGTGTCAATAAACCATGGGATGGCCCGATCCACGCCACTGTCGATACCAGTCTTTACAAGGCCTTCCTGGCCGTCTGCAACATTGTTTTCTCCTTCGGTATGTTCAAGTTCCTTGGCCTGTTGGGAAATTTGCTAACATGGAGATCCAGCCGGAAATGTGGCTTTCTTCGGTTTTATATCCGAACTAAAAGACCCCAAGGAATACCCCAAGGCTCTGTTCCTGCTGCAAACCACTGACACCACGCTATACGTTGTCGTTGCTGTCGTGATCTACATCTATGCCGGTGACGACGTGACTTCGCCCGCCTTGGGATCGGCCAGTCCGATCGTGCGGAAGGTTGCTTATGGTATTGCATTGCCGACGGTAAGTCTTCGATCTCTTGGTTTTATTTAGACAAATGCTTACGATATCGTAGATTATCATCGGCGGTGTCGTCGTTGGCCATCTTGTCTGCAAGTATGTCTACGTGCGTATCTTCCGGAACAGCGACCGGATGCACAAGAAGGACCTGGTGGCCACCGGATCCTGGGTGCTGCTCTCTCTGACACTTTGGATCATTGCTTGGGTTATTGCCGAAGCTATTCCCGTGTTCAGCAACCTTCTCAGTCTAGTGGTTAGTTTTACCTTTGCTCATTGAGGTGATATCGAGACTAACTTGCATGTTCTAGGCATCGCTGTTTGCCAGCTGGTTTACCTGTACGTTTTCCATTCTGGTTCCCCAATATTTTCCCTCAGTGGAAGCCAAATACTAACAATATGTAACAGTTGGCGCTAGCGGCTTCTTCTGGCTCTTCCTCAACAAAGGACGCTATTTCTCCTCCCTACGTAAAGGCTTACTTACGATCCTCAACCTAATCATTATTGGCATTGCGTGCACTGTGGTATGTTGCTCTCTTTCCCTGCATATATGCATCGGCCTGTCTATTCTGAACGCATGCTAATATATCATAGTGTGGACTTGGTCTGTATGTCTCGGGTAAAGCGCTGCACGATAACCCCAGCAGTGCCAGTTTCTCGTGCGCCAACAATGCGTGATCGTACTTGAAATCTTCGGTATTTGGTATCAGCTGAGCTACGTTGAATGGGTCTAGGAAGCATGTACATGTATAATTGATGTATATAAACATTTAGAAAGTAAAGTTAATTGCATAATTGAGTTGAATCACGAATATTGTCTGTCTATGAAGATGTAAGGTATATACAATTGTAGCACGTACTGTACCTACGGAATTATCTTCTACCTGTGCAGAAGACTGGCTGAAGGGTGATGGTTGGTTTCACGATATGTTTAGGCCAAAAGATCCAATGTTAGGGAAGAGAGATATATATAAGTTCTTGTGCTGCATCTACCGGCAACCACAGAAAGGAAATGGAATAATGGTTGGATAGGAACGGAGTAATACAAAATAAAATCGAGACTGTTGGGAACTCAGGCTGCACGATGTACTACTACAATGCCTAGAGCCGTATACACAGATACAAGAAGAGAGCAAGAGAGAAGGCAAGAGAGAGAATCATGTGGAAACGATGGATGTGTTGTATATTGGGTGGCCGATGTGGCCAACTATCGAAGATATCTAGCTTACTAAGTGATGACTAAGCGAGCTCGAACCCCAGGGCAGGCGGAAGGGTACGTCCCGATGTTCCAACACCCCCCCTCGAGCGAGCGAGTCATCATGAAAACGAATGAAAACGAATGTAAATACAGAGATTACTTGTCTTCACGTTGAAGACCAAGTAGCTGAACAAAACGAGAGTGGGCTTCAGATCCCAGAGGCTTGGTGCAGCCATCTGCAACCATATCGGCTGTAGGGATCTGCTTGACTTGAATGATGCCTTGATCAATCATATCACGCGTGTAATGGTATCGAATATCAATGTGCTTTGACCTTTTAGTCTGCATGTCAGAGGTAGTGAGGTCAATAGCTCCTTTGTTATCCATATGCATCGGAATGCAAGGCGCAGGTGATTCGTTGAACAATCGAAGATCTTTCATGATTTCACGGATCCAACAGGCTTCTCGTGAAGTTTCTGATGCAGCAATGTACTCAGCTTCGTTAGAGCTAGTTGCTACACATGTTTGACGTTTTGCTTGCCAGGCAATTGGTCCTCCTGCAAGCTTGAAAACGTATCCACCCACTGATTTGCGGGCTTTGGTGTGCGGACCTCCCCAATCAGAGTCACTGTAAGCTTCTGGGGTTCCTGTGCCAGCTGTAGCTGTAGGATTATGTTGATATTTGATCCCGAGGGTGCGCGTGCCCTTTAGATACTTGATTACATGCATAAGGGCTGCCCAGCATTTCGCTGTAGGTGCTGCATTGAATTCTGCAAGGAAGCAAGCTGCTCGACTAATATCTGGCCTAGTTTTTGTAGCGAGATACTGCAGGCTGCCTGTGCCGCGCTGAAATTCCTTGATGTTGATTGTCACATCTGGAGAATCATCAATGACGGTTCCAGGATCAAGAGGTGACTTGGTTGGGTGAGCATCGTGTAGCCCGAAAGAATCAATCAATTCATTGATAGTGTCTTCCTGTGACAGTTGGATGCCCGTAGGGATTAACTTAACATTCATGCCTAGATATCGTTTGATTTCAGGCACGTCTTTAATTTCAAATCGAGATTTCAGGTCTTCAAGTGCTTGTGTAGCATCTTGAGCATCTTCTCCAATAATCATGAAGTCATCAACATGAGTGGTGATATACAGCTTCTTTGTAGCATGTACGAATAGACCTGAGTCATGAGGTGAAACTTTGAATCCAATAGATTCGAGATAAGCTCGTAGATCATCATACCATAGGCGTGCAGACGGAGTAAGGCCGTAAAGGGACTGACGGAGTGAACAAACTAGAGTGCCTGGTTCCCCTTCGGTAAATCCGAGCGGTTGGTGCATATAGATTGGATGACCTTTTAGCTTTGCATTCAGAAATGCAAGAACTGCATCTGCTTGAATGATATGCCAGCCTTTCTGGGCGCTGACAGCAAGCAAGATACGAGAGGTAATAGGATCAATAACTGGAGCGTATGTTGTCCCTTCAAAAGTTGATTTATCAAGGAGATTTCCCCTAACAACCCATCGTGTTTTGTAACGAATTGAATCATCAGGATTGAGTTTCTTCTTGTAAACCCATCTGCCTGGTATGGCGCGTGTGCCAGCAGGCATGTCAGACTTTCGAATTAAGTCCCAACAATGTTTTCTTTTCAAGGTGTTAACCTCCTCCTGCATTGCTTCAAGCCACTGCTTTGATTCAGAGCCTTGGATAGCCTCGCGGTACGATTTTGGCTCGGGAAGAGGTGATTCACTTGATTTAAGGATTGCAAATCCTTTGGCTGGTCGATAAAACACATCTCTAGAGGTAATAGCTGTAACATCCTCTGTGGGCAAGTCTTCTCTGGTGTTTGAGACCTTAGAAGGTTCGTTGGTCTCAGATCTCTGTAATAGAGGTTTGAATTCCTCATTAATCGAAATGTCGCTGGTTTGGCGAAGCTGATTGATCTCAGGGTCCCAGACAACATAAATGTGGGAGCCTTGGTATCCAACAACATGGACTTTCTTTGCACGAGGATCAAGCTTGCTTGTTGGCTTGCCTGCAGACTTTGAAGCTCCATGAAGGTGCATCCAAGCAGGTGAACCGAACTTGGTAAGATGCTTGATATCAGCAGTACCATTCGTCCAAGCTGAATATGGCGTAATGTGCGTACATGGTTGAATATTGGGATCACTTATTGGTGCCATAGGCTTTCGGTCATTGTACAGTGGGACTCTCGTGGAAGTTCGATTTAGATGATGGACAGCAGTCTGTAGAGCTTGTGGCCAGAGCCAACGTGGTAATCCAGAATCGTATAGGGTTGCACGCGTACGTTGCAGAACCGTTTGAATTCCACGCTCGCTTACACCATCTTGCCATGGAGAATCGGCTGTAGTGGGTTCCCAAACAATGCCATAGGTCTGGCAGATCGTTCTAACTGTTTCAGTAATGAATTCGCGATCACTTCGGACGAAAGCTGGTGAGTTAAATCCTTGATTCTTAATGTGCTTGAGCCATCCTTGAAAGGTAGGAATAGCTTCATCCTTTGTACGAAGAGTATAAACCCATCGGAATCGAGTGGCATCATCAGTAATCAGCATAAAATAGCGAATATTCTTGATACCTGGCGGTGCTTCCTCATCTTTGCAATCTAATGTGGCGCCACCACCTGCGATATCAATGTGAATTCGTGCCAGGATCTTTGTGGCACGTGAAGCAGGGTCCTTGGTACTCTGTCTTTTCTGTTTTGCTTGACTGCAGATATCACAGAAAGCTAAAGTCTTTGGGCCTTTTATCTTCAAGATCTTCTGTTGCGCAAGTTTCAGTATCGCGCGAAAATGGATGTGGGATAGGCGTCGATGCCATTCCTCCATAGTTGCTGTAGGTAATGCAGCAGGATTGTCTTCTTTTTGATCATTCCTTTGCACATCTTTCGTACGGTGTTCTGATTTCACTGCGCACGCAATTGGTTTGACCTGATAAAGGTCTGTATTCTCCTCTGGGTGAGCACTGAGAGACGCTCCTGTAGGTGTTCTAATAAGGAAATACTTCTCATTGACTGCACCGAGTAGAGATATGTCAAAATTCTGCTTATCCAGCTGACGGAAGGATAGCAGGTTCGCCTTCATAGTTGGTGAATACCGAACATCAGAGATCTCTATACCATAGACAGATATAGTACCGATTCCGGCAATCCGGTGTGTATGACTACCAGCATCATCGATTGCTGCATTGTATTCTTGGAGGTTGCTGAATATATCATATCGATTTGATACGTGAAAGTCTGCAGCAGTATCTAAGAGCCATTGAGGTTCATTAGGCTTCTTAATCTGGGTCACAATAATCGAGTTTGCTTGGGAATTGTTCCGTAGAACTAGTTCCTTGCTGATTGCTTGATTCTTTTCATCACTTGTGGTTGCATTTGATGTTGGATTTTCATGGCGTTTGGGAGCCTTTTCTGGATGAAGTGTCCAACAGTCATCTGGCTTATGGTATCCTTTACCACATGCTTGACATCGTGTCTTTGTACGTGTAGATCTTTGATCCTGACTATCACGTTTCGTTTGGGGAGAATCTTTCAATTCAGTAGGGCTCAATCGGAGTTTTGTCTCAAGCTTGAATTCTTGAGGATTCTGAGGAACATATTTGTTGCTTGATGCTGAGGAAGGTGCACGAGCAACTAGTTGATCTGCAAGAGTTGCTATGTTCAGGTTCTTGATCGGTCCTCGGCCGCTGGAATAGAACTCATCTAGCTTTGTACGAATGAAGTTCTGGTTCCATTGACCTAGGGAACAAATGAAAATATCGTGAATCAAATCATCGGTTGTTAGATTCATTCTGCGGAGCTTTGCTGCAATTCGCTGAAAGTCACGTATCATTGCTGGATAGTTGCCTTGAGGGTTGATATCCAATAGGGCTTTTACAGTCATAATTCGCTCCTCTGCTGCAGATAGGCCATAGGTTGATGTAATCCTAGCCCATATTTCGGCTGCTAGCGTTGAATCTTCCCAGCTGATTGTTTCTCGAACATGGGATGCAATTGTTTGGAGAATTCTTGTATGTAGGATCTCGTTCTTTGTCTGCCATCTGGCAATATCAATTTCGTTGCTGCCGTCTGGTGGGTTGGTTTGATCAAGGATTTCCTTGGCCTCGATCATATGGGCATCCATTTGAATTGAATCGCGCCATGTGGTGTAGTTGTCTCTTCCATTCAAAGTAGTTGGTTTTCTGGTTCCAAACTTTGATTTGGCCAATTTCCGGATATGTTCCTGCTCACGGTATACAAGATCTAGTTGTCTAATCTCCGCATTTCGCTCGTAGGAGGTATCCCGATTGGTTTCTTGGTGTTGCTGCTGTGTAGAGGGCTGATGTTGCTCTGCATGCATTTCACGCCTGATTTCTTCTCGTAATTGCTGGGCCATCTCCTCACGTAATTGACGGAGTAATCCTGCCCGCATGTCTTCCATCATGTTAGATGGTTGATCTCCCGATCGTTCTTTGTCGGCTGAATCGTTCGATCTTCGGTCGGTAGATATGGGTGTCTCCGGCGCATATGTATGGTGTCTAGTTGTCATTTGAAATGGTATTTCGTTTGATCTGGTGCCTCGTGAGGCTTTTGGTGGCATTCTAGCAAAAGGTGCTTTTGTTGTGGTCCCGATCCAGGGGTAAATCCACGAAATTGATGCTGCCCCCCCTCGTACGGGTTTAGGGTGCAGAAAATTGGTATAGCAAGTTGCTCAGGGCTTCAGGAATCGATTCTGCATATCCTGATCTAGCAAGAAGTCGAATTCCTTGAGCTTAGAGGGGTCATAACCTGTGGAAACGATGGATGTGTTGTATATTGGGTGGCCGATGTGGCCAACTATCGAAGATATCTAGCTTACTAAGTGATGACTAAGCGAGCTCGAACCCCAGGGCAGGCGGAAGGGTACGTCCCGATGTTCCAACAAATCACAGGAGTCACGTGGTGTCCGGCCGGCCGGCGGCCTCGCTGCCTGACCAGGAACCACCGCCCTGTCAAAAGTTATTGCTGCAATCAAGACTCGGTTGATTACGGATAAGTTGAAAAGGTATTCGGGACATTGGAGTAATTAAGGATGTTTACTGCTAGGTTCTTGGAGTTTGCATTTGTTGTTGCGTTAGTGTTAGTGTTCCTGTAGCTTCCGTGATAAATATATACCCACCGCGTTCTTGAAGACGGTATACCCTGCTAGTTGATAGACAAAGCATTCTTCAAAGCTTCATGGACACAGACCGGAGCGACGACAAGAGATTCTACAAGCATTCGATCTTCATACAACATGAACCTGGGACGGCAGCCTGGATGCCTGACGCGGCGAGTGGATCACGTGCTTTTGCTTGGATCTGCTGCCTTAGGCACTAGGCACTCGTACGCGGGCGCGTCGTCTCCCTCTCTCTTGTCACGGGCTTGGCAGTGAGTAGGTGCGCTTCTACCCGCCAAGACCGTTTAGTAGGTCTGTTGGACGTTTTACCAACTGAGCTACTAAAAAGACCAGAATACCAAGTCAACGACTTGGTACGCGCATCGCTCTATATAGTGGTTCTCGGTCAGTTCGTCACATCTCTCTCTCCCCTCCTCTCCGCGACGCATCTCACGCCCTTCATCTACGATGACCAGCCCTGAGAAGATGATGTTTTCTTTGTTATTTTCCTAGTATAAAATGACTGACAAGATGACTAGAACAACCATCTCCTGTCGTACTTCGTTATCATGGCATATTGCAGGTATATTGGCTCAGAATAAACCAGAAATCAAAGCGCTCAATAGCAGTATCGGAACTTGCGGTTCTCGAAATCAGTCAGATCTTGCAAAACGGATCCATCCGTACCCATTCCACTGACGGTCCCCGGTCCTGCGTGACGAGCTTGCTCATCTCGCTTTTTATTCCGCCGAACGAGCAGCGATCGGAGTGCGACGGCGATGACTACCTGACCGCACGTGCATGCGATGATAACTTTACAGCCGGTCTGGTACACAGGGGCCTCGGTCGAGAGAAAGGCATGCGGGCCGATGATGTTTCCAGCGCAGTAGGCTAGAAAGACAAACGAGGTGCTAGTGACCCGTTTGGTGTAGCCGCTGACGTTCATCGCCGGCAGCTGGAGCGCTAGCACGAGGGAGGACACAAATGAGGGAGCCTATTTGGTCAGTCAGGGGGTCTTCACGGAACGCGTTCAGGGAAGGGTCGCGAGATTTACAATATAGTACGCCATCAAGAGTCCGTTTTCCTGGCTCCCGTCGCGCGGCAGCTTCCAGAACAAACACGCGGCGACCAGCGTCGGACAGACGTAGGCGATCATGACGTACGTCCGGATATTGGTGAACCGTGTGGCCAGCCACGATCCGCTGAGGATGAATGCGGCCTGCCAGGCCCCGTACGGGATACCATAGACAGTGGTCAAGAGGGCGTCACCCCCCGTGAATCCCTTGACGATGAGCTTGCCGAAGTTGGCCAGTCCGCCATTGACGCACTCGTTCAACAAGACAAAGAAGAAGAGAAGCCAGACTTGCGGATCGGACAGCGCCTCCCAGACTTGTGGCGTTTTGATCATGCGTGTCTGCTTGCCCGTTTGATTGCCGTAGCTCCGGGCAACCAACAGGGCCTTTTGCTCGACCGTGTAGAATTGGGCACTGACGATGGTGTTGGGCAGGAAGAAGAATAAAACGACTCCCCAGCAGACGGTGATGCCGCCACAGAGGATGAAGATGATGCGCCAGACATCCCATCCTTTGGCCTGACCGACGCCGTAGAACAACAGACCGCCGACGATGCTGCCAAAGCCGTTGAAACAGTAGAAAAGTCCCGCCCGGACGGGCTGCTCGGACCGCGTGTACCAGGTACTGACAAGCAGCATGAAACACGGTGTGATGGGGGCCTCGAAGGCGCCCAAGAGGAACCGACAGACCCCAAGTCCGGCGAAGCTGTGCGAGGCGGCAGTGCAGCAGAGGATCGAGCCCCAGCAGATGACACAGATGCTGATGAAGGTGCCCGTGGGGAAGCGTTGGGCCAGGTAGTTGGCTGGCCACTCGCAGCTGAGGTAGGCGAAATAGAAGATACTGGCTAGCCAGGAATACTGGTCGGAACTAATGCCCGTGTTGTCGAAGAGATCGAAAACGGCGCCGTAGGACAGCGCCTGCTTGTCGATGTACTGCAGCAGATAGGTGCCGCAAAGCAGCGGCATCAGCAACCAGTCCACCCGACGGACCAGCCGCTTCTGTGCTTGCTCGTCCTGGAGGAGCTCCTCTAAATCGCCTCGCCGGAGATTGTGGATGCGCAAAAATTCCTCCCCATCACCAGAGGAATCCAGTTCTCCGACGGCCACGCTGTGGGTGTCACCTCGAAACTTTTCCTTGGAGAGCGATTTCTCATCCGCGACCCGATCTACCAACGTGGGAACCTTCTCCCCTACATCTTGCGTCTCCGCATCGGCGGAGGGGTGGGCCGTCATGGTAGCTGCACTGAAGAATCAAGCTCTGAAATGGAGTCTAATGTTGGTCGAGAACGGCTCTGAACCGTCTCCCCGCCGGCAAATGGGTCGGAGGGGGCACATAAGTAAGGAATCCCCCGTACGACGCCAGTGCGATTGGAGTTTAGTCGGTGCTTTTCGAAGGTCCGTGGGGAAGATCTTAGCATGTAATCCCCTAGTTATCAGCCTATCTCTCCTTGAGGCATGATAAACGTCTGTCTTATCTGACCGGCAATCAACGATGCCGAAAAAGAGGGCGACCCTTTCCCGCCGGTTGATCGGCCGCTCGCCACGAGCTAGATGCAGTGCTTGCACAACCGCCCTGCCCACCTAGAACATTCCAAGTTTATTTACCTAACCCTCAATGAGAGAAACCAGACATTAAATCGCTTGGCAAGCTATGACTCGTTTTGTAATTTTCTTACATTTTCAGCTTCCTTTACACTGCGTGTGTTTTGATACACAGACCTCTTCTAGTGCAGAATACGTGGGACGCACGCTTAAAGAATATTAACTACCATTCCCATAATTTTTACCTTTTTTATGCTTATTCTTTATCTATCTTGCAATACATAACTATTTGACTATAAATCTCGCCAGGCATGTTACATATGCGTTGTGTTTGTGTGTAGTAGTTTGTGACTGAAAAGGAAGAAGTCAGGTTCATTACAGGTGGGGAAAGGATGAACTAGGGTATAATTTTAGCAACAGCAACAAGTTCAGTCAGGTGCTGCATCATGAGTCTTGGTTGAATTAGGACACAGCGCCAGATTAAACCCGCATATCATCGTCTTTGGAAGAAATTCATGAAGACTCGCCGTTTGCGGCCGACGGGTTTTGAAGCTGAGGCAATATGATCTTTGGCAATAGTTTGCACCGAGGTTAGGTTTGGCGGACTATATAATAAAGCACGTAGTTGCTGACTTTCTGAGGGCTGGTTTGCTGCTGTTTCCCAGTCACGAAGGGCATTGAATGAGAATATAACGTGTGGATGATGCGAGCCTAATATATTGTGGCGGAGGCCTGCACATTTCCTAAGAAAGTTCAAGGCATCAGAGACCTTCCCTAGTTGTTTTAGAGTAAAGGCAAGGTTTTGCATGCTTGTTAGAGTATCAGGATGCTCAGGACCAAGGACCTGCTCATAACCTTGGAGTGCTTGTCGGTGCATGGCCTCTGCCTCCTCATACTTGCCCTGGTCATCAAGTACTGAACCAAGATTGCTAACACTGGTTAGAGTATCAGGATGCTTAGGACCAAGGACCTGCTCATAACCTTGGAGTGCTTGACGGTGCATGGCCTCTGCCTCCCCATACTTGCCCTGGTCATCAAGTACTGAACCAAGATTGCTAACACTGGCAAGAGTATCAGGATGCTCAGGACCAAGGATCTTTTCTGACCCTGCCAGATCCCGTCGGTGCATGGCCTCTGCCTCCTCATACTTGCCCTGTCGTGCAAGTACTGAACCAAGATTGCTGACACTGGCAAGAGTATCAGGATGCTCAGGACCAAGGACCTGCTCATAAATTTGGAGTGCTTGTCGGTGCATGGCCTCTGCCTCCTCATACTTGCCCTGTCGCGCAAGCACCCAACCCAGTTGGCTGACACTGGTAAGAGTATCAGGATGCTCGGGACCAAGGATCTGCTCACGACCTTGG